TTGCAATGTAAGAGGGTGCAGATAACGAGAAAAAGGAAATACCAAAATCTGAAAAATAAAAATCATTACTAGCTGTAATTACTACTAGTTAAGTTATGACAATATAGCAAATGACAATACTTCGTACCTACAATTTTTTCAACAATGATGTTTTACAATATTTCTATTTAAAACCTCTTTGGTGACATTAAAAAGTAGTTCGTCTATACGATAAATATTTCCTGCTATAAACATGATGTTAATACGTATAATGTGTAAGATCACGTAATGTGTAATGTTTTTTCACGTTCCTAGATAAATTGTGTGGGAAACTTGTGTTTCAAAAGTAAAAAAAATAGTAATTTTGAGTTGTCCCTATGGTGAGACTAGGGTATATAGTTTTCGAAGTATGCAATAATTATATTGAATCATTTTTTCCTAGCCCGTATACCATTTGGATAAATTATTAGTTTTGTAAATGCTTTATAATGTGCTCACTTAATAGTTTTTATCAATTTTCTCAAAACATTAATTTTTTACTTTTATGACTTGAAACATATGTGCGATAGGATAAATGTTTAGTTTAATTTGTTATTTCGTTACAAATGGGTAAATGCTTGAACAACAAACGCTTAATTTTCCGCAAAATCGAGTGTGTCAATATTCTGCTGCATATTTGAAATCCGTCTAAGCTAAATATTGAAAATTTCACAAAGCTTAGAGCTATAAAGCTTAGGCTATAGTTATGATTTTTTTCAAATTTTTCAAAAATAGTCTGGTTTTGAAAATTATTTTTTTATAACTAGATTCTTGTGTAACCGGCTTCTCCCGGGTTTAAATATACACAACAGTGTTGAATTACAATAAGAAAACTCCAGTTTTCCGGGGAATATAGTTTTCCCCTTATTGCCCTTATCTCCAACTTAACCTATAAATACTAAATACCCCATCAGTTAAATAACCCCCGATAACCACGTCATCTAAACTTTTAGCTAATAAAAAAATAAATGTTAACAAATTAATTAAAAATATATATTTTAGTAATTAAACAGATAGATAGCGCTAGAACTAAATTCTATTTTACCGTCAATTTTGCTGTCCAGAAAATTAAGTAAAACATTTTAGCTCAGTTTATTTCGTCTATTTTCAAGAGTACTCAATCTTAGTTTTTTTCTGACGGGATCATAAACGTGCTGAAAATGACGAATGTTTAAGATACAACCAGCAAAACTTAAACAATAGATTTTCGATCCGATTGATCCGATTTAGATGTCTACAATCATTTGATAAATAACTAATAAGGATATCAGATTACAACACCTTATTCTTCTATACTAGAGCGGACTAAACAATTACAATTAGTGTGAATAAACATGTAGGAGAAACGAAGTTTGAGGATTTACATCGAATAAAACCCAATACTCTCATTGCGTTACCAACTACATGGTCACACACTTCAGTGACTCTCGGGAAATGCACATTTTTGAGACAATAGTCAAACAGGATAACTTCCTGAGTGCGATGAAAAGACATACACTTGCATTTTTCGACATTTAAAGATAGGCCATACACCGATAGGCATTACACAGATAGGGCATTACATCTAGATGAAAATGTAATTTAATAAAACATTTTTGTATCATCAGCAAATAGTAAATGCTCGACAGGATTCAATAACTGAGAATACCGTGTTAGGAAGTACATTAAACAATAAACGCGATTAATGGCCGCCTCGTAGGACACCAGACGTTACCGAAAACGTATTAGCAATTAAAGAATGTAGATTAACAAATTGGCGACGCTATATTAAGTATGTTCGAAACCATGACAAAAGGAACTCCGCCTCACCTACACCATATCAGCTGTATAGAATGTAAATAAGTGTTTCATGATTCACCGTGTCATAAGCCTTCGTAAAATTGGTAAACAATACATCTACTTGTGCTCGGGCCTCAAATGATTTATGTATAAAGGTAGTAAATAATTTATAAAACAAAATATTTTTTAGGTTATACATTTTTGAGATTAAATTAAATAGTATGCTTTTTTGAAAGTATATGAAGTAAATGCAAATTTTTTTCTCGTTTTAATTTTTAATATTCGAAAATCAAGAAACTCGGCATTTTTTGTTGTTAATGTTCTATAATCTACAAAAGTGCGTCTAAAATTCTCAAGTTTAAAATTTTTCCATTATTTTAAGGTCTCATCGACCATCTAAATTTTAAGAAAATAGCAGACATGAATGTTGTTTGCAGCCGATCGCGTGTGAAACCAAAAATAACTTTTGACGTAACTCAATTATGATCACCAACTACACTTAAAATTGAATAATAGTTAAATGATATCAAAACTTCTCTTAACTTTTAAATAAAGTTGATAGAAACTAAAAGTGGTTGTTAGTTAAAAATCAATGAAAACTTTGGCTAAATCCTCTTTTTCCTTACACTATAAATTAATTTTTCAATATCTACAAAAATTATAGTTAAGCTACCACTACACTTTGACTGAGCGTATAAAAAAATAGAGTACAAACTTGCTATTTTCTTTGATTTGAGTTTACATTACTTCCTTCTTATTCCTTCATACTTTTATTCAATAATTCTTCTATTTGAAAACTAATCATTGATCCAGTCATTTATGATATCGGCCATATTTTCTTGTAAATTCGCCCGTTATCTACTTCATGAAATTTGTTCTCTAATTTTCTCAACTTTCTAAATATTTCCTTTGACATTAAATCTATGTTCTAAAATTACCCAGCGCTATATAAAAAACCACTTTTATGATTTACTTAAGTTATATTTATTTGTGGTTTTTAACTTTTGGACTAATTGTCCTATTGTATCTAAATAAAAAACAACAACATAAATAATACAGAATACAAAAGTAATGCAACATGCTATAGCATTTTGTAAATACGGTGATACTTCTTCATTAACGTTCCTTTTCTCATTATTTTGCGCTCGACCTGAAGTTACATTTGTCTTTGGAGTGTATATTAGTTTTCAGACATCTTCCTAAAGACAATTTGTCTGTCGGCTCACTTATTTAATGATGCTTACCCTTTAGAGAGTATATGACTTTTTCAAGGTTCTGCTAAGTCCTAGTTTACTGTCAAGAGATAATCACTATAAAATATCGAGCTTGTCACTACACTCCAATGTACCTTGGTCATTTATTTTATTATTACTTTTGTTGGAACGCCCGAACGACAAAGCACTTGACACAAAATTACAATCAATTTACACAGTGCGTATACCGTATAACTATAGTGTATACATATTGAAGGTTTTTCTCTAAGTTCACAGTTAAATATTAAAACAATCTTGGTTAATAGTTAATTAATTCTTTCAAGGACTTATATGAGCAGTATAATCTTGAAAATTTAATACGAAAATTAATAACAATACGATTTGTTGATTTATAACAAATACATTCAGAAGAAACGTAAACAAAACTTGTAGTTAGCAATAATATAATATCGGTTTAGTAGCGGCTTAAGAAATATCGTGGGTTTACAGGGTGGGACATGGTCACTTCCTTAGTTTAAATAATCATAACACAAAAAGTATTGACGGTATCGATTTAATTATTTTTTCTGGGTACAGGCCACAGGGGTACATTTAAAGTTTTTTTTCATTTGGGTTTAAAAACGACATCTCGAAGGTGACCACCGTCCTCGTCAATACACTTGGAGATAGCCGAAATTTGAAAATTATGTCCACTTTTTCAGCATATTTGTTCCTATGTCGGCAATAGGCTGCACGAATATTATCCTTCAGCAGACCAAGGGTCACGATCAGTGTAAACCAAAGATTTAAGGTAGCCCCATAGGAAAAAGTCACAGGGGGCTAAATCTGGTGATTGCGCTGCCCACTGAAGATCGCCAAGGGGATTGCAAAATCGCTGCCCTTACCACGGCGAACGCGCGCTCCTCCTTTGTCCAGTGCATAATTGATACTAAACTAACCATAAAAAAACGTTAGATCCCGCGCTTTCGAACGCGCTATATCCCACCGCTCTAGGAGTAACGGTCGCTTTGTGGCGCGAGTTTCAAATAAGGAAGTGACCGCGTCCCACCCTATATATAAGTGTAGTAAAAACAAGCATTTTGAATTTGGAACTATCGTGTGACCTACCGCCCACGTTTAAATATAAAGGTTTTAGGGTGACTAATTCACATTTTTAAAAATCAAAATTATGATTTACGGTACGTATAAGTATTCACCGTTGTCTCTGTAATAGAACCAGAAATATCAGTATCACGTTGGACATTTTAAAACATAAGCAACTGCGTTAGTAATTTCACAATAAGCATTGCTAAAATATAAGCCAGACTGTTAAGTTATTACGAATTTTAATTTAACTATAAAATACGTACACACCACTTTCATACTATGAAGATTGAACAATGTATTTTTTTTTATTTAGTATTCTAAACATTAAAACAGATGAGTCCGAAATCAGAATGCTTAAAATCGCACAGGAAAAAGTTGATGTCACCAAAGTGTAATTTTATATTGAAATTTGAAAAATGTTTTTACTGTTGTAGCGATTTTGATAAAAGAAATTGTTAATCTTTAACGCCAATAATTATAGTTTTAATACGTTTTATTTGCATAATTAGATTCGTTGATGTTCGATGAATAATTGAGGAATTTTTTGCGATTTTTAAAAGATGCAAAACATTTCTGGGCGATTTCAGGAATTTCGATTACTTACCCAGTTATGATATTGTTATATATTCATAATAATACAAATAAATGGTATAAAAGGAGCTCAATACTATCAAAACACATAAATCAACAACATCTACTCAGATCATAATAATTAAAAATATAATAGTAGAGAAAATTCAAATTTTGTTTATTATCGCAATTTCTTAGAAAATATGTCGGGTAACCCTTTCCCTAGGAAGGAGCTGCAGGGGCCTTATATGGGCGCTGCTTAAGCAGATTCCAACAACTAGCTTCTGCTCAGTTCTGTTTAAATTGTACATCGATTTTTCTTTTATCTTTTAGGAAAGCGGCGTTGGACTTCCGGTAACACTTAAAGTTGACGAACGTGGATTTTTTTTATACTGGCTTGATCAGAAAAAAGTAAACATTGCACATTTTTATGGACAAGTTGAGTTATCTATAATGGCCATAATTTTTTCAGGACTACGAAGTGATTGACATGTCAACGATACGGGACACTAGAACGGGAAAATTCGCCAGAGTTCCAAAAGTATGTTTACATGCTATATTATAATGAATGATTTATAGTACACTGTACAGTTACGTGTGTGTAGTGACTTGATGAATGATTATACTCACTCCCCCGTTTTATTTAGGACGCGAAATTGAGAAGTGTCGTGTGCATGGGGTCCCAAGAGCCATTGGGCGATAAAACGATTACCGTAGTCGTGGCCACGGATTTTGTGAACGTGTCGTTCATTAATTTCTGTTGCAACAAAAAACAAACGGCCCAAGTAAGAGCATTGTATTATATACTGTTAAGTTGTTTTTATTACAGTACCGTGACTTGTAAATTGTTAACCTTGATTGTTTACACGATGGTGAGATTAATATATCGAAATAAATTAGATGGGCGTTTGAATAGTGGATAAAAGCCTAACAGCCTTAAAAACCAAAAACTATTCATTTTGATTTGTATAATAAACAATTTGTTTATTGAAGTCATAAGCTTTCGTCCAGTGCTGTTCTGACATGTAAATATTTGAGAGTGACGTCGTCGTTTAAATCACTAGGTTTTTTTATTACTTCACTAATTTTACAATTTTATAGGCGTGAAATATTTTTATTACAAATTACACAATTTTCAAAACAATTGTTTATGGTCTTTTATTTTTTTTTAATAAGGGCCTCGACTTTTGAGGTATATGGTCTTTTAGTCAGTATAAAATAAGTGTTATTTTGATATTATACAGAAATTTAAAACTTTCTAACCTAACTTTCAAAACTAACTAACCACCAATTGATAATAGAGGAGCCACGTTTTTATTTATGATTTGATGACAAATATAATCGATTTCCGTATTGAATGTTTTTTGCTATTAAAAAATAGTACACGAATAATATAGTTAATTTATTTTTCTGACTATCACATCATCATTGTCATACTTGGTCCTTATTGGTTTTAGAGCAAAAACACCTTTTATAAGATTGAAAGATAACAATATTTCGAAAACAATGTTATTTCAATTTTGAAAATAATAACGTGAAAAAACGTTATAGCTATTTAATTAAAGTAAAATAATGTGATTTTAAATGTTAAATATTAAGCTAAATATTAGGTTTATCAAAAAAAAAAGATATGTCATTGTCTCCAAAATATTGTCATCTTTCGTTTTTGTTAAAGATATTTTTGTTCTAAAATCATCCTGGAACGATTAAAACGCATTCTGCGTAGGTACGTTTTAACGCTACAAAATTGTGTGTATAACGTCTTATAACCTCTTAATAATAATCATGTATTCGCTGCGTTCATTATCACTCATCATAATGATTAGAGTATTTACATTTTGTCAGTGGGCTATCTAAATATTATATCATATATATATTTAGTCTAGCGTACAAACACACATTATAACAAAAAATTCATCATGATCTCGCACATATTTAGGGAATTGTTCTTTTGACAAACCTATTAACTTACGACCTAACAAACCATTTACCAAAATTTCAGCTTTAATGAACCTGTTTTATTGACACGATTTGTAATGCGTTTTCAAGAGTAAACCTTTGAAATTTAGTACCTAGTGAGTCTCATAATATTATGATGAATACAAAATACAAATTGAAATTAGAAATATAATTATGAAAAAAGAAATTTAGTGGAATAATTAGTCCTTGTGACATTAATTATATATGTCACATTTATTATACATCATTACTAACTGTAATGATATTATTTATTATACATTTTTATAATCGTTAACTACCTATATAGAAGCAATACTTTTTCATATAAATTAGTAAATGTATCACAAATAAAAGATAATGATCATTTTCGGATAATTCTTTAATCTAATTATAGATTATATTATATTGATAGTGTTTTGAAACCTTGAGTATCGTGTTCTTATGTATTTTTTTCTATGTACCTACTTAATATTTTAAACAAAATCGTCTGTACAACGATCAATAACTACCACGGAATTGAACACAATATTTAGTCATATTCAATAATTCCTTTCAACCACCTTAATTAAAAAATATGTAGCTAAGCGTTTTAGTGTTGTCGAGTGGACACAAAGAATAATTTAACAACATAAGCCGGCAACAATAATCGTAATATTAATTGAATATTAACTATTAAATTTATGTATACAGTAATACCATACAACATTTAAGAAATAACAGCATAACTCAATTGTGTTATAGCCAGAATTCATTAATACATAAATACGGCTTTTGAAATTAGCTTTAAATTTGGCGCATAGGTAATTGGCGTATAAGGTATTTATAACTTTCTACAACTTCTTCGAGTATGTGCATAAGTAAAACTTTCTTTTATTAGAAGCGCTCAATATTTATGGATTCTCGCATTTTTAATTTTTTCGTCCAATTTGACCCATCATTCATGCATGCCTTACAATTAGTATGAAAGTTTCCTGCAGCTTATTTCTCGACTCGCATAATTTTTTATTTAGTTCCACTCGTCAATAGCTTTTTGACACGCATGTATTCAAACAATAACCTTAATTATTTCAAAAAAGTTATCGTAAACAAAGACAGTCACATAACTCGAGTATTAATAAATATATTTATATTGTTTAATTTTAAATATTTTTACAATGTCCGGTAAAATAATACTTATAATATATTTTTTGTTTAGCTTTGGACAGTCAATATTTTAAAACTAGCACTGAACTTAGTACAATTAAATTGGTCACCAATGTCGTTTTTGTATAAAGCCCATACCAAATTAAATTTACTAGTCGACAAAAACGGCAAGATACCAATAAAAAAGTAATTGTTTTAAATTGATTATAAGATTTATTAACATTTTGTTTATTATAATTATGTTACTCCTACGTTTTGCTTAGCATTCTCAAAACGTTTGCACAAAGTAAAGATGATAAGAAAAAAGTAGAAAAAGCTCTCGAATCGTCTGGGTTACCATCCAATAAAGTATGAATGTATTTACAATACTTATCATACTTTTATTATAATTTAATAACGATGATGCATTTTTTAATCTAGAATGATGTTGTCAGTCCATCAAAATTTACGTTTGAAGATTTTTTTACCGTCTACAAAAATCTTACTGCACGTTCTGAAGTTGCACAACTATTTGACGACGTGTAAGTACATCATGTTATCATTGATTAACGTTATTATGTATTTTAAATTATTAATATTTAACATAAAAAACTCTTCCGATTCTTTTGTATATTTATTGTTTAATACCCTCTTATTGATAGAAATTTGATTCTAAGGAGAGACTAAAAAATAATATTATTACAAACCAAAAGTGAGAAGAGGCCTTCCTCACCTTCTATCCGAGTTTCTCTGAAAATACATTATTAGGTACCTGAATTTATTAACAAAATATAATTAATAAATATCAATTATTGATTATGTCTACTGTGTATATTTTATTTTTCGTTAGTAACCTAATTTAAAAACTGAATATTTAAGAAAATTAATATTTCAAATAGCCGTTATCATTTTTACAACCACTTAACAAACTATAATCACACATCAACATCCTATATATCTATAACTAATAAAAATGGGAAAAATAAGGCTCTATATAGGAACACATATAGTCGTCCTAGAAGACTGAAATGTTATACATTTTTTTTTTTTTGACAAATAAAAACGATTTAGCGGGTAGCAAAATACATTTTTTTTATCAGTTTAATAAACACTGCTGGATTAAGCTTAATTTGCTTAAGACTAGGACTAGAGTGCGGTCAGCAATATTTTCTTTTCCTCCGTGTTCTTTACAGCCTCACCATCAATCTACTCAGAATGTCAATAAATCCATCAATTTTTTTGGTCTATTTCCAATATTTCCTCTTTTCCTGCTATACTTAATACGCCATTTCCCGCGTTTCTGACATAAATGGTGTAAATTTAAAGCAGAATAATTTTTAACATTTATTATATTTCTAAAAATGATTTACTTTAACTTGTAAAGATTAACAAAATTACATTAACTTTTTTAATGATTTAATTTTACTTTAATAGTTTTACTGTTCCTAATAAAGTAAATATGTGTAACAACAAAATATAATATAGAAGTTAACAATTGTATTATTTATTTATTCGATGGTTAATTTTTAGATGCTGTGGAGACAATAGTGCTATTGTTAAGAAAAAAGTAATGTCTGTTGATCAATTCGTTTATTTTCTAAATCACACCCAAAGGGATCCTCGTCTAAACGAAATACTTCATCCGTATGCTAACGCGGACAGAGCAAAAGATTTGATTTGGGAATTTGAACCGAACAAACAAAACGCTCAGCGGGGTCTGTTAAGCTTCGACGGTTTTCTCAAATACCTAATGAGTGCGGACAATCCCATAGTTTCTTCGTCCACACTTGATCTAAACAACGACATGGATCAACCGTTATCGCATTACTTTATAAATTCATCGCATAACACATACCTTACAGGTAAATAATAAATTGATTATTAGACAGAATATGATAATTATAAATTATTTAGTGTCTCCATTAAAAAAAAATCTGAATTTTTCCATTCCACCTTAGGCCACCAGTTGACCGGCAAGTCATCTGTAGAAATATATAGACAGTGTCTGCTATCAGGATGCCGGTGTGTCGAATTGGACTTGTGGAACGGTAAGACTGACGAGCCGGTAATTGTGCACGGTTACACTTTTGTACCTGAAATATCAGCTCGGGATGTAATAGAAGCCATAGCAGAATCGGCATTTAAATCATCGGACTATCCTGTCATATTATCATTTGAAAACCATTGTAATACAAAACAACAGGCAAAAATCGCACAGTACTGTCACGAATATTTTGGGAATATGTTACTAGAAGAACCATTAATTTCTCATAAAGTATTCAAAATAATATTTCTAACAAATTCATTAATTACTACACAGGAGTATCCATTTAACATAAGCCACTCATTTTCATAGGCGGACTTAAGGGTGGCACAAAGAGCATTAACCCCCCCACAGTGGTCTCAAGTTGGATGAAGTACAGAAGTCTGTTATGAGCCACAATATATTTACCCTCCCAAAATCAAGTCATAAGTCCGCCTATGCCCATTTTTCTAGAAAACAATTTCAGTATTGTAGTTTTTTTTTTAACACGTTTTTTTCTTACATTAATTTTAAGAGCTCTATCAACTACTGAAATTTAAATGGTAATATATAATTCATTGTTAACTTTTTAAATAGATTATAACAATTAACTAGAAATGTAGATTTGTTCACAGATAGTTTTAAATAATTAATTTTGGAGTTATTGGTAATTAAAAACACAGTTAAAAATATTATTACACTACATCAGCAGCTCTACCTCCACTGTTTAATTGTTAATAACTTAATAAGAGTAATAAATTACTCAAAACTGGTTATCTATGAGTCGACATTTTTAATAGATTAATCCTAATTTAAAAAGTTAATAAAACATACATGTTAGTATTTAAGTTTTAATAACTAAAAAGTTCTAAAAAAAAAAAAATATTTGTAAACTAATGTTTTGGAAACATACAGGTACAAAGCGCAATTATTTTTCAAGAAATGAGTGGTCAGTTATGTTAAATCGATCATTCTGTAGGTGTGTCTGATTTATTTCATAATATTAGAATTTAATGTTTTGAATTTAGTTGGAATCCGGTGTCTCTTTGCCACCACCTTCTATGTTAAAAAACAAAATTATTATAAAAAACAAAAAAAAACACCATCATCACCATAAAAAACCCACAGCCAGTGTTGTTTTGGAGCCTGCCACATCTGCAACTCTTGTGCTGGGAAACGGAGAATTGCCTCGTGGACCAATTCGACAGCCGAGCAAAGACAGTACTAACCAAGATGAAGATGAAGGTATTTAATGAACATAAAAACCAAAAAGTAATAAACAAAAGTATATAATAAATGTTGAAATATTTTAGATGACGACGAGGACAGTAGTAGTGACACAGACGGCGAAGAAGACGAAGCGGATAGATCCGTCGATATAAAACTTGTTTTACAGGGTAAACCTCTTGTTGACAAAGTATCTAGTACAAGAGAAACTGAAGCTGGCACAGAAATATCAGTTCTTGTCAATTATTGTCAGTCGGTGCAGTTCACGTCATTTGAAAACGCAGAGAGTTAGTATATTTTTTATTATTTAGATATTATTTTGGTGCTCGCTCACACTATCTATGTTTTTAAATTTTTTAAGTAAATTGAAATAAAAACAGCGTTTTAACTTTTAAAGTTTAATATAAATAAAGGTGTGTAATATCTACTTATTGGCCATTTGATACAGGCATCGTTAACTGACCCTTAAACAGTTGACGCGTACTTATTAATACCTAATATCGGTAGTGAACTAACGTAATATAACTATTTGTATTTTTAGAAAAAAATCGAAGCTACGAGATGTCATCGTTCGACGAAAAACAAGCAATGACGCTATTAAAAGAACGACCCATGGAATTTGTCAAATACAATAAACAACAATTAAGTCGCGTGTACCCAGCAGGTACCAGATTCGATTCGTCAAATTTCATGCCACAAGTATTCTGGAATGTGGGCTGCCAGCTGGTCGCTTTAAATTACCAGACTTTGGATGTAGCGATGCAATTAAATTTGGGTATATTCGAGTACAACATGCGGAGTGGTTACTTGTTAAAACCAGAGTTTATGAGGCGTAAGGACCGTACGTTTGACCCTTTTGCCGAGTCCACCGTGGACGGCATAATTGCTGGAACGCTTACTGTCGAAGTTATATCTGGTCAATTACTCACTGATAAACGTGTCGGTACTTACGTGGACGTCGAAATGTACGGTTTACCTGCTGATACCGTTCGAAAAAAATTTCGAACACGCATTGTACCGGCCAACGGTATTAATCCTGTGTACGGAGACGAGCCTTTTGTATTTAAGAAGGTTTGTTATTGATTTTGGTTGTGTGTGTTAAGAATTGTATTAAATGTGTGTGTAACACTCTAGGTGGTTCTCCCTGAACTGGCTTCACTGCGGTTAGCCGCATTCGAAGAATCTGGAAAGCTCATAGGTCACAGAGTTATTCCCGTTGTAGGCCTTTGCCCGGGTTACAGGCATGTGGTCTTGAGAAACGAAATGGGACAGCCGCTACCTTGTGGGTCGTTGTTTTTAAAAATCGTCGTAAAAGACTACGTGCCAGACGGGTTAAGTGATTTTGCCGAAGCCTTGGCTAATCCTATTAAATTCCAGTCAGATTTGGATAAGCGAACAAAACAATTAGCCGTTTTCGCTGATGAAATGGATCAATCGATAGATTGCACCGATGTAAGTTTATATAAATCAAACACGGCGTGTCATTAGGATTCGTTTAAAAGTAATAAACCATTATTTTCAAGGTAAATTTTGTACCAGAGCAAGATGCGAAACCAGTAGTAGTTACTCGTCACCAGTCGAGTTATCCCGACTTGACCGTATCCAACATTAGTGCCACGCTCCCAGCTCAAAGATCAATAACAGCCAATCCCTTAACAACCGCCGATTATCCAGTAAATGACGATTTCCGAATTGGACCAAAAGGAGCACAAAGAAACCCATTGATATCAACTGGTTCTCGTAAGTATTTACTGACATACCTAAAGGCTACTTACGTGCTCGTACCACATATGTAAGTCGGCAGTGTTTATCTAAATTTAACAATATACAGACCCGGTTTAGTTTAATCTCCGTTGTTAATCATCATTAAACCATAAACCATAAACCATACTTGTTTGTAAGGTCATTTTGGGCTCTATCACTTTAGTTTAATACGTTCATTGTTTACATTAGTTTCAATGTAAAATGCTAATAATTCTGTAGTGTTTGAGCAGATGACGATAAGTGAAAATTAATATTTTTCGGTTAAGTTTTTGATAATAGAAGTTAAATAACAACAAAACGTTTGTATAATACTTTTAGCATATTTTTTAAACTATAACAGAATTATGTTTGTTTTTAAATAATTTATTTCATTATATATAAAAAAAACATTTATTTATAACATATTTAGTTAATATTATTTACCAAATATTGCAATATAAAATTTTTTTTTGTTAAATGTGATTATAATATAATATGACACAATGTAATTTTTTTGATTTTAAAGTAATTTTCATGAGATACATCAATTTTTTTATTTGAGGCCACTGCGTTCAAATTTGATATTAATTGTAAAGTCATCCTCTCATTTTTTGGAGTAAGAGGGGACTTAAGGGTGTAGTTTTTAGATAAAAATCTATTATTGTTTTTGGGATCAATCATTGAAATCAAATATAATGTATAAGATTTACCATCAAATGTTATTTTCGAATGCAAAAACATTTTTAATTGAATTCCTAAGTATAATAACCCTTAGATAATCGTCATGTTGAGGGGGTTGAACATTTGATCTCATAATTGAATCCAGTGACATTCTTCTACCCCTAAATTAGAATACATTTAAAAACCTATAATAGAATTAAACATATATTTTCAGATGCCACATGACAATTTATTTATTATTTTGTTTTAAATTACCCACTCTTCAACTCCTAAATTACAGTGAAATTTACCGAGAAACATAGTATCTTGAAATCGCATGATGATTAAAATGTACTTCTATATAGTATACTCTAAAATATACTCTAATAATTCATTTGAATTATTAATTATGTAATAATGATAAAAACTTAAGTACCACAGATTCACTCTTATGAGTTTGATTCAAGTAGTGGCTGAGTAGGATATAGGTTATCCATGCGATAGGAATTTTAAGGAGGCGCAGGTTCGAGTCACGCTAAGGCAAAATTAACAGTAGTAGTTTTTTGCGTTTTTTGTTTATTTTCGGCACTAGTTTTAAAAACGAATCAAATTACTTGTATGTTTTTTTGTAAAAAAAAGCAGATATTAAGGAATTTTAAAAACGTTTTAAAAATATACTATTAACGTTTCTTAATCGTTTATTAAAACATTTCAAAAATATTTCTTTGCTGATGGGAACCTATGTATTATCCATAAGCACATGTGCCCCTTATATAGCTTTTGTTATTTATTAAGTATATTCTATGTAGCTTTTGACATAAGTACTTTTATGTTTGGACTTATTAGTGGGCGAAAACATTGTGGCCGAGTCATTGGTGCAGTTGATGGAAAACAAATTGGTTAAGGAAAAGAAAACGGAACTCGAGAAGAAAATGGAGACGCTTCGAAGAAAACAAAGTAAAGAAAAACATCGATTACAAAATTCGAAATCATCAAATGATACAGACCGAGCTCGAATGTCCAAATTTTCAATGAGCTCTCGATTCGTCAAACGATTGTCTATTAAAAACATGTAATAATTGCATACCATTACTTTTTATCATTACTTACTAGGTACATTTTATGAGTACCTAGCTCAAACATATCATGAACAAATATTATATTTAGACAGGAGAGCATTCTGCAGAACCATCACGAGGCGTCTGAGTCATCTGAATGTGATACAGATAATTCTAGTAGTTCCATGCCGAGGATGTCTAGAAGTCAATCGGAGAAGTTATTGGCAATAGAGAAAGAACACATTATACAAGAACGAAATCTACAGGAAAAATACAATGATATAATATTTTCTTCGATAGAAAAAACGATGCGTGCTTCACAGTCAAATCAGATAAAAATGTTGCGAATACTATTAGACAAAGAGACAGCTGAAGTGATGAAAAAATTACAAGACCAAAGAAGACACGAAATGAAATCGTTAGCCAAAGTCCACAAAGATAAAGACGAAATTGGAAGGTGAGATATATATATATATATATATAGATAATAACAATTAAAAAAAAAAATCAATTAAACATGTTCTGTAATAGAATTAAAAGAGAAGTATCTAGTTCGATGGTGGAAAAAGGTGTAAATGAGCGGTTGCGCCTAGCACAGTTGTATGAAAAAAATACTGAAGAACTAGAAAAACAACATGAAGAAATTAGACAAAACTTTGATGATCTCAAGACTAAAGTAGTTTTTTTTTTTAGATATATATTTTTCGTATACTACTGCGGTACACTTACAAATTAAAACTACTAAATAATATTTGCTTTTTTTGTTTATAATTTTTACAGACAAAATCTGAGCTGATCAAAGAATATGAAACTAAACTTCAAAACATTGAATACGGTATCGAACAACATTTAAAGGTTGAATTGAAATAGTACATGTGAAATTATCAAAAAATGTATAATAACTATAAGTACAATAAGTATACCAAGTAATTGTAGTAATCAAGGGCAATAATTAGTAAATAACTATACATTAAATTTGAAAGCATATTTTTGCGCTAATTTAAGTGTCGATCTAAAAGACTGATCGATTTTAATTTGCTATTTATTAATAATTAGCGATTTACATTATTTTTTGTTAAGTTCAAAATTGTATATCGTATTGCTACCTATAAATTATAATTAGGTATATTTTATTTAAATCAACCAGTAGTGCCTACCATGTTTGTTATGTTTAAAAAACAATATTTGTTGTAGTAAAAAATGAACCATTTGTTTTTGTGATAACTTTGTAACGTATAATTGTTTTTTTATGAGTCATTAAACATTTTATGAATTGTGATAATCGTTCTATCTAAATCTTTTAATAGTATTTAGATATTCCATAATAGGTACAGACTACAGCTACTTGCCTAACTACTCTTATAAAACTGACAATCAGTCTTTTAATTACGCACCTATAATAACAAGCTCTAATTTTTAACAATTACCAAGTATTTAGTGATAAAAATATTATAATTGGTATTCATTTTCAAGTGGTTAGTACCATGTTTTTTTATTGACTGTTCTTTAAGTTATTGTTACCTATTATTAACAATTAAACTATGTATGTAAGCTGTGTAGTTGTATGTTAAGATTTGGTTTATTTGCTTAATTATTTTCCATATTGTATAATACGTAATTCAAAGATCGCAATTAAACAACACATCTTTAAATGCATTTTAAAATTCCAATTTTTAACCAATGGCTACCAAAATTTGTACTGTACACTCACTACAGCATTAAAATTTATATTACATAGTAGGTATCTATAATATGTATGTTTTCCCTTTTTAGTTACTTTTGTATTTATAAAAAATACATTTTTTTATAGCATGAGATTAATTAAAAAACGTTTTACACCTATTTTTTTAAATTAATTGTTATCAGTTTTCTATAAATTACCTAAACAACGATTGAATGGTCATTACTGTTAAGTGCTAAATAGTTTTGACATTTACCGATTTTAATCATTTTGAAACACTTGCCATTCAAAAATACTACAGATTCAAAACATATATGTGATAAATAAGGAAATTAAAAAGTATTTAATTATTATTTATCATAATATTACAAAACATACATTTAATTTATATTACTGATGTGTGCAGGGAATATAAGTTGCATTTAGCATTCCCATTGGTGTTATCATTTTAAGCCCACTTTACAGTTCTTTTTTTTTTTGAAAACCATATAATAGTAAAGTTTACAACTTAACTAAAGTTGAAAATTAATTTTTGTTTTTTTATTATAATACATAGATTTATATAATAAAGATTTTATACTAGACGTTTTATAGAATGGATTATTTTTTGGAAAAACACTGTATGTAAATACTATTAACAGGTGTTTAATAAATAATACTCCTTAATGTCTAAATCAAAACATCCCGTTTGATGGAAATCCTGTTGACGCCACTGACTATGTTTTAATTACTAAACGCAATTAAATTTCAAGTCTGATATATTTATACTGTCATTTTTTAATATACATACTAGTACACATATTTAACGTTATATTTTTAGATTTCTGTTTTAAATCCTTCATTGTAGTAGTTAAGCACCAAGTGTGAATTTGCTTAGTTATGTATAAAATAATAATACTTTAACACCAATAACTATTAATTGTAATTTTGACTGATTGTATTAGAGAATTGATTTATAAGAATAAATAAAACAAAATAAATAACTGCTTTTTATTATACATTTCTTAGAGTACTCAATTGAATCATTTTTTGTATGAAGGTAATTTTCATATGTGTAATAATGCCAAGTTAAGCATGCATTATTTAAAAAAACTGATAAACATTTTAGTAATATTGGACCACAAACAACATGCCCATTGTGTGTATTTATGTTGTGCCGTGTATATAGTAGATCTGACCAGTTAACAATCTCTTGGTCATTCTTAAAGGTTTTTGTTTATGTGAATATGAATACATAGTCATAAAGACATTATAATTTATATTTATGCAGTTTAATGCCTTAATACTATCACATATTTTACAGATAAAAGCATATGCTATTTGTTTTAATAGCATAACATATTTTGATATACATTTAAGTTAACACAGCCTCATATGATAAAACAGAAAAATACCCCCAAAAAACAACACAAAATAAAATAAAAATAAAGAACAAAATATAAATAATTAATTATTACAAGTTTAAACAATGTTTGAATTATGCATTCACATTATATTAATTATAATATTTCAATCATTTAAGGTGTTTTTGAGCTTTTAATGTTACGTTTCCAGGTATTTTTTTGACAGCTGGACCAATTGAGCGATTGAATATAGTACTAGTAATAGATAATACGGGTCCAAAAAGTTTTAACCTGAAAACAAATTGAATACTAATTAATAGTAATAACAATAATAATCATAATATTAGAAAGTTAAATACCTGAAAACTTTTGTTTTGGATGGGCTAACTTCATTAGCGCTGATGATAAATACAGGAAATAGAATTGAAAAAAGACATCCACTAAAACAATACGATTTTCATTTTTTTTTTTAATAAATACAACTTTTAGCACAATGTTAAAAAAAATGAATTTACCTAATAATATAAGACTCTGGCAGGGATGTAATAACTGCTAGGGGAAGACCGAACCCGAGAAAATATGGCCAGTAATTTTCAATAAAAGATAACCTCGAGTTCAACTCCATTCCCATATTACACCATTTATACTCAAATGAATACAAAGAGTATAATAGAGATAAATGTAAAATGCTAAGCACAGTACTAACAGTTTTTGATGGTACCATACTGACTAAATAACTCTGTAATACATTATATATTATTATTAATTATATAACAAATTATGAAAAACAAAAAATTATAGTTACTTGAATAAGAAATAAAAATTGCACAACAAAACTAAATGAAAAATCAGCAATCACTTTGCTAATTCTTGTCAATTGTTGTGGATCGCCTTTTTTTTGTTTATATGCTATATCAGCTATGTCCTAGAAAAGATGTGACAACATGTATATTTAATTATTTTAACTATTACATTAAAATCAATTTATTTTAGTGTTACCTGGAACCATAGGCTATTGATAATTTTGCTAAGTAAAAATATTGGCAGCACCCATACAGCTCCAAACGTCCATGATAGGAACGAACGTGTCCAAAACCAAATATCCTGATTCAAATTTCCAAATGCTACTGTCATAGTATATGCTAATAACGGCAATATAACATATTCAAATATTATTATGCTTAAGCAAAAAATTCCACCATTCAGTGTACAACACTGAATTATTCGTTGTAACATTTTTTGATCCCTAAAAAAAATTTAAAAAATACAAACATTTAAAAGAATAATAATACATTCTATAGTTTTCATATTAAATAAAGACAGTTTTTATTTACTTACAAGCAATAAGATTAAAGCAGAATGAATAATTTATTAATCATATACATAATTATTATGAAACAATACATTTTTTAATAACGTTTGTTAGATGACATAATATAAATTTATTTATGGATAAATAGAACATTAATTTAATGTCAACTTAAGAAGAAAAATTAAATCCCATTACTGCTAAATATGTCAAATCACACATTAACCATGATGCAATTATTCACCTATTTACGCTCAACAGGGCCACATTTAATGGGGAACCCATAAATAGGTACATTTACCTATTTAGCAGTAAGTTTTGCTGCAAATTGTTTTAATTAATTTTCGAATAATCTAATCAGTAAAAAATATTGTTGTCAAAGGAACTTTTAGTAAACGTTGAACTACACAATACTTAGAACTGTTTTATTGTTTTGCCTGCTGCCAGATAAACTGTATAAAATAAATCCCTGTTAAGAAAACATTATACACCCAATTTATTAAGGAGTTTGGTATAGAACGAACATTTTTTGCAAAATATTTAAAATATGTTAAAATATTAACATGCTTATTGTTAATTTAAAAATACATATTAAGTAAAGTGTTATCAAGATTTTAAAGACAATGACAAATTATTTTTTTAATATATTGCAATATTTAGCTGTTGATATTAAAAAAAGGTTTTTTTTATATTTTTTAAAAGGAGATAACTTTTTTTTTATGAAATATTTTTATAAAAGAATAAGCTATTATGCCGGGTAATTTTTGCTATAAAACTATAGGTCTGCGTAACACTCGATTTTTACTCTAGACAATTGGGGATATAATGTCCTCTTAAGGGTTTTTATTGGTGATATTTCTTGAAATATAATAGTTGATTATAATTTTAAATTAAAAAAAATTAAGACCCTTAGAATATTCTTAGGTGGTCAATGGGGCATGTGAGGGCTAAGCTCATCGAAAATGTGTGATCAAATTATGACTTGTTATTAGTCCTGGGCCGCATTGTTACTTGTTGCTTACAACCCTGAATCCAGCCCTGAATCTTCAGGTTACAAATTTTTTTATATTATTATATAATACATTTTTACCAATGTTTACAAAATAAAGCTAAAAACAATTTATAAACTAGTGCCTGTGTTCAAATGGGTTAAGAATTAGTAAGCCAATCGGTACAAATATCAGAAATACTCAAAAGGTGGAGAACTAGTCTGTGTTAAGGAGCTCTTATAAAGAAGTAGTCCAAAAATATTATTATTATGATTACCTCTTGAAGTAGGTTCATCAGACCCCAAAGTGAAATGATGATCACTGAAGTCTCCTGCTAACAGAAAATTTGATGAAAAAGAAAACAGATTATCTGATAAATCAACTAGATAGAGTAGGAGAAAAAATAACAATAATGGAATATTATTAAATTCTTTATACCAACTAAATTGATATGTTATGTTACATTAAAAGTGGAAACAGAAAGAGTAGAAGAAATATGAGTTGTTAAAGACTTCGCCTGCTTACAAAATCTGGTTTATTACAGCAGTTGGAGTGGCCAGATAAACTAAATATTACAAATAGAAAAATCAAAACTGTGAAATTAATTTGTTTCATAAAGAAGTAAAATATAACAAGAGACAATTTGAATGAACATTCCTAAAATATTTAAACTCTTCAAATCCAATTTAGAAATAAAAGGGCATTTCTATCAGTTGATAGCAAAAAAATGTAAGCAATACAAGCATAAGTAACAAAAAAAGATTGTAATCTATAAACAGATATAAAGAACCGCAGACATAATAATAAAAATAAGTTTTAACTTAAATTTAATAAATACAATTAACAAAATTTGTTGAACACTACAAATTCTCTTAATAAACTACAGTAAAATTATATGATTAATGTAAATAGTTGCCAAATTCTAATAATACACCAAATCATCATCCGAAAAATGTAGTTTTAAGCAGTGGCAGACTTTAGGAGAAACTTTGAAGCCGATTAAAAATATGAATTTAAATGAATACTGTAATATAAAATGAAAATGTATCATGTTTTTTTTTTAATCATTAAGCTGCATACATAGATGTTATTAAAACTAGGTTCATTAAATTGTATGGAGTAACACTTGTCGTCAATTTATATACACCATCATTTGTATAATTGAGGTATACTTACAGTTTAACTAATTGTTAAGTAAATAAGTTTCCCTTGTTCGGTGTTATTTGGTTTTTATTATAGTAGCTAAATGATGTCCTATAAAGAATGCCAGTTTTTAAAATGTAATAACTCATTCAATTCAGAGAAAATAATCCCATGGTGTGAGATTGCACAATCTTACAGGCCATGGATGATCGCTATGAATTGAAATGACGCGCTTCGGGAATTTTTAGCGAAGCTCTGGAGAGTCCCAACCTAACCTAACCAGCCAGATATGCAACCACATATTATGTAATTATTTTCTCTGAGGGTATGTGAAATCTCTTATTTAGGTCAACAAACCAGCCATGGAAGGGCCTGGGTGGGCCTGGTCCCTTAAATTTACTCTGGCCCAGGGCCAGCCCTCCCAATTCAAAATATAATGATTTATACTAAAATATAAAAAACTTGCTAGGGCTTATACACATTGATATAAATCTATTGTGATTAGTTATTACTATTAGGTAATACAGTTATTATTATGACTGCATTTTAATTTTTATATTCATAGAAAACGTTATCTGAAAAAGATAAATTATGGGGTCTATTTTACTATCCATTTTTTGTAATACTGTAATAGGTATACTTGATACGACCACAATTTTTTTTTAACCAACTAAAGGTAAATTTTAAATTAGTAAGATTCTTGGTGTAGGCTACCACTTAAATTGGAGTATGAAGAAGCCCCCCATAAGTTTTTCATTGAAAACAAATTATGGAAAATGATACAAGGGCCCAATATCATTAGCCCCCCTTGTAGACATTTTCTGGCTATGTGCCTAAACTGATCAAATTGATAAAGAGATGTGTCAAAATTCACCGACAGAATTAATTCGTGTAGACTAAACGGAGGAGGATATATTATTGCAGATGTAGTATTTCATAATTAAATCAGAACATAATATAATGAATGTAAAAATATAAAACAATGTTTTTTGTATAAATTTGAATTAGTTATTATATTTTTAAACACGGCGTTCTTTATGGGACACCCTATATTACTAGTTTTAATTTCAGTCTCTCCTAATAATTTAACACGGGCCACTGATTAATAGCACCAATTAATGATCTAAATGTATGAACTAGTAAAAAATTATTAGAAGCTGTACATAAAAAAATGTATTTTTTGCAACTGAATACTGATGGAATAAAATAAATACAGTAAGGCTTACTTGGGCAAGTTAACTGGCCTAGCTACTTTTCTTGGACGCTTGTTTGGGACAAATAAAACAGCGATACCCTTGAAACTATCCAACATTCCTCTACTTATAACCCTGAATAACACCTAAATATGAACAAAATTAACATTTATTACAATAACATGTTTTTAAAATTATACTTAGTAAAACTTACCAACAAATCTTCCATTTTTACAACTGAAAAATGTATACTACAAGTAACTACAAACTTTATACTACGTGGTATCTACTATCTAATAAAAATAATATATTGTAAGTACATGCTACATTGTTCAAAAAATAATGACTACTACATCTGACGTTTGTGTAAAAAAAAACAATAATAATAATAATAATATGTAGTCATGCCTTCTGATTAGGCAATAGAAACATAAGCAAGTGCCAAGTAACAACTAGTCACTAGATATCGCTTCTTATTTTTGATACCGTACAGCTGTTTGTAAACATAGAGTAAAGAATGTTTGTCAGAAATGAGAAGCTAGAAATGCAAATTGATTTTTAGCAGTAAGCTGTTCGTTATGTTGATTGTCGTGTATTGTCAGCACGATTTTTGAATATATTTGCATTTATCTCCTAAGGCCCTGTCGACAGCAATTGACCTAAATCATTAGATTTTATCAAAATGCCTGCAATTCTAAAACACTAATATTTATCAATATTCGAAGTATTGTTTAAAAATATTTATTTTGAACTATTTTTGAAGCTATGCTTCTTATTTATTTTTGTTATTACTGAGCATAGGCAACAAAAATATTCATTAGGGTGGCGCAAAAAAAAAATCGATCTTGAAATGTTAATGGGCCAACATTTAAATCGCTCAACGCGTTTTAAGTAATTTGACCAAAAATTCTCAAAAAAACCAAAAAATGACTTAATTTATAAAATTTTAGGTCGAAAATCAGTATTAGCACATCTAAATTGTAGTATTTTTAGCGTTGAGTACAACTAGTTGAGTTTTAAAATCCTAAGTTAAAAAATGATTACGTAATTAACAAAAATTCGTTATTAAAAGGTCAATTTTCAATTAAGCTTAAAGTAACTAAAACATTTTTTAATACGTTATTTTTTTTTTTACGTTATGTATGTTTTTAGTGAAAAAAATTGTTTTCTCTAATGTTAAAAATGTATATTTTTTTGTCATTTTTTCGTACATCAAAATAACGGTTTACTAAAAAATGTATATTATGTGTCAAATAATAAAATAATTATCATTATGAATTTTAGCTATTTTATTCTATTACAATTTATTTAATTTATGTATGTTTAGTAAGCTAGCCCGATAAGCGTTTCACTTATATACCATAAATGTCCAGAATTGTATTTGCTCCTCATCTGTCGTTAAAGAATTGTTGAATTGTGTCATTACAGCAACTCCTCTTTCGGCTGGATCATTCACAACAAATAATGACTGCACTTTATTATATACTAACTGCTAACATACAATTTGTATATTCAGGCCAAGTACTGGGATTTAGCAGTTCAATTTGTTTATTTTAAAAGTTTATATTAAATATTAGTTTACTAGTTCATGGTATGGTAGCTTGTCGGGCTAACTTATTAAAAATATATACATAAAAAAAATGCATTTTAATAGAATATAATAGCTAAAATTCATAACTGTAAGTATTTTATTATTTGACACATGATATACATTTTTCAATAAAACGTTAATTTTGGTGCACGAAAAAATAACAAAAAAAAATATAAATCTTTAACATTACTGAAAAAATTGTTTCCACTAGAAACATACATAACGTTAAAAAAAAATAAAGTATTAAAAAATTAAAAAAAAAAAATACTAAAAGTTACTATAAGCTTAATTGAAAATTGACCTTTTATTACGAATTTTTATTAATTACTTAATCAATTTTTAACTTAGTATTTTGAAACTTAAACAGTTGTACTCAACGCTAAGAATACTACAATTCAGATGTGATAATAATGATTTTCGACCTAAAATTTTATTATTTAAGTCATTTTTTGTTTTTTTTGAGAATTTTTGGTCAAATTACCTAAAACGCGTGCTCAACTGGTAGCTCAGACTAGTAAAATTTTTTTTTTAATCTCAAATTTTCACCAAGTCTTTTTTTATGTATAGAACAAATTAAAATGTTAGTCCATTAACATTTCGAAGATCGATTTTTTTTTGCGCCACCCTATTATTTATGGGCCATAGCTCAGAATGCTCATGTAATATAAATTACCAAATTATATGTACTTAAAATGTATTTTTCACTGAAAACCAGATTTTTTTATTAGTTTGTATAATATCTAAGTATTTAAACTATAAAACTTACAATTAATGGGTACTTTTTAACCAACAATTCTATAATAGCTTGTATTTTTAGACTTCGTGTATGCCATAATGAAAACGCAACATTTGAAAAAATATATTCATAGTGTAATTATCTAATAAAAACATTATCATAAGCGGCCGTATGTGATTGGTTAAATACACTCCAGTAGTCGTATGTTAAGATCAATTAATTACTTGAACAATTGTAAATAAGTGACAATGGCACTGATTATTTATGTCAAGGTGTAGACAGTTTCCTCTCAATCGGGAATATATTGTGATTTATGTGATTCATTTAGGATAAGATATTAATTTTTATTTTAATGTTTACATTTTTGTAGTTATGTTTTTTTAAAAAATTGTTGTTATTTTATAATATTATAATATTCCTATTTAATTAGCTATTTAAATTAAAAATAATTTGCTGAAAATGTCGACTGGTTGATAACCAATTTTGGGCATTTGCTTTTAAATGTTTTAAAGTTTAAAATTTGGAGGAAGTAGTTGGAAGGTAGTAGTATTTTTATCAGCACTTTTCATCACTGTACCACATTCTACCTCCAGTCTTAAATTTTAAGCTTTTATCATTTAAAAAGTGATTATCTAAAACTGGTTAGGTTAATTGAATTAACGTTACCATTTAAGTTTTAAAAATTGACAAAGCTCAAGAAAGTATTAAAAAAATTAGTAACTGTTAGTAATTTTATATTTTAAAATAAAAAAAACAAAAATGTATTTAAAAATAATAACTAAATTGCAATTGTTTAAAAAAAAATGACACTACAAAATGAATCGGCATTAATCATTAAAAAATATTTACTTTTATTTCTAAATATGTCAAACTATATTTTTTTATTGTAAAATAATATTAGTGCTATTTAACCATATTTATTTAATCATAATGTATGAATCATAATGTATACACAATACAATGAATTGAGTTATTAACAAAAATTAGTGTAGTCATTGCAATGAAATACAATATAATCGGTTTTTTTCATGAATTGAAAAAATAATTAAATTAGGAATATTAGGATTTTGTAGTACACTTGTAACATTCACATTCATTGTGTTGAAAAAATAAAAAGGTCTAAGGTAAATAACACATCACAAAACTAAAATCTGACAGATATTTACAACAAATAAAAATCAATTATGAAATATTAATGCAAGAAAATTATAAGGTGTACATGAGTTCATATCGAACATATTGGTTCTTTACATCATTTTCAATGTGTGGGTATCCAGCTACTAAAGCATCTTGAGCACTAATATAAAGTGAATTGTATATCTTCCAATAAACATCACGTACTTTCCGAGCAGGATGGAATAGTCCCTGTAAAATAATCCCAATAATATTAATCAATTAAAATAACTCAACAAATTATAATACTTATCTGAGAAATAAGAAAAAATATTCAGCATGCATTATACTTACTTGAAGAGTATATTGCAATATCTTAATAGGACCAAGGGCAACTCTCAACCCTTCAACGGCTTCCATAAAAGCTTGAACCAAGTGAGGCGACGTTTCAAAAATATTTGGCCAAACATAGTTTAACAAATGGATAAGAGCATCTTCACAACCGAATCCAAACACTCCGAGAGCCATATGTTTAATAGCTGCACAAGCAGTTTGTCTATGTACTAAATCTCTAAAAAATGTTAAATCATTATAGATTATTAAAATATAATTGTAGTTAAAATGAAAAAAATTGAAATAATTATATACTACCTATCCATCAGAGCATCTTCTAATAGTGGAGTTACAGCATATATGTAATCTTTGCCCATTTCTCCAATATATTGAAATAAGAATGACAACGATTTAAGAACCCCATTTTGAACATTAAGTTCCGGCACACGATATTCGTTCATTAAAGCCGGTAATACAGTAAACGGGGAACATGTTTCTGCTACTATCGCAATAGCTACAGTTGTGCAGACACGGTTCTGCCTTTCTTGCACTTTTAAATTATTTAGAAGTGTGGCTAATACATCGTGCGGTCTAAATAAATATTACAAATGAACAAAATTTTATTTTCATTACACACACACAAACATATTATACATTCATATATAATTCATACAAACCCAATAGCTTTGGCAATATAACCGAATGTATTGACTGTAGCTCTTCTAATTGCCTTTTTATGGGCTTTTAACAACTCGAGCAACTCAAAACATATCCGCATCCATTCTCTGGCAGGTACATACTCAGGTCCTCTATCAGCGATCCGGCCAACAAGATCTATGCAATTCTCTTGGACTTTTTCGTGTCTATTTTTCAAAATTGGTGTTAGCCGAGGTAACAAGTCTTTGATAGGTGGAGTCATTCTGGTCATGCCAATCACGTTTACAATACCTTTTAGCGCACCTAAAATGCTTCCTAACACTTCAGGATATTCTTCACCCAAGTATTCATAAAGCACTAAACCTAAATGGCCCATTAACTTTTCCTAAATAAAAAAAGTGTAAGTAAAATGTTTAAAAAATAATTATTACAGACATTTATTTTACTTCTTGACATATTTTCATGATGCAAGCTATCCGAGCTATTAAATCTGCAGCTTGTTGTCTTATTTTTGCCGATTTATTATTTAACCGCCACAAAATCGTACCACATATTTGAGGTAAATATGGTTTAACTCTACGACCTAATTGGTTGACAATCATACCAAACCCGTTTAACATAACTACGTCCTAGATAACAAAAAAATTAGGGTTTATTATTTGTTTTTTTAAAACTAAACCACTTTATTGATGTATTTGTGTGTGTTAGGATGGTTCAACTAATAACCTTACTTTAGAATTTTGTTTGCAGCACCCCACCCCCCCTTTTTTATTTCATATAAATAAAGCAAACCAAATTCTAAAGTAAGGTTTTTTGTTGAACCATCCTAATATAATTTTATATAATAATAAAAAGTTTACTTCATTAGTCTGTTCTTGAAAAGCGTAAAGAATACCATCAATAAGCTGTTCTTCGAGTCTTGAATCAATATCTGCAGCACCTAAATTACCAATAGTTTTTTCTATAGTTTCCATTACCATTTTACGATATTGTTCATTTTCATCTTTTAAGTCATCAACAATGCGGTTAATGATTTCTGAGGCTCCAACTTTATTGGCTATTTCCATGGTAGTATCAACCAACTAAAAATTATTATATTAGAAAAAATATAAATTTTTTTTTTTTTTTAATGTGATTAACTAAAATTTAATTAGCTATTTATAGTGGTTGCACCAAAAGTGTTTACTGCCTTTTCTGAAAAACAGTACACTGCATTTAAATGCGTCATATTATGCGTCTAGTTGATTGTAAATTATCAACATAACAGGCAGAAAAAATTTTTTCTACGCCAGATATAAGCAGTGTAAATACTGCAGTGATTCATCCAATGGCATTTTCAAAGGTGCAACTGCTTAGAGGTTAAAAAAAAACTTTTTTTTTTCTATTAAAAAATAAATCACTATTTTGTTTTGTTTAAAATTAATTTAGTTGTTTTTATAACATTTTTTTTTCGATTATTTTGGCTGTAATAAGTATTTGAGTTTTTGTCTTGCCACCTCTTTTTATAGTATCTTTGGCCATAAAAAAAAAAAAAAAAAAAAATCAGTTTCTTATGTAAAATTATCTCAAAAAATATTAATTTTTTTTTTACGTAAAAAAAATCATTAAAATTGAGCGTATAACCTAAAAAGTTGTTTTTACGCTTTTCCTAAATCTAAGCGTTTTTATGGAGATACCAATTTTAAAATTACACATTTTTCGTAAAATTTCCTCAGCTTTTTGAAAAAAAATATTAGAAAAATTTCCAAATTTTAGGAAAAGCGAAAAAATAACTTTTTAGTTTATACATTTTATTTTAATGATTTTTTTACGTGAAAAAAATTGTTTTTTGAGATAACTTTACATAAACTGATTTTTAACAAATTTTTTACTATAAAAAGAGGTGGCAAGACAAAAACTCAAATACTTATTACAGCCAAAATATTTGAAAAAAAAAAATTTGAGAACATTGTTATTATTGTAGGGGTTGAAGTCCAAAACAATCATTCATATTTGGCCCATATTGACCCATATATATTTATTTTGTTTTTACTTGTCTATAATTTCGTCTATCCAGAGCCATCCTATGATTCCAGAAGTGTCTAAAGAAATGTGGTAAAATATCTTCACGAATATATTGAGGCTCAACACCATCAGTCCCACAACATTGTTTGACCACCTAAATACAATATATATGTAAATAATTAATTGTAATATTTATTCATATTTTTATGTATAACATTAACTCGTTTGCTGCGTTTGACGCCTATAGGCGTCATTTTGTTCGTTCGTAAGTGCGAATGACGCCTTGAGGCGTCATTTCTGTATTTATTTCCAATGTTATTTTATTCGGACAGCGTTATATTCTATCATGACATATTTCTATCATGACGCCAAAAGGCGTCAAACAGCATCTGGCTAAAAATTCATTTTGTCACGCTAATGACGCCAATTGGCGTCATAAAAAAAAATACGTAATTTTGACCAGCGCTGGGGTATGTGTATACAAAATTGAAACGCAGCGAACGTGTTAATAAAATATTATGCTCGCTTACCTTTAATACAATCTTTTTCATTTCTTCATCAGGTGACTGAAATTCTCGAATCAAAATTAACATTACTTCTCTAGTATAGTAATTGGCATATTCTGCATCCATCAATGGTATTAAATATCCAATGGCTTTTAAAAAAGCAGCTAGCCCCTACAAAAAAAAAATTAAACATGTATTAATATTCACAAAATACCAGACACTATAACCGTTAATAAATTACTTTTCCTCTATGAGTTCTTATACCCTTCCATAATGGTTTGAGAACAGAATCAAAACTTTCAATACCATAAGGAGTTGCAGCTTCAGCTAAAGCCGCAATAGCAAGAGCAGTAATAGTTCGAACTTTTTGTTGTTCGTCCACTAAACCGTGTTCAATAATTTCGACCAATGAACGTAAATGTGGAAGGATAGCACATCCCATTAAAATTGCAATTTGTTGAACAATTTTTATACCTAATTTATCGCAAAATAAAAATGAACATGAGCAACGTAAAAATCATTTTCAAAATAAATATTTTATTTATTACCTGTGTGACGTGCCTGCCACGATTTTTTGCTTTTACAAACAGCTTTTAAGAATGGTAAAAGTGATGGGATACCTAAAGCTGAAGCAACTACGGCAAATGCACGAGCTGTTGTATTACGGACATACTCATCAATGTTATCAATATCTGGTCTCATGGTTGATATCATAGTAGCTAACCCTGCAGCTTTAGCCAAATTGGATATAATTTCACGTCCTTCCACACGAGCATAATAATCCTCATCAATCAATAATGGTTCTATAACCACCAGTATCTAAAAATATTACAAATTTTAGTACAAATAAAATTTCATCAGCAAAATTATGATCACTTACTTTATGTACATAAGGTCTGACTAAATCATCCAGTTTATATAATATTCTATCGATGACTTTTACTAACAGATGTCGTTCTTGATCTTCAAGTGTTGGTGACATAAGCAATGGAAGTATTTGATTAAATAGTGGACCTGCACCTAACTCTCTAGCTTTGTCCGTGACTTGTCTTAAAGCAGCTTTTCTCATAGGAGGGGTACCGTTTTTAATTTTTAAAAGAAGTTTCATGATTTTTCTTTCTTTTTGTTCTTCTAATGTTAAACTTTCTTCATCCACATCCATTAATAATTTGTCAAAATATTGGGCATCCTCAGGTTTTAACATAGGTAAATTACCAGGTGGTTGATTATCTACTATTTGAGTTTTTGTTGGGCGATCTACTGACTCTTGCATAAAAAATCCAGCGGGTGTACCAGCAATAGGTGTAGGTGTAGCTGTGAGTTTACGTGCTGGAGTTCGAATTGGTACATATCCGGCAGGAGGCTGAAGTACTTTGTATCCAGGTGGGAACATAACATCTAGTTCATCATCTGTTAATGGACGATTTCGCTCATCAATCTCACGTTCCCAACGATAAGCCTGCAGTTGTTCAGGAGTCATAGACAATAAATGACCTGGAGGAGTAAAATTATACATTATTTGCTAGAATATATTGCCACAATTTATCCTTTACATTTAAATTTTGACTAACTGTAAATCAGAGATGAATAATTTGAAAAAATAGTTTTTTAAATTAATTTTTTTAAGTCAAAGAAATGATTCTTTTCAGCAGTAAACTTTGTGCGGATGTACTTTTTGTACCCTAAAAGCTATCAATTTTTTTTATAAAATATCTTAACATTGTATTGTTTAATACAAGAACATAATAGTACTGTTAACCCTCCCCACTCTAAAATTTGAAACATTAAAATAAATACTAATATTATCTTCAATGAATATGTTTTGAGGCTGTTACACATATTATAAAATTGGTAAAAAAACTTGTAAAAAATTGTGATCTGTATTAATTCGTCATTACTGTTTGACAATATTAGTTGAACACCAAAAAGTAAAATTGTATAGTGTTTTTTTTTTAAATAATATTAAATAAATATATAGATATACACAGATATACATATTAACCTAGATAGCCAATGTTTATATTATGTTATCAATATTTCATTGTGATATTATAATAGTAATATACTAAGTATATCTTTTGAGTACATGATTAAATACAAAATTGGCTATCTAGGTTAATAATATATTAGGATGGTTGGAAAAAACCTTACTTTAGAATTTGGTTTGTGTCACCCCTTCATTTTTTTTCTATGATATAAAAAAATAATACTGTGAAAATTTAGGTTAGCTTACTCAACCCTTTCACGTGCCGCAAGTGGGTTGAAGTTGTGCAAAATAGGGTAGTTTGTATTTTTTTGCATTTATTTAAAAATGTATAATAAATAGCATAAAAGTGATTAGGTAAAAATTGTAGAACTAAACATTTCCTATAAATTTAGTAGATATAAAATTTTTCGCATAGCAAAAACTACCAACTACCCTATTTTGTCAACTTCAACCCCTATGTGGCACGTGAAAAGGTTGAGTAATCTAACCCAAATTTTCACAGAATAATTTTTTCGTATCATAGAAAAAAATGAGGGGGTGACACAAGCAAAATTCTAAAGGTTTTTTTTTAACCACCCTAATATAAATCGGATTACTCTTTTGTTACAGTAAACAATGTATTTACATGTGTTTAGTGCAAAATTATAATAAAATCAAAATTGATAAAAATTGACTTGTCCCCTCTTTCTGCAGTTAGCAATTCAAATACATAATCATTTTTTTCAATGTAAACTTTACCTGGTGTAGGCGTTGCCATAGCCATTGCACTGTGTCCTGTAGGTGTAGCCGCACTGTTAGAGAGTACAGGTGTACGAGGTACCATTGGAGTCATAGGTGTAGCCCCTGGTGTCATTCCTCCAGGAGTAGGAGTCATTGATGCACCAGATGGTGTCATTCCAACTTTAGGAGTTATACCTCCTGGTGTTGTGGATGGTGTCATTTGTGATGGAGTTTCATCCCAACGGGAACGTCTCTTACTAGCAGATGGCGTTGGAGTATCTTGAATTAAATCAACACCCCCACGATCCGTACGAGGAGTTTCGGCCCATCCACTGTTATGTCCCGGGGTAGCTAAAATATTGAATTAGATTAACTGCTGTTCATATTACATAAAAAGTAAGGCACATTACCTCTTTCTGTTTTTGGCGTCTCGTCCCAACGATTTCTTCGTACTGATGTTTGAGTAGTTCCTATATGACCAGGAGTATCTCGACCAGGAGTTGTAGCTCCAGCTGCAGGAGTTGCATGACCAGGTGTTGCATCCCACATTCTTGTACTCTGGCCAGGAGTAGCACCGGGAGTTTCAGCTCCCATTTTTGCAGCACCAGGCGTTTCATCCCAACGTGATAATCCTCCTTTAGGTGTCTAAAACGTATAATAAATTTACTAAGGTGAAATGCCAAATAAATAAAAGAGCAAAATTTAAATTTAAAACCACTATAAAAAATAGTAATTAAGACTTATAAGATTTAAAAAAATATTAGTTTACACCAACCTCTTCCCATGGGACTGAACTAGTTTTCTTTTTGGTTGGTACTGCAGATGAATCACCATTTTGTACGACTTGATCCCAACGACCTCTTTTCCGAACAGTGCCTTTAGAATCTCCATTAGTAGTCTTAAGACTGCCTTCTTTAGCTTTTTCTATAATAGTTTTGCGTACATCATTCTCTTCACCTTTAAGTTTTTGCTCCTGCATAATTTGTGAGTATGTTCGAGAACCAACATCTGGTGTTTTTCCACCTGATAATTTAGGGAGTCATTAAATAATTGATTAAAAAACAAACAAAATGTATTTATAAAAAGATAACTTAATAATCTTTAAGATAAAAATAACTACACTATTAGTTACCTTCTGCAAAAGGATCAATACGTTCAGGTGAAATGACCATTGGCCTACGAACTTGACGAGTGTCATCATCTTTATCAGAAGTGGCTTTTTGTAAACGTTTTCTTTCTGCAAAAGGATCATAATCATCTTCTTCATCTCTTGACTATTAACAGAATTTTAAATAAATAATTGACTTATACATACAATTTAAGCAAATCAGTAGTTATTATAGTTAAGTATTTAAGTGTAGTAGTAAAGGTTACCTGTGCAATTTCTTTTAGAGCAGCTGCTTGTACAGCCATAGGTTTTTTATTTCTAAAATGCTGGTCGTCAACATCTTCATCCTGAATAAACAAATTTTTTTTTAAATTTACATTTTGATGTCTCTAACAAAAACAGTCCTAACTCATGTTTAAGAACATTTCTTTTTTTAACTTAACACATGTTTTCTGTATTACCGGCGAAAAAGGTAGTAACTCGATTGTGTTATTCAGAACTTCTTTGATCGATTCAAGGTACGACCTTATTTGCCAGTTAAGACTTGTGTTATTAGTTAAAGAAACTTTTTTTTTTTTTAATTGAGTTAAGTCTATTTTTGTTAAGGGCGTTGATTTGTTTATAAAAAATTAATTTTCAATAGATCTCTTTGGACTATACAATATTCATGTTTATTATAAACAAATATGGAAAAAAAAAAGGATAATAATGAAAACTATTTACTGTAATGTTTAGAATAGTATTAAGTTATTTATCCATTTGACAGTTTAAATAGAAAGTCTTAATAAATAGAGTATATCTAATTAAACTGGACAAATTTAGCAGTTGATTCTTCTATTTGACATTGCTTATACTATAATAAGTACAATTAGGGCAGCTTATTAAAAACACATTATTTTAATTAACTAAGAGATTGGTTTTAGAAATTTTAGATTTCCAGAATCCATATTTAGATATTATTAAGATTAAAAAATATGACAAGGCAACACTAACACTTAACAAGCATTAATTATCACCTAACTTAGGTATGGGACTAAATTTACATACAGGTTGGTAATCACAGATATAAATTTTGTGTTCAAAATTTTAGACTTCAAATCTTTAGAAATGCAACAAGTTGTGACTTATAACACACATATGTCAAACAATTTACAAGAGGACGAAAATGAAGGTAACACGTTGGTCTGTGATTTGCCAATTCTCAATCTAGTTACTAAAAATCAGTACATTAGCTAATAAAAACTACTTCTAACCTAATATTTCATTTACATTAACAATAATCTCACAAAATCAAATGTGGTTACAGCATCAAAAAAATTAATATATTATCGAGATACCAAGAAGAACGTTAAACGTTTATTTAAAATAAATAGAAATTGATTATCAAGTTCATTATTTAAAATTTTATGCGACATAATAATCAATTTTTTGCAATGCACTCATAAATGATCTTTTAAAATAACTGAACATGGTTTATTTCGTTTCAAGTCAAATAGTCACTGCCTAGAATGAATGTGGTATACCTATTCTTTTTTGAGAATACAGGCCACACATTATAATTTTACATAATATAAACCTAAATTTTAATTTATGGAAATACACTCACATCATATTCATCGTTAGGCGCAATCGAAGTAACATATCCTTCATATTTCCCACCACCATTGTAAATGTCTTGATCGAAAAAGCCAGATGCTCCTAAGCCCACGTCATCGCCCTCTTTTTGTTTTTCTTCCTTTTTCCGCTGCTGAATCTCCCGGATTTGCGCTTCAATGTCTGCGTGAGTGCTCATTGTAAATGACTGGAGAAAAATGTATAATTTTGTAAACTTTATTGGTTGTTGTTAAAAACTAACAGTTTAAGTTTACGAACTTTGATAAAGATTTACATAGATTCTTAGTAATTGCTAGAATTAAAGCAAACAACTTATTCACACGTTGTATTGTAGATTTTGGGACTTGAGCTGTGGATCACAGATATTAATTAAGAAGTTAGAAGATAACGAATGAAAACGAAAAATCGATCACCATTCACCGATTTTCACCTACCTAGTTGTTAACTGGTAGCATTATAACATTATACAAAACAGAAAACACCGAACCACAGAATAGACCATTCTGTGACCAAACGACAAAACAGTAAACACCGAACTCTGCGACATAATATACCGCTCGACAAATAATACACTTTCCACCATTGTGACCAACATAATTTGTATACTCGGTTAGCTGGTGTACTAAAGGTGAATCGATTGTCTTAATGATATGATTTTGATTAATTTTTAGTAGCCGAGAGGAATGATTAAATAATTTAATGCTTTAATTAACGATTTTATTTAAATAATTAATAGCAAAATATTAAGTAGAATCACATATCAGTGATATGATACCATGTTATTGTTGAAAATATTAAATGGCGTCACTGGTATATGACGTTCTAACCTTACAAATTAAAAAGGTACCTACAGCAGCTACCTAAATGATATCGTCAACCGGCCAATCCATACACATTACACCATAGACATATGAGTGATTATTTACTACTTGTTTTTGTTGATACCGGATGATAATTTAAAACTTAAAAGTTAACCATTCGTTTTCTTACGGCAGTCTTTAACTTACTAATATGGACAAAAATAAAAATTCGTCTTCTAGTTCTGCATCAAAAGACGATATGGTGTCAAAAGACGAAAAGGCATCAAGAACAGAAAAAAAAGAGCCATTGTCGCTTGAAGAACTATTAGCCAAAAAGAAAGCAGAAGAACTAGCTAGAAGCAAAGTAAAATTATTAAAAATATTTGTATTTTTTTTTTTTATTCTTACTTTTATACTTAACTAATTCATACATGTTTACATATTTAGCCTGTGTTTTTAACCAAAGAACAACGAGCTGCTGAAGCTTTACGAAAAAGACAAGAGGAGGTTGAGTTAGTTAGAAAGAAACAAGATGAAGAGCGTAAGAAACGTTCAGAATTTTTACATCAAGCAGATGGTCATAGCCATAGAGATGAACGGTATTATAACATATTCCAAAGTACTGTTGTTAATTATCTTATATTCTAATTATCTATTTTCATAATTTACAGTGATCGGGAAAGAGACCACCATAGGGACAGAGACCGTGACCGAGAACGTGATAGGGATAGAGAACATGATCGTAGAGAAAGAGAACGAAAAAGAGAGAAAAAAGATGAACCTGAAGATAAAGAAGTCACAAAAGATAAAGAGAAAGAGCAGGAAGCTATAAAAGAACGTTATTTAGGATTAACTAAAAAAAAACGTCGTGTAAGACGTTTAAATGATAGAAAATTTGTATTTGATTGGGATGCTTCCGAAGATACTTCTATAGACTACAACGCTTTGTACAAAGAGCGTCATCAAGTACAGTTCTTTGGCCGTGGTAATATTGCAGGCATTGATATAAAAGCACAAAAAAAAGATCAATCTAAATTTTATGGAGAGCTAATGGAAAAACGAAGAACTGAAGCTGAAAAGGAGCAAGAGAAAGTCAGATTGAAAAAAGTTAAAAGAAAAGAAGATAAGCAAAAATGGGATGACAGACATTGGTCGGAGAAAGAAGTAGACGAAATGACTGAAAGAGATTGGAGGATATTTAGAGAAGATTATAACATAACTATTAAGGGTAATAATATATTTAATAAACATGTATTTTTCTATTAAAAAAAGTATACATATTTGATAGGTGGTAAAATACCTGAACCGATACGTAAGTGGAAAGAATCATCAATCAAAAGTGAAATTATGGAAATCATTGATAAAGTTGGTTACAAGGAGCCAACACCAATTCAACGGCAAGCTATTCCAATTGGTTTCCAAGTAAATAATTATTATTTCAACTAGAATTTTATGATCAGACCCATTAGTAATCAAAAAGTTAAATGTATGTTTAAAATTTTACAAATAGAATCGTGATATTATTGGCGTTGCTGAAACTGGTTCTGGTAAAACTTTAGCCTATCTTATACCACTCATAGAATGGATCCAGTCTTTACCAAAAATGGAACGAGAGGAAGACGTTGATCAAGTAAGAATTATTATTATTATTATATTAACATTTTAATCAGATTATAATTTTATTTTTAATTTAGGGGCCATATTCAATTATATTAGCTCCGACCCGCGAGTTAGCTCAACAAATCGAAGAAGAAACTTTGAAATTTGGTCAACCACTAGGAATTAGAACAGTTGTCGTTGTAGGAGGTCTGTCCAGAGAAGAACAAGGTTTTAGGCTACGATTAGGATGTGAAGTAATAACCATTTAAGTTAAATTTTGGCGTTTTTAACTTCACCTTCATACTTATTATTTTGTTATTTTATTAGATTGTAATTGCTACACCAGGACGTTTGATAGATGTTTTGGAAAACAGGTATCTGGTTCTGAACCAATGTACTTATATTGTATTAGATGAAGCAGATCGTATGATTGACATGGGTTTTGAGCCTGATGTACAAAAAATTTTAGAATACATGCCGGTTACTAATTTAAAACCAGATAATGAAGATGCTGAAGATGAATCAAAACTTCTAGCTAATTATTACTCAAAAAAAAAATATAGACAAGTACATATTTTGCACTATATTGTTTTATTATAATTTATGTTTTATACCAGTAATGAAATACTTGTTTCTTAGACTGTGATGTTTACGGCTACTATGCCTCCTGCTGTGGAGCGTTTAGCTAGAACTTATTTACGACGTCCTGCTGTTGTGTACATTGGTTCAATTGGTAAACCTGTAGAACGTACAGAACAAATAGTACACATGATGAGTGAAAATGATAAGCGTAAAAGATTGGTAGAAATTCTTAGTCGTAAAGTTGAACCTCCAATCATTATATTTGTTAACCAGAAAAAAGGTGCAGATGTGTTGGCTAAGGGTTTGGAAAAACTTGGAGTAAGTTATTTAATTTTATTATTTAGTATGTTATCATTTAATTTTACTTATGATCTAGTACAATGCTTGTACGCTTCATGGTGGTAAAGGACAAGAACAGCGTGAGTTTGCTTTGGCAAGTCTTAAAGGTGGACAAAAAGATATACTGGTAGCAACTGATGTAGTCGGTCGTGGTATCGATATCAAAGATGTATCAATGGTTATTAACTATGACATGGCAAAATCTATTGAAGGTAATTAACTGAAGGGTATTAACTTATTTTATTCATGCCAGGGGATCGCTTCAGTTTTTAGGGCCGTAGTAGTGAACGTTTATTTGAATATTAATACGTTTAATGTATTTTTAGATTATACCCATCGTATTGGGCGTACTGGACGTGCTGGAAAAACTGGAGTCGCAATATCATTCCTTACTAAGGATGACTCTCCCTTGTTCTATGATCTCAAACAAGTCATACAAGCAAGTCCTGTGTCGACTTGTCCTCCTGAATTAGCCAATCATCCAGAAGCACAACACAAACCAGGTACAGTGATGATGCCAAAAAAGAGACGAGAAGAAAAAATATTTGCTTAACTTCTTTCTATTTATTTAATAATAAAATACATTATAATTGTTTTTATTTTTTTTTTTAATAAATTTCATTGAACTATAAATTATAAAATATGTAGTATTTATTTCCCCCTTTATTATTCATGTACATACAAGTATTAATAATATTAAGTTATAAAACAAGCCAAAAATATTTTCAATTGATTTTTTAATTTTATTGTTACTAGCAGTGTTCAATCCATTCGTGTTTTGATGTCTCGTACTATGACCTTGTCTTTTTTACTGAAAAATAATGATTTTGTAAGGTGTTAATAAAAATTAAAAGATAGCCCGTGTTGTAGTTAAATAAAAGGAACAAATCTACTTTACCGGACACCCTTTTTTTTAATCGATTGAATTTTGTTTTTGAATATGTAAAAATTTTGCGCCGCTCGCACTTAGTTTGTAAGTTACGGACTTTTAAAGATCACCGATATCGACATACGCGCGTGCCCAGTACCACACATACGTAAAAAAAAATCCAGTGGTAAAGTAGATTTATACCAAATAAAATTCAAGTTTTGTGATTTGTTTATAATACAAGTTTATAGTGAGAGTACTTACATAATGTAAACTTTTGCTCCCCAACCAGATATAGCATCACGATTACAAGCACTAAGAAGTGCCTGAGAGATAGTCTCGAAAAGTTGATCTTCTTCCATATCAGGTTCCCATAGAGCCTCGCAGAGACCATACAATTGACTTGAACTTGTTCCACCAACTACAAAGTTATCAGACTTGTTGACACAACCTATCAAATCCATATCGCACATGTATGGTTCCAGTGTTTCTTCATTCAGTGCAACAATCATTGGTTCAACAAAAAATGGAGAAAACCTTACAAAATTAAATACAGAATAAGATTAAATCAAGTGTACTTATTTATTTTGTAAGTACTAACAATAAATATAACTTGTCCAGTATACCCATTACGTTTCAATGTAAGTGACTGGGCAAATAGGCTTAAGATGAACTGGACGGGCTAAACAAATATTTACCTGTTTTCATATAGTAAATTGGAAACTAACGAAGCCAATGCTTTAGGAGATATTTTACGATTTTCTTTTAATTCGTATAACCTTTTTCTAAACATAATTTTTTCATGTACAGTGAATATATCTGTAGCTAAACCTGGATATCCCACAAATGTATGAGGATTAATTTGAAAAACTTTCTGCAATTACATAATTTTATGATCAATTAACTTAAAATTGTATAAAAAGTTATAGAATTACTCACTGTAAAATCAAGGGAAACTGTTTGAGCTTGAATACCAAACCGCTTATCAGTAGCAATAGCCACACAATCTTTGCCTTTCATTCCTACTAAAGCGCCACCATTATAATCCATGATACTCTAAACAATTTGTCTTTATATTATAACAGTTAACATGCAAATTTTAACAATATAATTTAAAGCTAATACACAATCAAAAGGGATATTTTGGTGCACAGGAACGTTCCTGTTCAATATTGTTCTGTCTAAACAAAACACTAATTTTTGTGTTATTATACAATAATACACATTACACATCATCAAATAAAGGAAGACTTATCTTATTTGATATTAAACCTAGAAACACCTTCATAAAATGAATCCTAAATGATAATGTTTATGGTAATTATTATATGTTTAAAAAAGCTCAACATTGGTGTTTATAAACTAAAATAAATCCTAACTGATAGACGATAGTTATTATATGAACATATAAAAAAAGTACTTACCATTTTGATAAGTTGTAGTAAGAACTCTTTAATTATTTTTATAAAAAAAATTCAGGATCAGGAATTATACTTTTTGAAGACAGTAGAAGTGCTTATTCATTACCTGTTACGATTTACGAATTACGATGAACAGTTAATATTTTGGTACAATGTAAACATAAGGAACATAACCTAAAATTACTATCACAAGTTTTTGTAGATTCACTATAGAGAACAAATAGCATGTTAGCCCAAACGACAGTTGTTCCAATATAATTATTAACTGATAACAATACAGTTTTTTTTTTATTATAGGTATGTACAGCACATGAGTACAATTTACAATGTCTATAAATTGTATCTAGGTATTAACTTTGAGTACATTATGCTATCATATGAACAAAATTATATTTATTAATGCATTTAAGTTTATACTATTACGTTAGACGAGTAGACTTTTTAGACAATTAAGACAATTTATTGATAGAATTTTAATATAAAAATGGGTATAACATTTTTTTATGTTTATAATAAATTACCTAATTACAAGAAATCGTCGTGTTCAGAAAAATGTTAGCCCAAAATGATGCGTCATATTATAATAAGTTTATTTTAGCTTTTAGGTACCGGTCATCTGATGTCCATCTATAGTAGCATTTGTGGCAAATGTGCAGGCATTGATTTCATAAAATGTATTCTCTAAACTCCAAAAAAAAAAATATTTTCAAATGCACTTATAAGTAATATGCAATCAGTATTTTCATTAAATTAATTTTAAATCAAATATATTTTACTAATAACGTGAGACGGAAGCTGACTGTTGAGTATATATATAAATATATACATACTCAACTTGTATATAAGGGCTGCGGGCGAATGTCAATTTTTTTTCATTCTGAAAAAATCATGTTTCTAATTTCATAACGTAATAAATTTTGCCTGTGTGCCTAAACTTCCGGCGGTCGTTACTCTCGGCTAATCTACTTTTTTTCCTGGTTTGAGCGCATAAGAGATACAATACGTCAATACAAATAATTTGATACCAAAATCTCATTTTCAAAAAAAATTGACATTGATCTTTTGTTCCCGCAGCCCTTCATATATATTCACAAATCATTTTTTTTTTAATTAAAAGGATAAATTGTATGAATTTATACTGTATTACATAATATATATCATTATATATTATGTATGATATACATGCATATTGTATATGTGTATTGTAGTTTCGATGCATAAGCTAAGAAGATACTGTACATATTTACAATGATGTGTTTTTATTAATTTTTTTTTCTTTTGTGTCTAGTCCCACCCATATCTTTTAAATCGCTGAACCGTTTTTTAAGTAGTAACTCTATAGATTAGAAATCGTACCCGATACCTGAGAGGTAGATTATTAAAAATTTACCCCTTCCCCTTCAAAATTGAGGAAATCGCTCAAAAAATGTACATATAGTTCAGCTTAAAATTACGATGCCTTATAACTTTTTTTAAAAATAGTCAAATTAGTTCCAAATTTATGAATGCGTTAAAGCTTTCGTGGGTTGAAATTCCATTTTGCTGATTTTCGGATATATCCACGTTAGTTCCAAATTTGTTTTGAATATTCTCTGAACATAGTACTACCGATAAACATTGACAAAGCAAAACATTATCATGAAGTATGAACACTTTTCCCTAGAAGGGATAGACATTTTTCTTTGTTTCACTTTTTCAAACAAAGCTTTAGGGATTTAGGTCTGAAAATTAGACCGAAGGTAGATCTAAAATAGAACTATTACAATATGTACAATTTTTTCTAAAAATCTGTAGTGAAACTTTTTTTTATTAAGGGTAACCCTCAAAAAAAGGGGAAATTACACTTTGACCAGAGTCAATTTCTAGGTTGCTATGGCCTATATGTAAGTGAATCAGCCATCAACCAGCAATGAAAATATTTTCATTATATTGTTATTTACGATCAATGGGTAACTACGGGAATACATTTTTATAGACTGACGATCAACCCTAATTGTATCCATCCTAATACCTACTAAAAATTCATTTTAAAGCACATAATTGTCATTAAGTAGTACCTAATAGGTAAAATTATTTTATCGATACTTTATTTTATCGATATTTTTATTTGTGAACACTGGATCTCCTTTAATTACTCTACTACTATTACTCATTTACGTAAAATACTTTTTACTGTGCTTGGTTTGGACTGTACTGGTAACTGGTTTGAGTGATTTTATTACTTTCAGGTATAGTAATTTCTATAGACTTGTGACCTTCCTGTCCCCACTGTCGTGCGTTTTTTTATTATTATTATTTGTATATCCGCACGGCGCACCCCAGAGCCAAAGTATATTAAGTCACAAAATGTAAATTTTACAAGATAGGAAAAAAATGATTTACTAATAATTAATAACTATTTAATTTAATTAGTTAAATGAATACTTTATAATTAATATTAAATTTAATAAATACATTTAATTAATTTAAAAATTAAATGGATAAACTTGGATTAAATTTTTGAGTTGCTACACGAAGAAATCGGTTCGGCGGTTTTTGTGGTACCATGGGTGCATACACAAAGAAAAAAGAATAAAACACATCATTGTAAAAACAATACCTTCTAAGCTCCGGCTGCACCCTGTTTGCGCCCCAAGTTATTATCAGTAGGCAAGATGTGCCCGAACAAGTGCTCAGCTCTTATACGTAACAATTTTAATTTTAATCAATAATTAACAAATACAATAATAATTACATACGAATTATTTATTTTTCTCAGGCATAGATGTAAGATAGATTATATATAAGCATGTAAGATTAGCTAGTTTCAGCACATCGTGTAATCATGTGACTTGAATACTCATCTAGCCGTCTTAAAATTCTTGTAATGGCGATTCTATCTAATGCAATTGGCGATGTAAGTCACTTTGATTGGAATATTAGCATATCCTATTAAATTCATATACATTTTACTACAAAAATGATTTATATAAGATGGTTATTATTTTGAGGAAAAATAAATATTAACTAATGGTCTAACAAATTTGTTTTTGTAAATAAATTACCTTAATATAAGTCAGATAACTGCTTGATGCTAGACTACTTTCATTGAGTAATTGCACAAATTGCTCAAAATCTTTATTGTGTTCATTGAATATCCAATGTATTATTATTCCTAAAATTTAGATACAGCCTTCTAGAGTTTTATTTATAAAAACAGGTAACATAATTATAATTTCTTATGAGCTGTTGTATGCACATAATTACGGTGTCATTATACATTTATTAGTGTTCTGTATGAAAATTAATAGAATCACCTCTGTGTCTGTTACAGGCGTTTTTTCAGAAACTGTTTGACGTAGACAATTGCAATTTGGCACAGTTGTATATACTACGTGTCAACAGTTAAGAGAGAACGTATTAAAATTACTGACGTCTGACAGTGACTAAGCTCCGCTGGGCGCTGTTTTGAGGCCAAATTATCCCACCGTGCGGCACCGGGGGAGACTGTGCCGCAGAGTAGATTAAATCAGGGAGGACACTTAATGTAAACAATGATTTTCGGATGGAGGCCGCCATCTTCTCATTTATCAATACAGTGTTGTGGTGACCGTGACTTTTAGGGGCGGTTGCACGATTTTTTTAGGGATGGGTGGTCCATCTGGTCATCTTATCTAAGGTATGATGTTAGTAAGGTGTTAGTTATAATACATGCGCAGCCATACCAAATAAACTAGTTACTACAGACTACAATGTAGGTAAAATATTATCGTGACACAAACACGGCAAACGGCAAGATTCGATAAATAACACAATAATTTTGGATAGGGGGGGAGGGGTCTTCATGAATTATTTTTGCCCTGAGAATTTAAACACTTCACCACGCCACTGTTCATTACAATTATATCTATACACAGCTTGGTACAAAAATAAAATTATATCGATTTATAAATGAGAAGATTGCTGCCACGTTTTTTAGTGATAAGTATATCCACCGTGTTAAATTTTGAGTGTCCATCCCCTGATTGTACCACGGTAAACATAATATATTAATTATTATCTAGTATAATCTAGTAATATTATTTATTAAGAGAGCGATACCACATTTTTTTTGCGTGTGTAACTTGTCTCGGGAGAAACAATATTTCAGGCGACACTGCTCATTTTCTAACCGAAAATGTATGAAATCAGTTTTGGCAGCAATGAATCTTCTTTATCATCGCCTTACATTCCCATCTACATGGGGTCGGCTACCCAAGTCTTACACTTCCATAAAGCTTCTTCATCTCGTTCAATTATCCCAGCTATCCTTATATCACTCTCTATTCCGTCAATCCATCTTTTCTTCGGTCTTCCTCTTTCTCTCTTTCTCTATACATTCATCTTCATAACAACTCTCACTGTCTCTGCCTCATCTTTCCTCATTACATGACCGAACGATCTTAACTTATTCTTTCTCATTTTCTCGACAATTGATGCAACTCATATACTCTCCCTTATGTATTCATTTCTTAATCTATCCACTCATCTATCTCAGCATTCTCATCTGCACTATACTCATCCTCTGTTCAGTTTTCTTGTCTACTGCCCAACATTCTGACCCATGTAGCATATTGCTAGCCTCATTACCATCTTATAAAATATACCTTTCAATCTTATAGGCATCCTCCTGTCACACAAAACACCTGATGCCTTCCTTTATTTCATCCATCTACAATTTATCCTATTTTTCACGTCCTCTTCATACCCACCATTCTTTTGTACTACCGATCCTAAGTACTTGAACCTATCAACTTCATACACTTCATCATCACCCATCTGGATTACCTGTCTTGCCCTATAACTTTCTCCAAAATCAAACATAATTGTCTCCGTTTTACACCTACTATCCTCACTCCTTTCCTTTCAAGCACAGAAATGAATAATTTGTAATAATGGTTAAGTTCTGACTACATTGATGTTCTCAACATTTTTTCCTGACCTAACCTAACCGAGTTTAGCCGAAGGTGACCGAACTCCATTCGGAGACAAATTTTCACGGTACCGTACATTTTAATATCTAAAATTTTGTTTCTTTTGTTCAAATTTTTTATTGCCGCTACTAATTAATATAGTCGAATGGTCCATTATTTAGTTTAATAATAATTAATAGGGTATTCTAAAAGTATTATTAAAAGAATAAAACACGTTGGTAACAGGTTAGGTTAGGTTATGATAATGCTAATACATATTATAATTAATTTATCAATTCTATTTACATATGTAAGCCATAATACGGAACACTAATTGCGCAAGTACGACTTGCACTTGGCGGTTTTATTTTAAAATTAAGGCTGATTTCTGAATTAATTAAGCATTTTAAATTTCAATAATAACATTTAATAACCTTTCCTAGGCGGGGGCCCTCTACTGGTTATGTGTGATAAATTAGGTATTGTAAACTATGAATTATTATTGTACCATAAATGTTAGAATGTATAACAAATATCAGTTACCTGTAATAATCGAGAAAACAATGAAAATAGTCAACGTTTTGATGTATTGTTCGAGGTTATTACACTGATTTTCATGATTGATTGTATTCATCGTTAAGGTTAATAAAGGTGGTTTCTATTATAAAGGAATAATAAAACCAAATGTTTTTTAAAACATTATAATAAACAAGTTTGTTTCGTAGCAAGCTATGTATTAAAATAAAACGTTGCTGAATAATTAAATGAGACGGATATCAATAACTAAACTTATTACAAATGAGTAATAATTGAAAAAAATGAAATTATCATTTTTACTTTTGGTAAATAACTGTGTATTTAACAATTTTATGTTATAAATAGTAACATAATCAATCAAATTATTTATGTTTTACAATTTACTCTTTAACACAATATATTTCTATTATAGAAACGAATTGTAATTATTGGCGTACAATCAATTGTATATAAGCTATTTTTATGATTTGTGTAATGAAGCGTCTCTAATGTTTTTACAGAATAAAATGTATTAATTTTGGTGCCCAATGATGGTTATAATAAACGTTAAATTAAAAAATGATAATACCACTTTCATTTATACTCTAGGTCGTTTGATTCTTGTTTCTGATAGTTATTTGTAACTTAGTAGTACACAATAAAAAGCCATCAATACTATTTTCTCATTTCCCCTTCTCCGTCTTTCAAGGTCGACAGCTGTCGAATACTAAGATTGGATATGTTCGTTAATCACCGTAATATTTTTATTTTATACTTCTCGTCATTATTATTACATATATTATTAAGTCAAACTATGCCATCAAATGTATTTTTACATTTTTCACTAGGCTGGTTTAACCTTCGTTTTTTTTTTATTGTTTTCGTTAATTGGATCACGTACCAGACGAAGATGAGCAAAGGGCGTATTTAAGCCAAATAAACCATCATCAACTAAACATACTGTAGAAAATGAAAACAAAACAAAGAGGTCTCCCCACTTCTTAGTAGAACGTGATCTCCTTCTGAGTACATCAATTGACCCAAGGTGTTTGGTAGCTGTAGTCAGTAGTGACATACAAACCCACGACACTGCGGCAAACATCGGCCACCGACTCCTATCACCTGGCCCCGACCAAGCAAACAGGTATGTTTTCACAGTGCTCGCTTTACTATCTAGATTTACAACTACAATTCTCACACGTTCGATATTTTATCAATAATAATATTTATTTGTGTAACGTTTGAAAAAATTATGCTGAGGTAAGCAATGTGTATTGTATAAATGTTATTAGCTAAACTACGTTAGTGTCAGTAGCTACTTTGTTAATTACATCACTATTAACAATTTAATAAAAACAAGTTTAAGCATGTTAATTTAAAAAGTTTTGTTATTAAATTACTCATACAATTAAATTTATTTGCGGCAAAGTAAATTTAGCCTTCATTAGAATTTAACGTGATTATTTCAATTAGATGTTAAAAAAAAACAATTTCTGCTGTATAATATTCGAAAAATACAAAATTCTGTGACCGATACATTCATATTATTTAGCCCCTACTCTATGAATATAGACATTACTCATTAGACATTATAGTGTTATACAATATGAAAGGATGCGGGGAAAAAAGATCAATGTCAATTTTTTTTGAAAATGAGATTTTGGTATCAAATTATTTGTATTGACGTATTGTATCTCTTATGCGCTCGAACCACATAGATTAGTCGAGAGTAACGACCGCCGGAAGTTTAGGTATACAGGCAAAATGTATTACATATTGAAATTAAAAACATGATTTTCTCAGAATGTTAAAAAATTGACATTGATTTTTTTTCCCCGCAGCCCTTCATATGCGTCTGTAGATTTCTTTATTTAATTGTGTTCAAACGCATGGGATTAAAAACAATGTGTGGCATATTTACAAGTAATATATTTTATTATTATAAGAAAATGACATTAATGCGAGTCACTAGGTATAAAATGTTCGCTTTTCTTTTTAGACTATGGAGACGCACACGATTGATTACAAATAAATGAATAATACACAATTATAGTAACATTACAGCTTTTAACCACTTCAAATAATTATTGTGATTATACTTATTATTATACTTATACATTAGTAATCAAATTAACTAATAATTAATATTACTTATACTATCGTAGATTTAGTTACTTACATAAGAAAAATAAATAAAGTATGTTACTAAACAAAACAAAAATTTACATTTTATGTTTTAACTGATAAATGATTTACGGTCTAATATTTTTTAACCTCAGGCGTAAAAAGCGTAATTTTTGTTGTACCTATCAGGTTTTGATTTTTAATTTCTTGAATGTAATTACGCTGTCCGTGTCATGTTATTAAATGACCCCAAACCATAATATCATGTTCGACATCGCCTATAATCTCAAAACATTTCTGCCGTTTATTTCGTGTTACAATGACTCAAAACAATATTTTCGTTTCGTTTGCAGTTTCTACACGACCTTGTATGGAATTATGTGTATTTCAAAAAATCGTGCTTACTTCCAAACGCGAACGTGTTTTTTCGAATTATACATTTAACCTTCTCAACTTAGCAATGTATGTATTAGAACCCCTTAAAATAGGCTCAAATACATTATTTCTATTATATTATATATTTAATTATCATTACACAACATTGAACACATCATGTTTAGCCCATACGTATTGTTCATTCATTACAAATTGTATTTATAATGCACTATAAAATTACGTTATGTAAAAACATATTTTATAGTCGTTATTATTTCATTACATAAATTAAGACAGGTATTTCAGAACTTATGTGTAAATGTAATATCAACGATTTTATAACTTACCTTTGCCCTACCTTTACTATTGTTTGAAGTTAATGAACTATTTATGGAGTTTGTACTCAACTAAAGAAATATATAATGTATGTATGTTTACCAGTGATGATTACTGTTATAAGTTATTTAAATAATTAAACAGTCATGAAAATTAGACCATTATACAATTTACAAACAGTATGTATGAATAATTTTAATTACAAATGTATATGTACTATATTTTACTAGTATTCGCATTGAATATATTATATTGTTACACAATGGTATTGGTAACTATTATATAAAAAATAGTATTCGTATATATAATATTGTAATATTATTTATTGTGTTAACATCAGTATAAATAACGTTATTGTTGACAACGATTAAAATATTGTTTTGGGCTTCTGAATCGCAATAAATATTAAATATAGGTAGGTAATATAATGATAAAACGTAATGTAATATTTGTATTAATATCAATGTACACATAATATTAGACTGATAATTTAGGGTTATGATTAATCGAGCAAATTGTATGTGTTGTATACCCAACAATACCTATGTAGTTAAAAATAATATATAATATACAAACATATTTTAGCTTCGATTCAGAAATGTGGTATTGGTTTAACAACAGAGTATATGTTTATCATTACATTTCCACTATCACCTAATAATTAGCATATTTTACTATTAAACTACTTAAGAAGACTTTTTCTGTTTTTGTTTTTATGGATGTAGTTTTTGGATTTATAAGATATGAAAACTAGACTAAACGTAGATTTAGTGTATAAAATTTAACAAAATGAAGTATTCAAACTTTTTTTTAATTTATAAAATATAATATCACAACTACAAACAAAATTATAATCGTTGCCAAAAACTAGCGAATATGGTTTTAGCGGTCTCAGGTTTTAAGGAATCAATATGGCTGAAATCATTAGGATAATAATTTTGTTAGTGTTAATAGAAGGGCACAGGGGAAAAACGGTAGTTGTCACATTATGAAAATTTTAGAGTATAGCAAAAACAAAGTTCGTGTATTCCTCTACCTCTTACATAAGAACAAAAAAAATCACATAAAATGCTACTCTAATAATGTATTTATTTAAACAATCTATTAACATAAATTTTAAAAGAATATTGGCATAAATTGAAAAAAACTATTTGAAAAAAAAAATTTCATAATGTGACTACTACCGTTTTTCCGCTGTACCCTTCATTTGTTTTTTGGTTATTCCTCAATAAAAACAATTTTGAATGTTATTGGTAACTCTAGATCTACATTTAGCCTAATCTTCAGCCGTTTATCGATATAACAAAGAAATAAGTCTCGTCGCTCAAATAAAAAAAAATAGATACAGTAACACAAATATTATTTTAGATCCTAATAAAAACTATATTTTCTGAAGAAACGCGTTATAATTTAAAAATTACTTGTAAAAACATTTATCTAAAACTATATAGTTTATGAGAATGAGCATAAATGCACAAAATATAAAATATAGAATTTTTTTTTTTTGAGTAATAGTAAAGTAATATAATAGACAATTTTTATTATTTATATTTGATGAAGTCGGCCTCAAATAATTATTTGGATTTGTTTATAAGGTTTTAAAATGTCGGTGTATCCGATTTTGCTGCATACAGTAGCATGTGGATGGTATGCATTTTTTTGGAATGAGTTCTTATCAATTTCTAAAGAGGATACAGAAGAATGGCATCCCAGGTACCAAGATATACATGAATTAGGATGTAGATACCTCACCAACTGGAATTTGGTATGCATAAATAATTTTAAAAATTATTTCTTAACTAATTAAAGCTGTTTAAATTATTTGTAATATTGCTTGTACCTTACTTCTTAGTTGTGAAATGATCATTATCAATTTTTGGAAGTATAATGAGTTAGACTCCTAAACGATTAAATTAAAACACTTATATTGCGTAAAATATGGCGTTTCGTGTGACTAAAATTAAAAAATATATGAAGAATTTTATAAAAATAAAAAAGTAAACGTGGAACATTATTAAAAAAAAAACTTCTAGTCTTATTTTCCAACTGGTACGAAAATGAAGTTGGTCGTTACTGAACTAAAGGTACAGATATGGATTTTATGTGTAATGAGGAATATTATTAGCTATTTATTAAAATATTAGATTAGCATAATATCTGTTTATAACAGTTTTTATTCCGTTTTCTCTATAAGTGTTACAAACCGTCCTACTTTGTATAATTGTTATAAAATATTTTTATAACACTTAAAACATTGCTGTATTGCGTACATTGTGAGCTTTTTTTGTTGTTTCTGGTGTATTAGACATAATAATAGATCGGTCATACGACCACTTGGTATACTATGGGTTTTCAAAATGTTAAAGCTTAACGAATTTGAGGGCGAATTCGTTCTTACGAAATTATTTTAGCGCCCTCTAAGTTATTAGGTCAACAATAATAATAATAATATTAATACTTATAAAAATATAATTACTTGGTTAGTTAGTTCTATTAAACGGACGTCAACATTTTTAATAATATTGGTCAATATAAATTGATTGTGTATGCCCACTTAATGCAAGTTTATGGAACTTATAAAGTTTTGCGCAACCTAATAAAGAATTGATAATAACCATTTTCAATTTATATGCATAAAAATAATATTTAAAAAACCATCTATATTTTTATATGTATATAATTTTAGAAGTATAACACTTGTCACTTTGTAGTATTATATATTATCAAATTTTGTTTAAATATACTAAACATTTTTTAAATTTTAGTTTATGCAAACGTTATACTTCAGTGGCTGTTTACTTCACGATCTCATGAAAATTTTCAAAGGACCAAATTGGCTTAAATTAGGAACCAAATTTCAAATTTTACTGTCTGGTAGCTTTTCCTCTCTTATACTACCTACTGGAATAGTAAGTATATATTACTATTTTAACATTTCAAATATTATGTATGCAATAATTTGACGCTTCTAAGGCAAAAGGTCGTAAACGACATTTTTGTCTTTTTTCAGGGAATAGGAAAAATCGATAGAGAATCGTGGAGTTTACGCAAATATATTAAAAACTCATTTACGACAAAAATGTCGTTTACGACCTTTTGCCTTAGAAGCGTCGAATTTATTATACTAATCTGGTATTTGTTGTACATTTGTAAGTACACGTATGTTCTTCTAATCCTACGATTATGTTTTTTAAATCAAATTTTGGTTTTTACGTCTTCTCAAATAAGTAGAACTGGTGAAAGGGGGAAAGGGATGAAAGTTAGTTTTGCAGTGTCGCGTAGACAATCGTGATACCTCTAGTACGAAGTTCGGCGCTTTACCACTGTATGTTTGGTATTAATATAATGATAATTCATTGTGAACCTAATTTAAAACCAAAAATTATTTAGGTAGAATGAGACACATGACACTTTCAATAATTATTTTTTAATGCTTTTATTTAGAAAAATAATAATTAAAAACAAAATTAATTTTACTATTTTACTAAATATTATTTTTCGTAGAGCAAGATTGTTCTTACAAAGAAATTAAATGTATTGTAATTGCCTAATTAAATATTCGTAAACCGTATAAATTATAAAATATTACATATTTCAGTTTGTATCGGTGACATTTTGGACCATGTACGGCATTGATCGCGAGATTGTTTATCCAAAACTAATTGACGACGTCATACCATATTGGCAAAACCACGGAATGCACACTGTGATATTACCCTTTGTTTTCGCTGAAGTAATGACTACCAAACACAGATTTTTGCCTGTGAAAGTTCTAGCAACGATCCTTATTTCATTCGAATTGCTTTACGGAATTGTGTAAGAGCATTGTCTTTAATAGTTTACTGCCGGCAATTATTTAAGTGCGTTTTCTTAAATTTAGATTTTTGGAAACCTACGTGGAAAAAGGCCGTTGGGTGTACCCTCTCTTCGGAATGTTAAGCTTACCAGTATCAATAGCCGTAATGATATTTTTGCTGTTCCTCTTAACTGTATGTTTATTTGTCGGTATCTTCATTCAAAATCAACTGTGGGGTAAGACCTTGTTTATATTCAATTTTTTCTATTTTAAACCCTGTGTGGACAAGGTGGGACGAATACAGGCGTTTGAGACCGTATTCGACCCACCTTTTCCATGCAGGGGTCAAGCTTTGTGTAACATCGCCTAAATTAATCTAATGCACGGTTTCATTAAAAATTGTTTTTTCGTTCAAACTAGGTTATAATATCATAATTATACGTAACGTTTAATATTAAAAACTTCATTTTTGTTTTAGGTGAAGAAGAAAAGAAAGGATACAAAAAACCTGTAAAAAAATCAAAATAAATCAATTTTCCTAATATATATAGTATTAAGTATTTTCCATACTTATGTCATGTTTTTATTTGATTAAGATATACTGCTTTACAAATAACTTTGTTAAGTACCTATTGGAAAATCACAATATTGATATATTATTTCGGACAGGAAGTGGGTTGTTAAATGCTTAACAAAATTGCTACTTGGTCGAGTTAAATTGAAGAGTACAGGGAAAAAACCAGCAAAGTCACTTTTTAAAAATGGCAATTTTTGTTATAAAATTCGTTTTGATACAAAACGAATCTGTTCTTCACTTTTTAGCACGATAATAAACAAAAATATACAATATTTTTAAAAGTTTTAAGTATTTCTTTAACATTTTAAAACATATTTTAGCATTACTTAAACATGTTTTTCTTAGATTAGAAAAAAGTGACTTTGCTGGTTTTTTCCTTGTACCCTTCAATTATGATAACTAAATTATTTATACTTTAATGTATAAATATAACGTTAATTGTATATATCTGTGTGTAGTAACTATGTAATGTGTAATAATCTTGATTTGTATAAAATTATTGTTTATTTGAAGCTATTATTTTTATAACTATTTAAACCATTTTATACAATAGGTATTTATTATAAACGTCTGTTATGTTGTTATATTATTTTGTTTTGTAGCTTACTATTTATTTATTGTATAATAATGGATACATCGTGTTTATTTTCCCTTTATTTGTGATTATTGTATTTTTGTTTACTCTAAATGTGTATGTACATTATATAATCAATAGCAAATGTACTAAATTAGATGTTAGGCAAGACCAATTTCAGCCGATTTTTTTCGTTATGATAACCGGTGTCGTTGTTGGTGTCGGTTTTTTCGTTATGATAAGCGGTAACGATTTTTCCGTTTATGTGCCAAAGCAAAGACAATAAAAATGTCAATACTGTTTTAAGTGATTAATCATTGGTAAACATTTAGGGGGTCATGCCGGGTTGCATAAACGTTTCATGAACAATAAATGTTAAAAGGTTCCTTAAACATAATTTAGTAGACCGTGATTGGTTCATTAAATTTTAATGAACTGTTAAATGTTTTAATGCTTTATGTAACCCAGCATCAGTATACTAATAACCCTTAAAACTTGAAGTTAGTATTTTTTAAAACACCTAAAATTTTAGCTTTTTTATTTTTAGTGTTATATTTGTTGACTATGACCAATGAATAGACTACAATCCAATCTTACAGTGTTAGTTGTTGTGTTTATACATATGGATTATGGAATAAAGATGTCACACATATGTACTTTTACGTGAAAAAACTAACTTAGTTAAAACTTTGAGTGAGTCAATTTGTGATCTGTCGGACAGGCCACAGTCAGGACAGGTCCTGTTCTATACATAAGTAACTAAGTATTATTTCCTCTAATATACAATTTACATGTACACGAGGGTATAATGCTCGAAATATATTATGCAATTTACATTATATTTACTTAAAAACAATCAATATAATATATTAGGGAAAGACTTATAGTTTTTTGGGATGTGTACTCGTACTCCCCCCCTAATTGCGCCTATGTTACTAGGCGATATTCGTTCACTAATTAAAACTCAAAACCAGTAAGAAAAGCTAATTATTTAGTTCAATTAATAAGTTTGGTTAAGGAGAACGGAAAGCGTACAATTTTTTACAAATTAAGACGCGAAGTCACTTTCTGAAATGTCTACCGAACCGATTTCAACATTTTTTTTTGTTATATAGTTTAACATAATTTCTATGGGGGCTAAAAGGCCGATTTTTGATTTTTTTTTTCAAAAAAACTGTATAATCATTTATATTTTTTTCTAATAAATCTAACTAATATTCTGATTGCTAAATCAAAAATCGGCCTTTTAGCCATAGAAAAAATAGTAAGCTTCATATAAGAAAAAAGAAAAATTCAAATCCGTCCATTACATACGCCAGAAAATAATTTTTTATCAAACTTTTGCCATAACTCGGAGAAAAATAACTTTAGAAGTATTATAACTAAAAAAACTTACTCAAGTTAAAGAGTGCCGCCATTGGGCGGTTGCTTTTATTCATGTGTATCCAAGTCATTGTATTATTTCCGCTTACGGACTTATTGTAATATAATAATTACAAATTGTTTGTTTTACCAATAAAATGTAAAAAAAAAAAAAAAACTTAATATTTTTCTCCTTAAAATGAGTCGGCATATTAAAAATGGTTACTATAGATCAATTTTTTTAAATATTGCCTATCCTTTGCCCCTTAATAAATTGTACTTTCCGTTCCTCTTAATTAGCGAAATATTCTATAACATCATAATTAAACAATTTTAATTACGTTACAGAAGCGAATAGACTACATTTTTGTTATCGGACAAATTATATAACCCTTCAGTGCCCATTACACCAGATATGCAACAATATGTTTATTATATAATTGAATTCATTTAGAAAATTGCATTTAAATTTGTGGCCTTATAGTTTTTTAAGAACATCTACCAGATGTTATAAATGTAACTTTTTTACTATTTTTTTTAAAATTTCTGATAATTTAATACATACAAAAAATTGTACAATATAAAATTTAAAAAACCAGTACAGTGGGGTCGGAACATAGTGGTGACGAGGAGGACACAGGTTTACTGGAATTATTACAACTGAAAGTGATAAAATCACTTTCAAATAAACGCTTCAATGCTAATCACTGATTAGTATGTTCAAACCAGTACAGTATTTAAATAGTAAGGGTCTAACTCATTATATATTTCTAAAAATTGATTTTTGCCATTTTAGACCTAAGGTACAAACACTATAACAAATAATTTAAATAGCTTAAATTAGTTAAAATAATATTTTCAAAAGTGCTTATGCGTACTAAATTCTAGTGTGCAAGACACCTACACCCTAATTCATGTGTATCTTGGTACCTGGGATGCCATTCTTCTATATCCCTTTAAGAAATTAAAAAGATGATTGACAAATAAAAAAATGATAAGTAAAACTCTGCACAATGTTAATTTTTTTTTGCAAGTTTTTTTTTGTTCCCATCGTGGGTGGTTTAATATAATATGTTAAATAACATTAATTCATAATTTACTGTAACTATTGTTATTATTTTCAATATGTAGTTGAGAAGGTATTGTTAGTTTGTCTTTATCTATCGATTTTTTTTTGTTAATCAGAGAAAAACTAAATTATTATTTATTAGTTTGTATTACAATTTGTTAAGTCTCTGTGTGCATTTTCATGAGTTAAGTATCGAGCACTGTGTAGAACAGAAAAAAACCTACCAAGAGGAAATTGCAAGAACGTATACACAAGAATGTAAGAAATGTATGTAAGTAGTAATAGTATTTAATTTCTAAACTTTTTTAATCTTATTTTTTTTTTTAACTACGTCTTATAGAAATTCACAAGAACTATTATTATGTTCTTAATGTATGTTCTATTTTTTACAGTTAACTTTTTCCTAGCTATTACCAATTAACTTAGTCGTTTATTTCTTTTATTTTAATGTTATTAAAAAAAAATAAACCAAAATTAAATTAACTTTATAAGATATGTACAAGAATTTGCGTAAAAATCGCAGATTTTTCTTACTTAGTCATTATGTAAATATGGTAGACAATTCTGAAAGTATTTATCTTAAATATTTTAATAAAAAAATATTATGTGTTTGTAATGTCTGTAATATACCTTAAAATATTAGGTAACGTTGTGTTAGAACGGTTTAGTTCATTTTTTTTTAATTCAATCACTGAACAAAATAATAACTTTTTATAGTCAATTTTATGTATACAGCTAGGTATTAATATCATAAATATAATTACTATACATAGTTGTATACTGTACAGATATTTTTTTATTGTTTAGTGCTCATTAGGAATCAAATTGCATTAATATTTCTCTTCCAAAATCATTAATTTTAAAAATTACTATGAAAAATAATACTTAAATATCAATTACAAATTTTAACTTGGTTCACAAGAATTATTTGACGTTTTATATATTTAGGTATAAATATTTAGGTTTAAATGTATAAATAAGTTAAGCTACTCCTTTAAATACTTTACCTATCTACGAAAGCTGTTTTTAGCAGGCATAATATAAATTTATATTTATAAAATGTATATTCTCTCATAATAATGCAGTTACTTCAAATTGTATGTATGACCATTAATAATCATCATAAATGTAAAAGTAGCTTATAATCAAATTTATTATCACTTAGCTAGTAAATCAAAAGTAATAAATTGAATAATCAACAATTTCTGACATAGCAAAAACATTAATTACTGATTACCGAATTTTTAGATTTTTGGTTAGATTTTTTTATACAAATTTGTATAAATTGACAAAAATAGTTCATAACTACAGTCTTATTATTTATTTTATAAAAAAAAATTATAATGGTATGTAAGATTGATGATAAAATTCTAAGCAATGATATATATTTTAATTAACCTTGCGCGATTACAATTAATAGTACAAAGATTATCGACGGGGGAAACGTATATGAGTCGATATACAAATTATCTAAACTTCAAGGTGGCTTTTGGCGGCAATCGTACTTACAACCTAAACGCCACTTCAATCATTTCAGTTAAAAATGCCTTTGGAGGCAATTGCAAGCTCTCGACAACCACCAACGGCTTTCGTTCGTTGTGTGGTTCACGGTGTTCTCAGTTGTATGTATACATACACATTTTACATAGCAAGAACACTAGACTATTCTATCATCAATTTGCCGACAATCAACGAAGTTGACAAATATATCAGATATACTCTTACATTATGGACACTGGTAAATATTTGTAAATTAACCGATTTATTTTTACCCCAAATTCTGCTACTAATTTGTTTTAACTTGTTTTTTTTCTATTTGTTAAACACACCGTTTAATTATTTTTGTTCATAAATAATTTAGACCTTCATTTTTTTTTACTTATTAAAATAAATCCTTTTAATATGTGTTTATGCTTATGTTCATAAAAGCTACGTCATAAAAGGTATTTACTTAATAATATACCTAATAATAAACCTCCGTTTATATCGTCTTTAAAGTACACAACAAATGTAAAAGAGGTTATTTGATGGATTATCTTTTAATTGTATCATCTTCACTGTATCTTGTACAATACATTTTATATGTAACTTTCCATGAACAACCTTAAAATGTCTATTAATTAAATTAGTTTTACTATTTGAATATTTGCCTTTGCAAAGTTAAGGGTTACATGTTTAGGCTATTACTCGATAGTTGTGCAAAAAATAAATGGTCTATACAACTTTGGATTGAAAAATAAAAAATCATACTTTTTCATTTTTCCTGTTCTTAAAGAAGACGGGCATAATTTCTTAAAACTATAAATCTCGCTAGCCCTATGTATAAATACGATTCTAACGTAAGGATTTTACTGATATGCTATTATTTTCTAAAAATAGCAGCTGTCTTTGTGACTCAATTATTTATCTTGTCTTAAACATTTCTTTTTATATGAATTTGCAACAAATTAATAAAAAATATTTTCATGTTTTTTGATAAACACTTGATACTTTATTCTTTCAATAATTAAATCAATTTTGCATATTAATTGTTTATGATTTATTTTGTTTCAGTCGATGATAATGGGATTTTTCATCATATCTACATTTTTAGATTTCTTCGAAATATTACCACAACCAGCCATTATTAATAAATTACTCAACAAATTTCGAGAGATAATCAATTTTTTGTTCATATCTACCATAACGCCGGTATCAATGGTAAATATTTTAACAATTATTATTATACCCATCATTTCTATAAAAGAACATTGCGATAAAAAATAAAATAAACAATTATTATCATTAATAAAATTGAAAAACATTAATGGTTAATGTTATAATAACGTGTGAAATTATTAGTCGATGACTATTAAAATTCAGTGAAAATAATTAATGTTAAAATTATGCAACAACACAAATATTTAATAACAAAAAATATATGTGTAAAAAAATTTAATTTTAGAATTTTTAATTTAATTTCCAAGCTCATGTAAAAAAATTATTTTAGAACATCCTTTTATCATTTACAGTGATTTTATCATATGATGTTATTTTTTTCTGTATCCAGGGATACCAAAATCTCAAAATCGTAAAATTGGCACATAAGAGGTTTTTTTCGGCAACGACGATATGTCATAAGACATAAGTGCATAGACAATTTAAATAAAAGTGTTTTAAATGTAGTCTAACGATATGAAATTAGGAATTTCGAGCTTCGTTCCTGTAAAATTAAAAAAAATGCTACATAACACATTTGTTATTAATATAATAAGCTACTTCATAAAATCTATTATTTTAACTCATATAATAAAGATTGATTGTTCATATTTGAATGGATGATATAAAAATATAAATCCATATCGTTATATTCCTTATAAAATTACTATAGTCTATTATAGTACTAAAGATACTATTAGATAAATACTAATAGTATCTTTGACTAATATTGAGGAATAATAATAATTTATACTTGTACTAACGATATAAGATACTAAAAGTATACAACATTTATCAACTTAATAATCTCATAATCTGTACAAATATATTATACATACTTTAATGTTCACACACTAATTTATAGCATACAAATATACACACATTTTAGCAAGACTTTGGATCAAAAATTGTGTTTAAAATGTATTTTATTAAACAAAAAATTGAAATTCCCTTAAAATTGAAAAACCACAACACTTAAAAAAAGGCGAGTTCTTTAGACATAACAAAAAAAATTTGCGGAGAAAACCCAAGGAAATATCGCTAATCCTTACCCTTAGAAGGAATAGAAACATTTTGTTTATTGAGGACTTAGCCATAGTTTTTGAACTTCGCGTCTAAAATGTTGAATATAGTGCATCTAGTGTGACTTTACAAAAATCTGTATTCAAACTCTTTATTTTTTTAAGAAAACCCCCAAAAAGGGTAATAATTACACTTTGACCTTATTAAATTTCTAGTTTGAGATGTATAAATAAATTAACAGACAAGAGGTATGTGGAAAATAGTTTCAAAAAAATGTAGAACCCTAGTCTAATCCATCCTAATACTACAATTGAAAGATTAAGCTCATTATTGCCTTTAAAATGGTTTTGTCGATGTTTAATATTTCTACAATCTAAAGATGCGTGATTTTATCACTTACGGTTATAATAATTCCTGAAGATCTGTGACCTTCCCGACCTAATATACTCCGTTACCACTTTGTCCCGCCCCCTTTGTGCTGATTTTAATTAGTGTTATCGAAAAAAAGTGTTGTCTGTAGTTCGCACTTGTAGAAGTAAATGTCTGCTGTTTAACCTTGAATAATTTTTCCTAAAAAAAAAACCATAATAACAATAAATTTGGGTTTATATTGTAATATAGTTGTTTTAGTTTTTTAATTTAAATTCGTATTCATAATACTTACTTAAAAACCTCAAAACCGTATTATTATGTAACTAACCTAGTAGTTAGTATAGTAAAAAAGTTAGTTGTCCAGAGTTTATATAGTCTTCGCTTTGTTATCCCTGCAAGGTAGCTTAGCAATATTTTGATTTAAGGCTACTACAAATTGAAAGATTAACAAATAGTTAATAATTTCCCCCTACCAAAATAGTAACTAGATTTTTAGCCGATTAATATACACCACTCGAATAAATTTATCAATTTATTAGCTTTAGAGATGCCGTGTGAAAGACATAAAATTACAATCAATATTAAAGCTAACTGGTTATAATATATTGTATTAGTAAATGATATATCCATTGGAAATAGTAAATAGCAGAATTTCATATTTTAAACTATGTAAATTAAAAATTTGTAATTTAAAAATAAATAATGTATTTTAAAGTATAACTATATAAATATTACAATATATTGTTATAAATAATGTATTTTATAAATTTTTTCTAAGTATATAATTTATTTGGTCGTTTAAAATCTAACTGACAATGAACTGATTTTCTATAATGATGATATTTTTATAAATTTGTATATTATTTTTTTGTTACAGTGTGTATGTTCTGGATTTTGGTTCGCTTGGATATTAAATAGCAAAGATATTTATCCAGAAGAAATGAATAATTATATTCCAGTGTGGTTAAATCACATGGTTCATACTTTACCCATCATTATTTGTTTTTTTGAACTATTATTTAGTTTCCATAAAACACCAAAATTAAAACATAGTCTTATATGTTTATTGACATTTGAAACAGTATACATGCTAACGTAAGTGTTTAAACGATAAGGTAAAAATAAAAATAAGCACTTTTTCGACTACAAAAAATTGAATGATTCAATATATTTACATAACAGTATTCTAGCTTCACGAACATTTTTAATTTTCAAAATATCTAAATCAACTAAATATAGAACGTCCAATCTAGACGTCCTTAAAATAATAACGTTTTACAACACTGATATAATTCGAAATTAGTTCTCTAACTATACTATTCCACTGTGAACCACGTGACTAGTTGTATAATCATAAATAGGAATTAAAAAATTATAATGAATAATTACGGTATAAAAATATTAATTTCTTAATAATGGTGAATCTAATAAACATCATAACCCCACCAATTTTTTAAAACGTTCGATGATGGCTAGATCTAAAAAAAATTGCCTTTACCGAATGTTTTAAAAATTAGTATGTGAGGCGTCCTCGTATAAATCTAACAAATAGTAATATAAAAATAAACACATTTCCGAGAATGAACAAAAGGTTATTTAAGGACATTTTAACAACTTGAAGTCTACATTTTGTTGCTACTCGAAATCATTGTAGCTATCTTGTGAATGTTTACATCATAAAAAGCCAAATATCTCTATATTATAATAATACTGCAGTTGACACAATATTATTAGGTACTATGAAATATTTTGAAAATTTAACAAACACAAAATCATTTAACATTTATTATTACCTGTTTGGATTATATATTTACTCTATGGTTTTGGATTTGATATGATAGTATAATATTTAGACTTGAGTTGTATATTGTGGTACCATTGTAATACTTTAACTAAACTTGTAAAGGCTGCCTAATACATTCAAACTTTATTTGAAATTTAATATGTAGATATTAACACTTTTTGTTACAGGTTAGTCATATTACGAATTCGACATGGGAGATGGGTTTATTTACTTATCGATATATACGTCAATACATTATTCAAAGTTATTATAATGTTCTCATTCCTTTGTTACATTTTTCCTGTTATTTACTTAATTGGCTGTTGTATGCTTAATAATTACTATTGGGGTAAATAGAAAAAAAAATAAATTTTTTGTCATATTAATATGTGAACATATTATAATAATGATTTAAATATTTATACATTTACAGGTATTAAAGTGACCGAAAACATTAATAATACAGAAAAAGTAGTTAATGTAAAACTGAAAAAAACATAACAAATTGTATCCTAAGAAACGTTTTATGGTGAATTGTATTAGTTTATGTATTAATTTATGGTTGTTTATTTGGGTTAATATTGGGTGAAATATTTATCATATTTGTTCAAATTAAGAGGAAATTACATGTTTTTATTACAATTAATATTATTCTTGTTTATAAAATTATTAAAACTTGAATGGGGTATTATAAATACACTATTTACACGCCTTGCGGTTACTCCTATTTGGATATCTTGACTGGTTCGCCAACGTTTCGAAACACTTGCATGTTCCATCTTCAGGGCTCTGGTTCGATGTTGTTCATACCGCGTTCTCCCGTAGAAATGAAGATGGAACATGCAAGTATTTCGAAACGTTGGCGAACCAGTCAAGATATCCAAATGAGAGTAACCGCAAGGCGTGTAAATAATGTAAATTCTTATTTATGTTATAATTTTGAGTTTTTTTTATAATGTACTAATATTATATGATTTTGTATTAAATAAACTATTTATGTTTAATTGTTGAAAAACTGATAAAAAAATTTGCGCGTCGCAGGCCCATAAATGATTGGGTTATATACAAACACAAAAGTTAAAAACAGCATTGACACAATACATAAACCAGCCCAGTCAGTATATTATTACTATACGAGCCCAATACGATAATTGCACTAATAGTTTAAAGTGACCATTATAAAATATAATTTTTGAGTTGTTTAATCCATTTGAAAGCGATTTCCAAATTTACAGGAACTTATGCTTGGAGAGAACCATTTAAATGCGTTTATAGTTTTTAAATGTTTCCAAAATAGCTATAAAACATAAGTAATTTAGATAAGTGGTTTGATAATTCAATATATCACAAATAAAGTAAACTCAAGAGTTTTATATAAATACTTCTTGACTCTTGAGTTATTGGCATATAAAGATATAAACAAGAAATGAAGTGCAATGTGTGCGGATAAAAATATCAGCTTAGTACTTTAATTCTCGCCTATACTTATAAATGATAGTAAGTAACTCGAGACAATTTATCCAAAACTAGTAACTGGCCTACCATTATTTTATTTAATCATTATTATCTGTTTAGATAAATATATTTCGTTGATTGCTATTTGATGTATTATAATAAATTATATTGTATAATATTATCTGAGGTACCCGCTTCGCTTGGTAATTTTTTTAATATAACGCTGCCGATTTATTTTCGTGCTATTTGTCTTAATCCACGACGGGTCGGGAAAAAGTTCTAGAATATTCCAAGGAATTTTATGGAATTCTATGGAATACTTCAACCACTTCAATTGCTTACTCCTACACTACATACACCTACCCCAACCAAACTCTCTTATTATCAATGAGCAACGTTAAGCTACATCTACACACAACCCCAGTGTGTGGTTGTTGAGAAAATCGAATTTATACCGACAAACATGTTCCTTTTTAGTAATATGTACATGTATATTATACATATATATTTTGGTAAAAAAAAAATGTTTCGTAAGCACTAATAATGTATTACTACAGTGATAGCATTATTACAAATGTATAACAATGCTAAGCAATTTAGTAGTCAAACGTATCTTTTAATATTTCATTACTTAACCATACATATTTCACCAATTTTGTTCAGGGTTTTTTTAGAAGATTTGCAAGTTCAAGTTTTAAAAAAATGTTAAATATTTTAAGTATTTTAAAAACCATTTTTTATTTTTTTTACTTATTACAAAAAGTATAAGAATAACGGAAACGCGCAGTTTTCATAGGCAAAACATCATTTTACGTTTACAAAATGTTTACTTCACAAATTTAAAACAGATTTTAAAAGTCGTTAATTATATTTATGTTGTCTATTTGACAACAATAATTAGTTTTTGATATTTTACTTTCATTTCAGTATGTATATTTATAGTAATAACGATAATCGACTATAGTCCTGGAGCGATGTTATTTATTGATTATTTTAATTTGTGTAGAGCTTTCTTGAAGATGCTATATTTTACTAAGAACCGTACACTATACAATCTTAATGGTAATTAAAACCGTTATTCAAGTATCTTTAAAACTGGTATAAAAATAATTATAGGTTTAGAAAGATTTAGTGAAAAACAATGTGCCTGCAGATGGTTGTTAAATTACTGTTATTAAAGTCGTCGATTTTATATTAGATTGCGTCTGTTGAATATCACGATCAACCCACCCGATAGCCTTAAGTCTCAGCGAAAGTGACTATACTTTTCATATTTATTTTGATATGCATTTTTATAATAATCGCCAATCGACTAAAACGGATAGAAAATCATTAAACCATTAATGCATTGTAAACGTATAGTGTTAATGATTCACTTTTAATAGCCCCATAGTTTAAAATTAGTAAAATTGTATATTTCTTTATGTACAATATATATTTCTTATATATATATGTCCATTTTTTTTGTATACATTGTCGAAATGAATAAATAAACCAATACAATGCAACTGTATAGTTAAGAAAATAATTAAAACCGTTAAATAAAAAAAATTAAGTTATCAGCATTACCGAATTACCGAATCAGTTACCGAACATATATATATTTTTAATTTGGGAATTGTGTTATTTTAAAAAATTCTACTGTTTAATAAATCGGTACCTCCACGTCAAATTGTACCCCATTTTAATTTCATACTTTAATGTTATTTTTCACTACTAGTACCGATTTAAAAAGAATTCCCAAATTTAACAAATTTCGTCTTAAATCGGTAGCGTGTTAGATATTTAAAAAATTACAAATTTTTTTTTTTTAATTGCATGTAACTTACTTAAAAATTGAGGAACAATAAAAAACATGTACAATTTTTCGTTGTAGGTATTTTTGTTTAAGATTATTAAAAAGATGTAGTAAAATACTCCGCTTAATTTTTTGATTTTAAGATTTAAAATATGTTTTTACTTTTTAGAAGGTACGTAATAATATTAACTATATAAATACATTTTTGAAGAAAAACTATTCGAAGATAAGTTGATCGTGGACAAAAAATATTATCTATTGATTTAATCAATATTTGTTTAAAGTTTTTTTCTTTAATTACTATACAAATTGTTGGTTTTTTTTGTTGATATTTTTTCCCATTATATTTATAACCACTGCTTGATGAAAACGAAATCGACTTTCGTCCGAGTTGCCTCTCTGTATGGCGTCTTATGGCAGCGGGGACACCTTTTATAAAAGACTGCGAGCCAGTACTCCGTTCATTACACACTCAATAACCTGGTCAAAATGAGGTAAGTTTTTTAGTAGCGAATACTAAGTTATTTGTGTTATTTTATTATGAACTTAATGTGTGTGTGTGTGTGTGTGTTTGCTCATGAAAATCTTTTAGAATACATTCACATTGGAGTATTTGGGCGTTGGTGCTTTTTACCCAAGGACATGCTTGGAGATCAGATTACGAAGACTGCGCATTGCCATTAAAACATTTCAAATATATTTCGTAAGTAAAAGTCTATTATAAAAAATATAAAATTAGTTTAGAATAAATAGATCCATTTATTATTTTTAAAGCACACACATTTCTATTATATTTAAATAAAAGTATTAAATTATATTAGACTTTTAAATATAAATAACATTTATTTGGTAATTTATTAAAATCTTAGCAAATAAATCAATTTCCGGAAAAAAATATGGCGATATACTGTATGATATCATTCAATATAAACAAATTCTTACCGTATTCAGTATTGTATGTGTTTATTCGTAAATTAATAATATGATATGTCTGAGTTTGATAGAGCTTTAGCTACCTAAGAAAATTCGCAGTAAGCACTACGTGGTTGAGTTCTATTTTTGTCCCCCTCTCCGCCGGATATAAATTGTACACAAAAAATAATAATTTAATTTTAAATTTAATACAATTTATATTGTTAGTGATGTGACATTACACATTATACCATGACATTACAACCGTAGCATGAAGAAGTTTGAAAGGGCTATGCGCTCTCATATAATACTTTAGGACCCACTCCTTCACAGATGTATTCAAGGTTAAATTGTTATATTAACGTATTTTCTATAAACTGTATCGAGGTACTCCTTGCCTTCATATGCTGCTCTTGGTCGATTGTCCATATGGAGCAATAAATTTATCTTTAATTGTTTATATAGTTTATACTTTTTTAGGATACTCTCCTTGTAATATTCCATCTCTACCAACCCACGTCACCGACAACCATTTTTATCTACATCTCTTCATTTTTCCCTGACTCACGCTTATTTTCGCCGACGGTTTATTTTTTACTTCAGCTTTCAGATACGCTACAGTATTCCAAACTAAACCATATCTTTCTCTACAAAATTGCCAACCTTAGTATTATTCTTTTACTATTGAATGTACCGTCATTATCCATGTTTTTTTTTTAAATTTACTTTTCTAATACTGATAATTTCCTAATTTGTTCTGATTCTCATGCTTGCCTTATTGCTCTCATATCCAATCCCTTTAATTTTAAACTATGCCACTTATTCTCAATATTAGATCTCTCTTGTCCCGTATTTTCTGTTCTGGTAAAGAAGTGCAGTTTTTTTTTATCTCAGCGGTCACTCTAGAATCATTGGCAACGAGACCGATGACTTTCTTGGTACCTCAACTACAACTTTTTTTAATGTACAAAGACTTACATAATCTGATATTTTTCAGCTTTATCAAACAAATATTTTACGGGCGTGGCAGCTAAAAAAGTCCTTCCTTCCTCCTAACTTTTCTTGTGGTATCGTCATATCAGCTCTATTCTCCCCTGCACACCCTGGTTTAAAGACCTAACCGTTTCTTAAACTGAAATGAAAATAAATTACTTCTTTTGCATGTCTAAGGTTTAGTCATAATCTCATTCCTGCTTTTTTTTTCTCTTAATTCCTCACTATACGGAACCGTAGATAAAAAACCTTCTATATGGAATTTGCTCCATATTCTTTTTCATTTTCCTACCTTATATTTCAACAGAAATAATCTTTTTAGCTTTTTCTCTACTATGGGTATTAACAACCCCAACCCTTTCAGAATCCTTAACTCGTTCCGTTCCATTAATCCTTGACGCTGGCTTTTCTATCTAAGTGTTTATATGTGCATGATTATTAATTTTGATTGTTTTTAATTAACTATATTTCAATATATTATTATAACTGTCGAGACATAATACTGTAAAATAAAGATATTTAAAAAATATATATTAAGATAATTATCATATACTTTTACCACAAAAATTATGAAAACAGTAAGGAAAATATAGTTTATCTATAGAAACACATTTGGTGTGCCCACGTGTTTTATAAATTTAAACTGGCCCATTACACTACATCAAACAAGAAAACATTTATCAAAGGCATATGAAATATCGTTTTAATGATTAAGAATTTTAAAATAAGAGTTATAAAATGTATTGTATGAGATTTTACCACCTTACTATCTATAAGAAACATTATATCGTATACTTAATAGTGTTAATATAAAAACTACTAGTTAGCAACAATACCTTATTTATGTAGAGTTATTGTTCAACATTTGACAGGAAACATTTGATTAAACTCTGGTAATATTCTAATACATCAATAGCCTTGAAATATTTTGTTAAATCATCATTACATGAAGATATATGAGAAGAAATTTGATTCTAGAGATAAAAATAATGAATCCATAGAAAAAAAACGTATGGTGTAGAGTACTGATTTAAATATCCAAAAATCTAACAGACTGGAGAAAGTTTATGCTCATTTCACTTGTACAGGACCCGGTACGACGTCAACTCGTTATGACTTCGCGAGATACTTTAAATAAAACGCATAATCATCCCGTTTAGTGAAAAATAAAACTGATTAACAACAATTAAACACAACAATAATAAAAACGAAATAGCATCGTTTTAGATACAATGTACTAATTTAAAACAATGGAGATTTTTTTTTAGATTTCCGAATGAATATAATATATGGGATCAGTTAAAAATATCGACCAAAGTTAGACATTTTTCTTGGACGTAAAGTTAGATAGAGAAAACGTATAAGAAAGCAAAACTCAAAATTGACAAGTAGAATTGATCAAATTTCAACTTTTAAACATGTTGAAAAATATTACCACATACCACATAACTACATTTTTTAAATTGAAAATGTATAATTGATACTATTTTTTTCTTATAACTATATTACTATTAATACATTTAAAAAATAACATACATACATATAAATGTTTACAATAGACAATCATATGGTGAAAAATGCATAACATACACCAACGTTTCTGATGCGTTTCACGAAGCATGTAGAGGAGTTTTGGGTATCGAGCCTGGAACAAATGATTTGACAGATCTCCAAATGGATAACTTCGGAGAGGTTTTACAAGAAACGACACGAATTATTTGTGAATGGTTTGTGGAATATTATATATAATACTTACAAGTTACAGGATTTAAACACGACTCTATTGTTAAAACATAAACAGCATATTTTTCTAATTTAACAAGAATTGTGAGGCGAGACGGGAAAAAGGGATCTCTTGTCGCTAGAATCCAAATTGCAGGAGAGGCCAAAACATCGGTCAGGGTTGGAGTGTATTTAAGAAAACAAAATTATGTTATCTGATTAAGGGCACTTTATTTCAATGTTTGGTCGAGTTTCATTCCTCAAGTATGTAAAATTAAAAGTTGGCATCATTTCATACATTTAAAGCGTTTTTTCTCAGAAAAACTATTTTTCGAAAATAAATTCTACCAAATATAACTCGGCCAGTTTTAAAGATAGCAGAATGATTCTGGTCTCAAAATGTTCAGAATTTAGTGTAAATTTTGAAATAACCAATCAAAATTTGATTTTTGCGACTAGAGGTCTGTTTTCCCTTCCTCACAATTATTTGAGCAACGCAGTATTACAATATTATTATTATTTTTAACAATTGAATTATATATCATCCATAAATAACATTTACTAGACATGCATAAATACATATTTTGAGTACAGGTTCGGACTCACTAAAGATCAAGTACGAGGTTTGTTGCCTCTAATAAACACAATGAACACGGATATAAGTTTATACTGTCCTAAAGAACTGAAATCTTACCCCGGAAACGACTGTGGTAATGGAATCAATTTCCGAACTATTGAGGGTAGATGTAATAACTTTGTTCATCCACTATGGGGAGCTGCTAAATTACCATTTAAACGTTTTTTGCCGTCTGATTATGGCGACGGTGAGTACTTACAAACTATTTACCTATTTAAATTATTTAAAAAAAATTTGTTACTTATGCTGGGTCTTATTAACTTTATCAAGTGTTTATCGAATATAGCGGTTCCTTTATACATTTAATGGTCAATTAAATGTGTCAAATTTTAGTTAACCCGGCATTGTACATTGAATTAACTAGTAAATCTTATCTAACGTATTTGAACAGTTTAAATTTAAATATATTATTTAAAAAATAATATTAACACCGTTTGTTTAATTTTAAGGTATTAACACATTTCGAACAAGCATTACTGGATTTCCATTACCTAATCCTAGATCTGTATCCGCTCGAGTACACAAAGACTTAGCCAAACCACATAGAACTGATATTGCGTTTATGTTTGCTGCCTGGGGACAACTCATCGACCACGATCTAACATTGACAGCTGAAACAAAAGGTAAAATAAGCCTTTCTCTATACATTATTTACATTGTAAGTAACATTTAAATTTAATACAGATCCTATCACTAGACAAGAAATTAAATGCTGTTCAGGAGCTCCACATCCTAGTTGCATACCCATCAACGTACCGGCAGATGACCAATTTTTCATTGGAAGCCATCGTCAACGATGCATTGATATGATCAGATCATTATCTGGAGTTAATACAGATTGTACATTAGGTAATTTATTATAATCAATTAAATTATTCTTATAGGTTATCCATAAAGTAATTCTTCCCGAAATGAAGTGATTACACTAAAACGTCTTTTTTCTTATATTATACTATAGTGACTTGATATCATATATATATATATATATATATATATATATAGATTAAATATAGGATCTTTAATCTTTAGATTTAATAATTATACTTAATAGTCGTTATATTGTTTTAACCTATCGAATATTGATATAAATCAAAACCCTATTTCAATCCAGTGGCGTTGGTCACATATACATATTTGCGAAGGAAATTTAATAACATTTTTATAAAGACATGACCTCTTCCCATCATAATTAAATATACAAAATTACAAAATGTATAGAAAGGAGTGGCAATTAACTATTATTTCGTTTAGGTCACTATTTAAAACTATACAGTGTACACAAAACCAGATGCTCCGGTTATATTAATAATATTATTTATTAAAATGTACAAAGCCCAGCAAATTGTTTTAAATATTTCATTCGTTAGAGAGTCTAAAAAATGCAGTCTGCTTACTGCATGCATACCATCCTATTACTAAAATTGTAATATGTAGTCACCTATACAAAAAACTACATTTTTTGGAGGCTAGTAATATTGTAGGAAATCTAGCTCTCCCGCTAAGACCACTACGCTTTTACCAAATATCGATCCATGATTCAAACGTCCGTCCTACTGATACGTATTATGTCCACATTGTGTATTATTATATTATATTAATCAATAAACACCGAACCATGTGTGCTTTAATACTTTCTAATACACATTGAGTATAATAAACTATTATTTTAATTCAAAAAAATAATTTTACTTATACTGGCGCTGGGTATATGTTCAAACAAGAAATCAAGGCTATGTTAAAAATTTGTTTAAATGTTTTACTCTTAGTATCTTTTTTTATACAGATTAGAAAATATACCACAACGATTCGAATTAAAAAAAAAGCCGTTATTCTATACAGTCAAAAGTCTAATTAATACTCATATTAGAAATGAATTAAAGCTGTAGATATGTAAAAGAATAGAAAATATTTGTTGAAAAAAGTTTTTATAAGTCAAAACCCGATGCAAAAAACATCTAATTTGAAAATGTTTTTCTTTTTTTCGTTTAGTATTGATTACTAACCACTTTTTTTTTTGTAACGAATACCTTATTAGACATTTATTTATTAGTATTGCATATTTTTTAGACAGTAGTATAAATATCGTTTATTGATTCTAGATTTTGAAAATCTCGCCCCTAGTACAGATCGTATAGTATTAAAAACAGAACAGAATAAAAAAAACATTTGCTAGTATTCCAACAATAGTATGACCAGTGCGTGGTATTATGTATGTAATGTGCATATCCCGGTGGTTATAATGATAATAGTACTAGACAGGATAACAGCCGTTTATTGTATAACTTGATGGAAACAGGTGCAAATTTATGAGGGTGCGAGCGGCAAGCCACCCGTAATCAGTTGGTCGCTCAGACCCTGGTACCGGAGACCTTTTCATAGGGTACTTTCGTTAACAGCGTACAATAGCAATACTACTACCCTTCAGGGTTGTTTGCTAACGCCGTTGTATCGCATAAACCCCTACTCGCGACGGACGGATGTGGTCCCTTTTGGCGTGTGCTATCCCTACGAGCGATTTGGTTTTTTTTTTGGGGTCTGTTTTGTCAACAATCCGTGTACTAAAACGTCTGCGACCCTAGTCAACCAAGACGGGCTGTTGGCGGTGTTTTGCGATGGTGCAACATTTACACGTCTTACACGACAGAATCTTATGACCTTTTTAGACACAAGCCCTTTGTTCCCGTCTTAAGGAATTCAATTTGGGGTTGCGCTAATTTTTTGCCAGGCAACTAAAGCGGACTCGGTGGGCGTGTGGATTTTTTTTTCATATCATACCCGCCTTTTAGAACCCCTGAATATAATTTCACCCTCGAAAATCTCTTTTTACGGTTGTAACGCCCATAAACACCACTAATGATAATCACGCATTTATACAAGTGAATTCGTGCACCTTGAACGTATTAAATTTCCAATTTGCTATGTGTGAATGAATCAATAGTTAAGAAGTATCTGAAAAATATTGACACTATACTATTGAATACGGTTTTGTATATTGATTAATAACAGTAACGAATATTAGGATAGACAAACGATCAACCCTGAAATTTATCTACCACAATCCCAAAAAAAAAATATATAATGATTTTATTTTTAAAAGAAAATAAATTATTTAAAGAAATAAAACAATTTTTATTTGAAGTATAAGTAATTAAATAATTTTCATTTATATATCGTACTTGCAATCGTGCATTTATACTCATAATAAATCCTACAGTCGCGTGACTACTCCAATCTCACTGCTCTGTTATTATTTATTTTACAGTACACACTTAACTTTATAAATTTAAAATATTATGAATTGTAGGTATTTATTAAAACTTGGACCACTTCCCAATCCGCTCTTGCCTATCGAGACAACCGTTCTCTCGCAATAAATAAATCGCAGTAAACGAATTTTTTTTTCGTTGGTTTTTTATAAGAAAGTTCATAATTATAAAAATTAAAAAGGAACTATAGATGACGTTATAATAATAATTGTAAATCATAATTACTTTAAATGGCATTGACCTATTTTTATTAAAATAGATCAAGGCCGTGGAAATTATCATTCCGCTGCGGCGCAGCGTAAAGCAAGCTAATACCTAAAGTTATTAGAAATATATTATATTAATACTAGAGTTAAAACTCATCAATAATAATAGTTTTTACATGATATACCTAGCCATCTTAGAAAACAAATAGAAATTATGTAAATAAATAAGCAATTAAAAAATACCATTCAGCTAGAATATGCTTTGCCAACTGGCAAATTAATATTTATTAAGACAGAGATAAGAGCTTATAAAAAAAAAGGTTTTTTTATGAATAAAATAATATTCTTTTTTAAAAATAACCCAGAAAGTGAAATAATGAGTTATTTTTTTGTTATATTTTTACATTATTTAAAATTTAAAGATTAAATTATTAAATGAAATCCATTAAAATTGTTGTCTGTATATTTTAAATAATTTTACATTCTTGTATGTTTTATTTACAAAAGCGGAAAATATTATAAAAAATTCAAAGGTTCTTTGAAAAAATTAACGTTTAACCTACCAAATCTATAAACCGTATGAACCCTGGTTGGAGGGATTATATATAGACGTAAAATGTGAAAAAAAGTTTTATCTGTGTTTTGTTTCTAATTATCTGAGTAAATAATTAAATGTGTGTCAATTGTGACAATATTAATTGTATTATTATTATTAATAGATAGACTTATTTCATAAGTGTAAACAAATTTAATATTTTTGTTATTAGCAAAATTGTTAAGTATAAAAACCCAATATTGCTTTTAAAATTGGAGTTGAAGGCATTTTTTAGAGATGCTATTTAAGTATAAGACGGGATCAAGTCTCTCTAATTTGTGCTTATAATTTTGTAAGCTTCACCTATTACGTAATTATATTCAATTCCAGTGAGTGAAGTGTAAAATTAATACTTCGCAAACATATCTTGAAAATACTTTTTAACGCTGCGTGAGATATTAGGTATCCAATTAATTGTTATTTTACTTTTAGGACCAAGAGTGCAAATAAACTCACTAACATCGCCAATTGACGCTAACTTTGTTTATGGTTCCAACGAAAATCTAGCCAAAAAACTTAGATCATTTGAAGGTGGTAAACTAACAACTGTCCCCATCTTGGCGGGACTCAAACTAAAACATATTTTACCTCCGAAAAAACATCAGCCGGACGATGGTTGTATTAGACCACATCCTGATCTCTATTGTTTCCTTGCAGGTAAATGTTTATAAAAAATACTATATAATTATTTGCAAAAATATGAGGAGATTTTTTTGTAGGCGACAACCGAGTAAACGAACAATTAGCTTTGGGTGTACTACACACGATATTTGTCCGAGAACATAATCGCATTGCCGATGAATTATGTGAAGTGAATCCACACTGGGACGACGAACGGTTGTACCAGGTATGTCTATAGACATTGAATTTAATAATACATATATCTGTGTACCTCTAAAAGAGCCAATCCATGTCAGGAATGCTAGATGTTACTCTTGGATAATTTTCATAATATTTTTTTCATTTTCCACGAGGCACAAAGTTTTTAAAATTACTGTTAATCGGTATCATGTTTTGAATAATCATAATATCATTATAGAAATCTGAGTGATTTTATCTTCGATATTTATTTAGATACAATAAATCATAATATAAAATGTGCTCCAAACATTCACATTTAACAAGAAACTCAAAAAACTCACTTTAGCTTAAAACTTGATATAATGGCCTTTTTATATCCAATAGTTTAATGGACAGTATATGTTGAGTATAACACATATTATTAATGACTTGTATTTTGACGATTAAATGTTTTGAAATACAAATACGCAACAGGAAACACGAAAAATCGTTGGTGCAATTGTACAACATATAACATACAATGAGTTCTTACCGAAACTATTGGGTAAATACACCGTCAAGAAGTATGGTTTGGAAATAGCGCCCCAAGGTTTTTCGAACAATTATGATCCAGACACAGATATAACTATACCAGCTGCATTTGGCGCAGCAGCGTTTCGTTTCGGTCACTCTTTATTACCAGATGCAATGGAACGATGGAGCGTGGATCACAAGTTCTTGGGGTCAAGACGGTTTAGCGAAATGTTTCAGCAACCGTATGATCTCCACAAACCCGGCTGGTTAGATCAGTACCTATTGGGTATGATTAATCAACCATCTCAGGCAATGGACGACTCTGTAACTTCGCAAGTACGTTACTAGTTACACTTAAAATAAACATAGTGTATTATTTCAATTTAAATTTGCCACACAGGTAACAAATCACTTGTTTCAAGAACCGGCTACTGACTATGGTAAAGATTTGGCTTCAATTAATATTCAGCGAGGTAGAGAACACGGCATACCTGGATATTCAGCTTGGCGACAATATTGCAAACTACCATCCGTTAAGACGTGGAGCTCAATGTTGACGGATATCAGTAATGCTACTGTTAAAGCTTACTATGACCTTTATACGTCCCCTGAAGATGTTGACTTATGGTCAGCAGGAGTTTCGGAGCGAGCTATCGATGACAGCATTATAGGTCCAACGCTTAGCTGCATTATTGCTAAAACGTTCAGTGATTTAAAAAAAGGAGATCGATTCTGGTATGAAAATCCTGGACTACCAAATTCCTTCACATTAGGTAAAATTTTAACATAACAATGTCTGTGATCACTGATCAGCTTACTTACAAAACTATACAACACTGTCTACATTTTTTTTTTATAGAACAATTAACTGAAATTAAAAAAGTGAAATTATCCCGAGTATTATGTGACAATAGTGATAGCTTGACAACCATTCAACCGTTCGCTTTAGAATTACCTTCACATCATAAGTAACAATGAAAAAAAATTATTTATTATTTATTATTTTATGACTAAAATAAATAATTTTTTCTAACTAGGAATAATAGAGTGACGTGCAAAGGACATTTACTGCCTCAAATGGACTTATGGGCTTGGAAAGAGTATACAGGATGCTGTAGTAAGAAGAAGGTAAGTGTATTACATATTATCTATATGTATAAATATTTATGAAAATTAATGTATAAGTACTATACATATATAATTACTACATTAAAATTTTTATACTGTATATGATTTTTTAACAGGCACCAAATCTTCACATTCCTTCCACGCAAGTCCACAAAGTTCAAGTAAACGAATGGAATAAAGAAGATGACAATTTACAAAAATTTATTCAAGCAATAGCCGTGAACATATCATCATCGAAACCAGATGCATGGAAATAATTATAGCCTAATAATTAGTATTAGTATTATTTATCATTATTTATTTATTATATAAGCTTGTTGCTACTATTAAATATTTTTTTATTTATATATATATTTATTATTTAAATTTGACTACAAAAGTTGTTTACAAAAATATATAATATAGAAAAATCATATTTGATATTCATTTCTTTTTTCTAAATTTTAGTTTGATAGGAACTATTCCTATATTTTATAACAATGTTCCCGAAAAAACTCTAATTTCAAATGTTAGTCAAATAAAACAAAATAATAACATTATACATTATGTATAAGCACTTAAAAAAAAGAAGTGGACAAGTTCTTATGTTATTTTGTCTTAATTTCGTGTATGAAAGAAGGTTATCATTTTCATTTGATTCCATAGTATTAATTAAATAAAAGTTATAACGTCTGTAATGTAATTAATCTACAAAACTACTCTAAATTTATCGCGTATACCAAAAGTACACATAACTGCAAAAATAAACAGGATTTTGTAGTAGTGAACGTGCATATTTTAGACTGAGAGTTTTAAGAAATATAATCAGAACTACAATTCAAGATGATCGTTTGAACTTTTATCGATAGTATTTCAATTGAGTGTTGGAAGTGATGTGTTGACTGCTTGTCATGAAGACACTATTAAAGACGTTCCGGAGTGAAAATTAAGGGTAGTACCAAATTTGTAAAAAGTATGTAAACATTTACTAAAGTATAGCTGTAATTTTAATTTTTAACTAACTATTTATTTGTTTAATACATAAAAATAAAGTTAGTGATAAAATATATTTACATATAATATATATATATATTATTTAATAATATTATATTTGTATATAGGTAGGCAAAGCATTATCAAAAAAATGTCCAAATTAGTGTAATATAAATAACTGTGTATTTGTATAATTGAAACTTGAATTACTATGTACGACCCATGCCAATTTTTTTATTGGACTACCCGGGGGTCCAAAAAATTGTTTGCCTTGAATCCCTAAAGTTTGAATTTTGCTACAACCCAAAAGTACACAAGTCTTTTTTAATACAAAATTATATGATATTATAAAATCAATTTGCGTATTAATTCATTTTTTTATTGTCTTATAATTATGATGTAGGTATGTAATTGGTATACAATTTGTTGTTTTGTAAAATCAGTTATCAAACTATTCATTATATAACATAATAAAACTAGCATAGATAGTACATATTACTACGCATATACTCGTATAGATATAATTATTCACAATAATATTATCTGCATACATAGTAATTTATTATTACCTATGTAACAATTAATTTGTTACAACTATCACATTTTATTTATTATTAAATTTATCATAATAATATTCTGTAGAAGTTCGAATTTATACATAAATATTTAGTACCTTACAAAATTAATAACTAACTTAAGTGTATGATTTATCTTAAATTATATTTACAATATTTATATATATGTATATATTACATAAAATATAGCCTCACTTAAAAAACAAAGTTAAATTAATTGTTTACTTTTTCTCTTTTTTTACTTATACTTTTGTGTTCAACGATCTTTGGTAATCTTATTTTCTTCTTCTGTTATTCGTAGGTCTAAAATAAAAAAATATATCATTACTTATGTTTAATTTTTATGTATTCAGGCAGTATCGATGTTTAACTAAAACTACTTACCCCAAAACCACGAGCATAGTTTGTATCCTGCAACTAAGTATACGAATGGCATAATAAAAGCAGTTACTAAAAAATAAGTAATCACTTCCAACATGCTAACTGCTATTTCTCCAATGATCAGGTAAATCCATCGTCCAGTTGTAAACTTAACGTAAAGTAAACTGTAATTAAGAAACATACATCATTGACTTATCATTATGATATTTAATGTGTGTTGAACATTTAATAAATATTACGTAAAGTAAGGTAAATATTCAGTTTTCAATAGGTATGTATAATATAATTTATATATTTAAAAAAATCTGTTTTAAGAAATTTGGTTTCTGAATTATAAAATGCCTAGTGGTATAACTATATGTATATACTCATTTTAGAACAGTAGATCCCTAAAAATTAACACATAGTTTAATGCACACTTATTGACTTATAAAATTTGTATAGCATTATTAAATATTAAATTAATATATAATTATATTGTTATTGCTCTTTTTTTTCTCATCTCTGAATTCATAACCCAATACATAAACATTTTAATAATATAATATGTTATAACTTTACCAACCTAACCATAAGTATAGCTAATAAGTAATAGGTAAACTAAACAGTAAGCTACTAACTAGTCACAACTAAACGAAGGCTGAAGGGTTAATACAAATTCGGGTTATCATTTATTATTTATTTTGGGAGTCATATGTTTACTTATTTATATTAAAATAATTGTAACTAAGTAATTTAAACGAGTATCAATAACAAAAGGGTAATCATAATTAGAATGTAAAATCGTACCTATTTTAAAAATTATAACAACTTTGACTTTTAAATTTTATACGTAACATAATAATAACAATTCTTTTTAAGAAAAAGCTTGTCTAGATATTAACCAAGGACAGTGTACTTATAACTTATACATAATAAATATATGCAATTTTTAAAGATTGATTTTAAAACAATAAATAGTAGATATATTGAAGTATAATAATATTATATACAACCAATGGGAAGATATATTAGGTTGACCCAATTATTATTAATAACTGTTGATAACTATTGACCCATACTGAAGAATTCATGTTGTACAATCGTTTATTATTATTCATAAATGGAGTTCTTGACCTAATATTAAAAGGTAAACTAATTATTAAAACTAATTTACAAATTGTACGAGTTTATTAAATACTGTTATTATAAGTATATTTTAAGATTTTCTAAAGTTTCAGATCCCTAGATCAGACGCAAATTAAAACTGTTTGAAATAGATTTTTTACTTGTATGTATGAAAATTAAATTAGGGATTATTAATTTACTCATTAACGTGATTCCTACACATGCAAAATCGATGTAAGTAAAATAAATAAGTGGTTATTAAAAAAACTAATTTTATAATGATCATAAAACTGTTAAAATACTATAATAAATATTAAAACATTAAATGTGCGCGCAAAAGTTAATTTATTGACATAATTTTGTTTATATTAAGTCACGTGACAAATCAGTAATACGTTTTGTTTATGAACAATTATTTTCAACAGCTCAAATCACAACTAAGATAGGTTTTATTTTATTTCCGAAATTGTTTAGTATATTAAGTTTTGACTACAGTTACGGTTTAATACCCGGAAGAACTCATAGATGTATCCAAACTTATGTAATTTCTTGAGGACGGAAAGCTCCAGTCCAATTAACAAATAAATTATACGTTGCTTCTTAACAGAATTTTTTAATTACAATGATTCTAAGTGTCACTGATCAATGATAATAATTTAAAATTAAAAATTATTACAAGAACTAAAACCAACGTATCTTAGCTCAAATGACCTTGAAATGATACATTATGTAGTATATGATGTAATTAAATATCCATCCACAAACACGATAACGCGGTAATTGTAAAATATTATGCATGTACGAGTATGCACATAGATATTTGTTTTCACAATATTATAATTGTGGTATGGAAATTCGGAGCCGCGTTTTTAAAAATATATATTACAAAGATTGTTACCATGTCACGTAAGATCCAGATAGTGCGAAAAGGCCGGCCACAGATTTTGTCATTTTAGGTATACTGTGTTTGGTGGTGACTATGTCATACAAAGTCAATACAACAGGATTGGTATGAACAGCGTGATTATACCAATCCGGTATCCACTGATTCATGGAATCCGGAAACAACAGCGGTTTGTTAACTGCACAAATAGCCCAAAATAGAAGACACACGTACTGTAATTAAACAACATGATATTTTTTTTAGTAAAAAAGAAACACATTTTGTACTCTGAGTAAAAATAGTGGTTTTTTTAACTTATACTTAATGCAATTCGTAAGTACTGACCACTATCCACTTTTCAGACATCAGACAATTACTTAATAATTTATGAAGATCCATACATAAAATGTTTTAGTTTTCACTAAGAAGGTATTCTTTACTTTAACCATTTTTTTCCTTACCCAAAGTTAAAACAAAAGTCACATGTACAACATGCTACGGCTACCTACATAGTTATTAAAAATACATGATTTTTGAACAGTTGACACCGTAACATACAATACGACTTTACTTATCGTCCTAGGTTAGGTTTTTCAATCTTCGTAATTATTCTTTAGCTTAAACAAAGGGTAATAAATGATATTATCAATATTTAGGACGGTTAATAGCCTTTTTTTTACCTAAAACTAACATACATTTTTTATTAAATAAATTTGGTATCTACAATAATTACTATCCTTTGTTTGTTAAACTGTAATGATTATTTAGGAAATTATTAGTTTCACACGACATAATTTGGCAATATTAAAATAACACTTTATCAAGTTAAATATTTTGTACCAATTGGGCCCAGGTAAAAGCACCAAGTCCGACTATGCTATAAATTAAACTTAATATTACTGTCATCTTAACCCTTCAATGCGCCATGTTGCTTATTTGCAACAATCTTTTTTTCCTTTTTCTTTATTTAATTTGTTATTTTTCATCTTACTAGTGCTAACTAGCGGATAAATCGAGAAGTTTTTGATATTAAAAAAAATGTCAGATCAGCTGATAGTTCCGTTATCAGCCGCTGCTGTTGTTTAAAAATGAGTAAGACCTAATCAATATTTTTCCCGGTTTCTCTTAATTTAAAAGTTTTATAAGTTTATTAATACTTGCATATTTAATAAAAAAAAAAATTGTTTTGGTTTGTAATAAATGAATTAGACTTGTAATATAAAAGAAACAATAAAGGTTGATTGTTTTATCGAATATAGTGACTTTTTTATGCGCAATGTTGCAATAGGCAATTATCTGAAAACTGTTTATTTTCCAGGAAAATATTGGAGTAAGAATTTTTTAAGTATTTTTTTCGTAATCTACGACTCAAAATACACAGGGAACATTTTTTTTTTTTTAATTTAAAAATTCGCGCATTGAAGGGTTAACTATCCTTATCGTTAAAGTTAAATGATAAAATCACATAGTTATAAATGCTTAATGCTTAATCAACGAAGCTGGGTGTAACATTGTAACAGCTAGTATAATAATAAACTTAATATCATTCTCCACAACTTTGATAAGTGAGTTAAATTTACGTGTAATAAATGCATAATATACTTACTATACATACTGGAAATACGAAGCTTAAAAAAACAAAATCTCTTATTTGCTTGTTTTTGTCTAAATCTACTTTCAACCATGTCTTGCCAAGTGTAGAATCCGCAAAGTCAATAAAAACTGTGCAAAAAATAAAATAAGCTATTTGCAAAATCTAAAAAATAAAAATAATAAATCTATTAGGTATATATAAATATACATATATCTTTCACTTTTTAAATTGAGAATAATTTACTAAACATGTTGACTAGTCGATAACTATTTTTGAAGTTAATAAAGTTTTAAGTTAAGGGCAAAATATATACGTTACCAAGTTTCAAAAGTTGATATAAAAATAATTAGTTTGACAGGGTAAAAACAAAAAAAAAATTGTGAAAAATTGTATAAAAACACTATGAAAAATAAAATGTGATTTCTTTTTTATATAAATGTGAAATCTAAATTATAGGCTCTTATAGTACTATACAACGAGTTTTTAATTGTACGTTTATTTACACTATTTAATTGCATCTATGTGTTATTGCTACAACTGATAACAAAATGTTAAATATTATTTTTAACTTATTCAAATCAATAATATTGAAAGCCAAGTATTTTTAATATATCGTATAAATCATAATTTATAATTATCGGCTTTATTACGTAGATTCAACTATTTAAAAAAAAATTGTAATCTATGGGTAAACAAAATTCAAGTTTTCAAAAATGTTATTCTATCTATAACAACTCTTTTAATACTCATTTTTATATTTTATAGTTACAATTTGTTAATGTGTATTGAGATTAAGATAATATGCTGACAAAGTTATTAAAAAGTCAAAACGGAATAAGAAAATCTAAACAATTCATTTATTAAAAATAATTCTAAAATTAACTCAACTCAACAAGAAAAAAATTATATTTTTATTTACGATTTTATAATGAGCAAAAACGATGAAATATCAAACAACTGAAAGTAGTACAATGTTAATATACAAACAACTGACATTGTATTAAGCTACAATATCTCAATTATGTATTTTTTTACCTGGTTTATATAAGTTGTTTTGTATTATTTAATTTTATGATACTGATAAAGTAATCAATGTTCTTCGAATATATAAAAAACTATTGCCTTGAACTCTATGACATCATATATGAGTTTACCAGACATTCGCGTACTTTTTAAACAGACCTATTGGTTATAAGTATAAATTTTAAGTGCTAACTGTTAACATTGTATACCTACTTGCATTTGATAAACAATTGTAACAGTTGTAATTTATATATAAAGTACAGTGGAGCCGAAGTCCATACTGGGCTCGGGCTTTGGCCCGACCACTTTTCTAAAAATTGTACATTATATCTATAAAAGTTTAGGCTGAGGCCACTAAGTTTTGGAATTTTATTGTACATATCCAGTTCTATTATTTTCCTGTTTTACATTTAACTTTGTTACAGAATTTTTTTGCTTAAAAATGGTCAACACTTTTTCTGCTAATTAGTTATAGTATAATTTCATAAACGTGTACGAGTGGTGTATTATAATGTATAAATTATGTCATTAACGTAATTTTTGTCTGATGCAAAAAAAAAATATATTTTTGAAATCCTAAATACTTCCTCTAAAATACCTATGTATTATAAATGTCTTGTAATTGATATGTAGTTAAAAATTGGTAAATTTTAGGAACACCCTCGCAAATGAATGTAATAATATGGGAAATATCTTTTATTTTTTATTAAAAATTATCATATCTATTATTTATACTTATATATTATAAAATAACTAAATGCTGTATTGTATTTTATATTACACCATTATCTTAAACATATAAATACATTTAATTAAAAAAAAAATTAATAGAAAATACTATGGTAAGTTATTAGCTGTTCTCAAGCAACTTTTACTCGTAAAACATAGGCGGCCATAGACTCATCGGCTCTATGCCGTCACAGTTACCAATAACTCTTTGAATAATAACGTTTTTGACTTAGAATTTTCACCAAAGCATTTTTTATTGTTTTGATTATAATAATAAATTATTTTACTTAAATTTAAAATATTTAAAAAAATGTTGTGTTGTGATCTCCTTTAACTTCTACATAATATGACATTTAAATTCAACAATATATGTATTCGTACGTCATTATTATTTTATATTTTCGATATTTACAATTGAAGGGCACAGGGGAAAAACGGTAGTAGTCACATGATGAACATTTTTTTTTCAATTTATGCCATTAATTTGTTTTATGTATGTCAATAGATTGTTTAAATAAATACATTTTTTATTAGAATAGCATTTAATGTGTTTCTTTTGGTTCTTATGTAAAAGGGAGAGGAATTCACGAACTTTGTTTTTGCTATACTCTTAAATTTTCATAATGTGAATACTACTGTTTTTCCCCTGTGCCCTTAAATTGTTAGAAAATAAGTAGGTAAATGTTAAATAAAAATATTATGGGCTATTCTTAATTTTTAAAGATAATATAAATCTTTTTTTATCATCCTGTAACTGTAAGTTGTAAATTGTAAGAAAATTAGAGGTGATACTTGATAGAGACAAATGAATAACAAATTAGAATTCAATGCATTAAAACATATTAAAATGTGCTTAAAAAGTTAAGACAACAAATAATCGCATGTCTGTGTAATGATTTGTGTATACTCTGTTAAAAACATACAATAGAAACAATGCAATTTGATGAGCAAAAAAAGAAATTGTTTGCTGAATATGCATTGTTTATTTTATTTTCCAGTTGTTCACCTACTTAAGTATTAAAGACAGCCGGACATGTAGTCAGCAAATAGTCGTGTAAAACAACCAACATAAATTACAGCTAGGTTTTTATTCGCTTATGTATATTATTATCTAAACAGTATATTTTAAATGTAAGCAAAATATATTCATTATATTTTTTATTATACAGGGCGATAAATGTTAAATATAATACTTTGTCCTATTGTAATCCTGCCTTGCAATAACAGACACTTAAATTAATTTTACAACCCTGTAGAAATTATTAAACATTTTTTATGTCGGTTAATTTTTTACGCAATAATTTTTTTTATATTTTGCTATTTATATAAAACTCATCCCCTCTCCATCTTAATATACATTCAAAACTAACATTTATGTTGATTAGTGTAAAATTCGATTTGATCAATAATAAAAATGTAAGATGAAAAGCTATACACTGATAATTTTTAAGTACTGGTCTGCCTTACAAATGTTAATTATAATCAAACTACATATATTTTAAACGGTTTTGATTAAAATTGTCTAGATATACAGACTGTGTTCATGCCGACGCATTAAGAAGTGATATACCATTGCATATTATTGCGTATTATTCATAAAAATAATATTTTAACTAACTCTAAACAAATAAGCCAAGTTCTTGTTTGACAAATAAATACATAACTAAGACTACAAATAATTAAATATTATTTTTTTTTAAATAAAATGTAACCCAAGGTATCTTTGAATCTCACTTACCAGATTCCACACGGACACACATTTCCACCACCAGTTGGAACCGAGATTGCCAAAGGGGCCGTTAGTGATATTATCCAGATCCAAAACGCATAGCCCATAATAGGCCACGTATATATAATAGCACGTAATGAACAAACGAGATACTTTGAAAAGGTGTTGGCGTTCTGCTTCAGTATAAGATCGGCATAGCACAGATGCCATGACCGGCGAGGGACGCTTCATTGATGCTATTTCCATGACAAATGGTTAATGTGTAACTATGGGCTCAAACGTTTATTCGGTACTGCACAGAAGTAGTATGACGCCGGCATGCTAAGCGGCGAGCTTGCGTTTTTCTTATAAATAAGGTCCCAAGCTTAACTCCCACCAAACGTAACATCGATGTATAAACCGTAATTTACATGACGTTCAGATTTTGAAATTTGATTCGACATTACACATTTGATACAAAACAATCGCTATTTGTATTAATAACGCTGAAGTTGCACAACCTACCTTTAAAATATATTATGTACTAACGTCCACTAAATAGACCCAGATCCCATAAAAGATGACACTAACGAGTATTTTTTATGTAACATTCAATTCACAGTTCTAAAATAAAAATGGCACATTCATTTAATTTATGATACGACTTTTTAATACTTATCCACATTTTGGACATACTAATCAAGTCGTGGCACTTGCAGATGTCACGTAACATGTTTGCAATTGACATGTGTTACGTATCAATTTTAGTTAGGTATCGATGCATCTACTTATATGTTTTTAAGATACGTGAGAGGTCTTTCTCTTAATGGAAAAAATTACTCTTGCGCTGATGATACACAATATTATAATTGTTGCCTCTGAGTGCGAATCAGTTTAGCAAAAATCTGAATATGATATGTCAATACTTGTTGAAAGGTTTTCTAATAATAATCAAAAAAAAAATGTATGATAAATCAAATGTTATTGCTTTTACTAATGATTTAAGAACTTCACCACAAAGAAATGTAATTATTATTCATACAATAAATTGCAACATAAATCCTTCTAAAACTATTTTAATACTCATACATTAAATACCTTGTTCAATTTATTAATTAAAATTTTAAATGGAATATTTATAGACAAATCTAGTTATAAAGTTAAGGAAACTTACATACTTTTTTTTGGACGGCAAAAAAAATACTCAATAAATATTTAGTTAGAGGAACATATTTTGCAATGGTACAATATTAAGGGAAACGGAGAGTATTTGTTAAGGGGCAAAGGATAGGCAATATTTGTCAAAAATTTATCTAGTAGTATTCTTGGTATGCCGACTAATTTTAAGGTGGAAAAATATTAAGTTTTTATAGTATAATACTAAATAAACCTGTATAAAGTTATTTTTCTCCTAGTTATGAAGAAAGTTTGTTAAAAAAATCACTTTCGTATAAGTCATTTTCTAGCGTATTTATTGGATGGATTTCAATTTTTCTTTTTCTTATGTAAGACTTACTATTTTTTCTATGAAGGCTAAAAAGCTGATTTTTTATTTAGCAATTATAAAATTAGACACTTCGCGTTTTAGTCTTTATTTGTAAAAAATTGTACGCTTTCCGTTCCCATTAATCCAATACGACATAATTGATTGGGGAGGTTGTAATACTATCTTAAAGTACGAGTATAATTTGTCAGATGCACAAAATAGTCTAATCAAAATTTAGCAAACTCAAATAATTTCCTTCGAATGAGTTACTTAAATTCTTACGAGTACTCGATATTGAAAAATTGTACAAAAAACAATGAATATGATTTTTTTATAAAACTAACCTCCTTAATGTAGTATAACACATTATCCTTATAACACCAGGAAAATACCATTTATTAACACCAAAAAAGTTTCTATGACATCTATGCAAGTTGTTATAAAGTCACTAGTTGCCATGCCAAATAGTATATTAAATTGTGTTAAGATTTATTTTATAAAAACATCAATATTGACAATTATATATAATTGTTTTAATTATTTTCAGTTCAAATATATATAAATAAAAAAGTTGTTTTACGATAATCTGCAAATCTGTAAGAAATGTAATATTTTAATAATTATAAATGTTTATTTCTAAATATGTATTTGTTACCATAGACCTATAAACTAATGAACAGCTGCGTCTACCACACCACCTTGTCTACAGTTCATGGGAACGAGATAAAGATAGAGTGAGATAGTTTCGGACAATCACAGCATCCTCGACAGATTTTAAAAAAATTGAGAAAAAACTTTCTCCGCTTTCTTGAGACAGATCTTCCAAAAATTGTCTGATAGGAGAGTTACTTATGTCATCTGAAGGTTAAAAACTTTATCTGGGTCACCTTGACTGTCGGCGAGATTTTTGTAATAATTTGATTATTAAAACTAAAATGAGTGCAAAAAAATTGTTTTTCCTTTTTTTTTTTACCTTTATTTAAATAAAACATGAATTGAGTTATTAAAAAAAAACTCGTCGAGGCGACATACAAAAAGTTCTTAACATTCAGATGATATATGTAACTTTACTGTAGGACAATTTTTGGAAGAGCTGTATCAAAAAAAATCAACTCATGTTTTTATACCATAAAAATGCATGTGTCCTCTTAATAGTATTTTTTTTTTTGTATTAGTAATCCTTTCCGAAAAATATTGCTGAAGTAACAGTGTACATTTAAAATAGTAGTGAACATTGTATAGTATATAATTTATAAACCTAATATAAAAAACACCTACCTACCAAGAAATAGGCCTACAATGATTTGCTTGTTTTAGGTTTGGTAAAGCAAAACTACTTTTTGAGTTATTGCAATTTCAATTTAAATTTACTAAAACTAATTGGTTTCTTGATATGACCAGATTTGTGCATAATTTTAAACAAAAACTGAGTGTACAAAAAAAAAAAATATATGTGCACATTCTGTTTAAACTATTTCTTCAAAAAGTCAAAACACACTTTTTTTTGGAGAAAACATTTCTATAAAGTATTAATCTGTTAAAAATTACTGTACTCCTATAAGATCAAATATTTTGAAAAGTTTTTGTTGAAAAGTAAGTCAAATTGACAAAATCTGATTTCATCTTAATTTTTAACATAAAAAATATTGTTACTATTAAAAAAAATATTTTGAAAACTATTTAATAATAAAAAACGTATTCACTATTCATAGTTTATTATAATTATATTATATTATATTTATCATTATAATTTTTTTTTATAATTTATAACCATCATTTGCGCGTGTAATTAGATAAAATAATCAAGTATATGCCTAAATCGTAAAAAAAAATTTAGAACTTATAGGTCACCAAGTAAACAAATTCCATTTGTTATTATTCGGTAATTATAATTTGAACCGACTATCTGCTATTTCATTCAAAAAGCGCTCCTTTTTTGTTATATAACCTTAAAATATAGATTCACGCATTCCATGGTTATTACTTTTTCCATGACAATAGCATTGAGATTACGTACTTAGCACCTCCGTAAAGTAAATTGTTGGTTTGCTCAATTTCCTCGAAGTTTGTTTAATTTCAACAAAAGTGTAATTATACAAAAGTTATAATAATAAGAGCCGTAAAATAATATTGAATTTTTTATTAAAAATCGTTTAAAAATTAACAAAAAATTAAAATAGGAAGTCAAAATTGTTGGTACTATATTTTATTAGTAGTTTATCACAATACTGTTTTCTGGAAAATTGATTTAATAATTATTATATATTTAATTTATAATTAATATTTTTTAATTTTTTTTAACAAAAAATACTTAAATGTTTTTTAAAATAATTTTAAACGAACAACAGCAATAACAAATACATTTTTTTTTACGATTTCACGGTCTATTAAGAGGTGTTAATGGTGAGGGTCATGTCCTGAGTTTGTGTGTGTGGTTTGCTTCTTTTCTCCATTCGTAAACCATCTCAAACTAGGTACTACTGCTGCATTCCATTCTTCTTCGCTACCTGTACGTATAATATTCATATATATTTAACATATATTATATATAGGATAATATGTTTATACCTGTGCATCTCGTATCACATTAACGTTCCGCCGCCTCGTGCCGTACATACATATAAATAAATGCATATATGTTTTGTATAATATACATGTGTGGATGTGTTTAATATCAATGTATAAATATTGTTGTATGACGGCACGCCGCGATTAATTTGTTTTTTTTTTATTATTGATGTCTTTTAAAATGTTGTAGTTGGTTGATCACTCTCTAAACGAACGGGCTTCTAAAATTTGTTTTCTGATTAAATGAAAATTGATAAAGGCCGCGAACACAAAGAGACGATGATGCCTAAATGCGCGCAGTTCTCGTTTTCTCCTGTAGGACGTTCAACAATGTCTGCTGAAAGCTAAGACACCTGACGCAGTGTGCACACGATAATATGCAGCAAACTCAACAGCACTTTTCCTCGTCTGAATACGAGTTGCAGCAACAACAGCCACAATATCTTGGCAAACATGATGCGGCTGTCAAGTACATGCAACAACTCGGCTTACACAAGCAAAATATCAAAGTCGACTCTGAAGTAAGATCTTTGACACAGTAATTTATCAATACCATTATTTACTTTCACAATGTATTTAATAATTGCAGATAAGACCCTGTCTGGTGGCCGAAAATGTGATCAGTGATCAAAACAGCAGCTGTGGTAGTCCACCCCTATCAATTGTCGTTAACGGAGACGATCAACATGGGTCCAGCACACCGGTACCCACTTCTACATCAATATCACGGTCAAAACCACAAGCTTGTCGTATCTGTGGACGTGTTCTAGCATCAACATCTTCTTACTATGTACATCTCAAATCGCATTCAAATAATAAACCTTATCGTTGTACACAATGTGAAGCGTGTTTTTGCCGTAAACCATACTTAGAAGTAAGTTATCTCGGTATTACAAGATGTACTTAAAGGGTTGATCTATACCAAATTATCCGTCACCCAACTCTTTTTAAAAAGTGGTGTCTTATGGTGGATGACAGGTGGTCTTTTCCCCCTCCTTGTTTTAACTGAACTAGTCATAGACCACCAGAATTAACCCTTATTTCTATTAGTATAGTAATAGAAGTAGTTTATAGTGTTAAAATGAACAATATTAAAGATTCCCAATAGTAATTGTATTACAAAATAAATATAACTTTAATACTTATTAATGCATTTAAAAGCGGCCCACAAAATATAAAAATTAGCAGTTTGATTTACGAACTTATCCTAGAAATGTATATGCAATAAGTTATGAGCCTAAATGAGAACTGCCCAGTAGGCGTTTGTGTAAATTCCACCAACCCATTAGGCATTTATGTAAATTCCACCGCCCAGTTCTTCTTTTCTTTAATGGTATTTTTATTAAAAATAATATCAATTGTAATGTGATTAAAATTTAACCATAAAGATGATGTGTGAGCATAACAAGTAGTTTTATAGGTTTTATTTCTTCGTGCTCGCTAGAATTTATACCCAAATATCTAAAATGCACTACTGTTTTTAAAATTGTAATTTTTTTCTACAACTGTTTTTCTAATTATACTGTAGACTAATACACTCTAGAAAATATAGTCAAATCAGTCTGTTGTGAGTGCTAATAATTATAGCATTGCTACAGAAATACACATAATATATTATGTGCAGTACTTTACTGAAAAATGTATTATTTTTTGTGGCCATTGTTATTTTTAAATATATTATTATTATTATTATTAACATCATATTACTATTTTATCAAACTTCTTGCTTTACCTAATTAAAAAAAAAAATTATGGTTATTAATTTTTAAACAATTATATACAAATAATATTAGTATACATTATTTATTATTATATAATGTGTATACAATTCATTCGGGCTTATTAATAATGATTTTTTCATATTAAATATATGTTGTTTTACTAGGTTCATATGAGAACTCATACTGGAGAAAGACCTTACCAATGCAACTTATGTCTTAAAAAGTTCTCTCAGAAGAGCAGCCTTAATATCCATAAAAGAGTACACACAGGAGAACGTCCTTATTCTTGCGACATCTGCAAAAAAACATTTGCGGTTAAGAGTTACGTTGTGTCCCATAAGTAAGTCTTTTTTTTGTAAAATCAGTCAAGTTTTAAGGCCTGTTTTACACCTACACGTAATAATAGTATGTAAGGAAATTCAACAAATTTGTATGTGGTGTATTAAAAAAATAAAGTGTAGCATACGTGTTGGCTGTAAAACAGGCTTAATAATATTTGTTTTTCTTATGTGGGTTATAATTGAATAAAACTAGGTGGAGTCATATGACAGAAAAGCCATTTGTATGTGAACAATGTCAACTATCGTTCAACTCCAAGATCCAGTTTGTGACACACATCAGATCTCATGACTTGGGACCAGCACATTGTTGTCAGTTTTGTGGAAAGGCATTTGTAAAAGGATGCTTTTTGGTCAGGCACATTAATAAAGTGCACCGGTTTAACGTTGCTGCAGCTGCAGCAGCTAATAATGAACACGAACCTGTACACAGTTCCTATATGCAATCTGACTCTAACTATTCTAGCATACGGTATTTATCACTCATAGTTTACTATAATAAATAATCTAATTTTTTACAGCTGGTCTCAATTTATGTTAACTCATACAGGTTGATTCTTTTATCATGGACCACTCAATATCTCATAAGGTTTAAAGAAATTACAATTTTTTTTCATATTGTTTTTATATAATGTGATCTCAATTTTTCACATTTTTTTTTTGTTTTACCCCCTTTCAACTTCGTTTTTTTGATAAAAACTTTTGAAACTTAAATGGTAACGCATATTTCATTACACTTTTAAATTGAGAATGATATACTAAAAATTTTGATTGGTTGATAACCAGTTTTGGACAACTTTTTTTAAAGTTAGGGCCGGAGGAGAAGTGGGCACAGATAAAAATAATACTACACTCCACTTTTCTTCCTGCCCTCAACTTAAAACTTCAATTACTTCAAAAATAGTTACATATAAAAATGGTTATCAACCAGTCAACATTTTAGTACATTATTCTCAATTTAAAAAAATAATAAAATGTATGCGTTACCATTTAAAATTCAAAAGTTGCTGTCAAAAAAACTTAGTTGGGGGGGGGGATCCAAAACATTGTGCAAAATTGAGATCACATTGTATAAAAACAATATGAAAATATATATGAAAGAATAATTATCCCAACTGTAGTATAATACAACATTAGTAAAAACTGCTTTCTTATAGTTTGTTTGCTATATAAATATTTATTATACTATCCATCTGTATGAACACAGTTAATATTTCAATTGCATTTTAATAAAATTGTTTAATGTTTATGATTTTGTTGAGATACAGAACGATATATAAAACACATATCAAAAAAATATAGTTAATTGTATAGTAATACAAGCTGTCCTGACCCGGCATTTCCCAAGATTCCCATTTCCCTTTCTCCACTTTCTTCCCCATCCCTCATCTCTTATCAGATAACAGCTTGACAGTGTTTTTGGGACACTTTTTTCGGTTATTATATTCTCCTCTTACTCAAGTGTCCCAGTCCAAGATCCCGTTCCAACAGTTAAAAGCTTGCCCAGAATCGTAGTACATAGAATCGGTCTGTTCCTTTAATCATCACCTATCATTTGCTCGAGTACCGTGCTTACCATGGTTACAAAGCAAGTGTTTATTTTAGGTTGGCAACGGAAAATATTTTGTATTTATAGTACTAAGTTCGAGTTTGAGGTCATCTTTAGGGGTGGAATTTTCGAAAAGTACTATGGCAGTTAGGTTCACGGGAGTGTACTCAACAACTTCCCAAAGTTTCATAGCAATTGGATGAATGGTGTACTAATGCATAAAGGACAAACAGACAAACAGACATACATTTCATTTTTATATATATAATAGATTAACCAATATCATTTATATAATTGTAGTTCTCTCTATTATTTTTTATTAATTCCATATTATTTAATTTTTTTAATATTTAGCTTCGATCCTCGAGAAATCAGCATTCTGCCAACTACTAAAAATGGTCCCCGCTTCTTGGGACCAACATCACATAGTGCAGATGGTCCTCCTCCATTGACCCACCTAACACCAATGATGTTGGGTCCACCACAAAATACACGAGCATAAATTTCATTTTGTATGTTAATAAGTAGGTACTTCTAAACAATTTAAATTAACTTGTTAAGTTAGGTTATACTTAGTTTATCTGCTTAAAAATATTCAGTTTTAATACATTATATAATTTAATATAATTATAATAGTGTAACATCATCACTATTCTGCATTACATTTTATGATTAATATTTGCCTTCTTTTTGTTGATTAAAAAAAAAAGCTATCGATTATACTTTATTATACTGTGTATGTATATTGTTGTAATAGATGCATTTTAAAATTAACTTAAAATTACATAAAATACTAAGTAAAAATCATTCAAAAGCTTAAAATTAATTATGGAAGAATCATTTTCAATTTTTCTTCTGTCCAATAGTGATAATGATATGATGCTTATTGGTTTGAATCAAAGCGTTTTTTTAAACATTTTAAGTTCTATAGTGAACTTTAAAATATTGAAGGTATTAATAGTATTTTAGAATTTGTATCAATTGCACTTATTATCTCCAATTAATTTCTGTTGCAACACATTTCATTAGAAGTGCAATTCAGTATGAATTTATTTCATACTTGTTCATATAAAATATATTATGTTTATTTTACCTAATTATTAATTTACATACTCATACATTTATTAATTTTCATGTTTATGTATGTTTTGTATTTTTTTTTTTTTTATCCTAAAAAATCTATTATTGTCACTTGGTAGTTTAGCGACCAGAATCCAATTAGACTAACTGTTAAACAGACCTGAAACGAATTAGGTATATTTTTGTATTTTGAAAAATGAACTGCTTAAAACTAAAAAAAAATGTAATATTGACAAACTAAAACTAATAATTTTCAATGTTTTTTCCTCTCAAAAAATTTGAGTTGTAAGAACTTCATTTTTAAAACCTAAAATGATTTGCTTGGTTTTAAAATTTGTAAAAAAAGGTTAATGGCAATATCTAAATATTGTGATTTGAATAATAATATGTAGTGAAAAGCATATATATATATATGAGTGTGTGTGTTTTATAAAACATGTAAAACAGTGTAGTGACCTGCGATTTGTTTTGTATACATTTATATTATATATAACATTTTGCCTTTTAAATTTGTTGCAATAATCACTATTATTTTTAATATTTTATTGCCTATGTTTTATCCTAGATATGTACATTATAAAAATATAGGCTTGTGTGCGTTTTTTTTTTTTTTTTTAATTAGATTTAAATTACAAACTAATTTTATTATTATATTCAGCTATAATATATATATAATTAAACACACATAATGGGAGAAAGTGCAAATATTAACATCAATCACTTATGTACTATAGATTGGCCTAAAAGTCTTACTCAGGGTTTTTATTCGACTTGACTTTTTACAGTTACACATGTAAAATAAACGCACTTAAGATGATAACAATTTAATATCTCTGTACACAGTAAATTATTTAATTTAAAAGTAGGAAGCAAAATACTTTTTGATAAAAAAAACTACTATTGAAAATCTCAATACTTGTCTGTATTAAATTGATTTTCATTATGAAATATGTTTTCTTTTTTTTTATTATTGATGTCATCGCTATAAAAGGGCGCTTATTATATAAAAATAAGATTAACTTAGAATTTTTAACCAATTGTACATAATCTTTTTAGGATTTTATATAACTTAGATATTTTAATGTCTATATATTTTATATATACTAATAGTATTTTAATATTAGTAAACGTAAATAAATTATTATTTAAAGAAAAAGAAACCCTTTGCATAGACTTGGTAGACTGATATTAAAGTTTGGATATAAACATCATGGCATTTTTTTTTAAGAACATTTAATTATAAGATGTATATGATTTGATTTCAAAACATGTCTGCAATATGAACAAATAATTATAATATGTTTTTATTTACAGTATTCTGAATATACAATTAGTTTAGGTTAAATTGAATATTTCTTATTTTTGTAAAAGACAAAAATTATTTTATATTTGGTTTAATTTTTAGTACTTAGCCGCTTATGTGTTGAACTAATAGTTTGTTCCATGGACATTAAAAAAACTAAATGAAATTGTTACCACTAAGCATTATACAATTACAATTTCGTCAGAATCCAAGAATCAAATATGTTACAATTTTCTTGGAAGGAACATTGTACATTTAAAAATAAATATATTATTAAGGAAAATAAAAACTGTTTAAAAAAATCTATATGTATATGTTCGATAATTTATTTCTATTTATATTTCAATCAAACTTGTTACATACACCATATTCGTTTGGTCGCACTCTTAAAACTACCGGAACACTTGTACATGGTAATATCGCAATTTCTGTGACTACGGCGGTTATTAAGTCTGGTGTTGTTACGTCATACCTAAGGCAAAGTGGTGTTAAGTAACGGTTGTTCAACCATTGTTCTTTGGGCATCATTTCACTCTCATCACCTACACAATTTAAGTATACATTTATTTTCAAACATAAAAACAAAATTTGAATAAATATTAATTACCGAGTTCATTAAAAACGATCGAATCAGTTTGAACACGATCAGTAAACTTGTAAGTTTCACAACACACCAATACTGGTACGTTAAAATGTTTGGCTATTAAAGCCACCTGAGAACTTCCTGCCCGTCCCATGACATAACCATTGGCTAATAAAGCGTGTGCACCAAGTAACACTTTGGTAGCCCTAGTCATGATGAAACTAGTGGCTGATAAAAGAACGTATGTACATGGTATATTATGACGAACTAGTCGTCGTAACAGCTGTCGGCCTTCGTACCACGGGGCAGAGTCAACCACAATCACAGAAAACTGTTTATTTTTACAATGAGCTTCCGTTAATATCCGTTCAACAAGAGACGAACTGAAATGATTAACATAACTCTTAATTACTATAATTATAGTTTTAAGCAGTTAAAAATTACTTACTATCCATAAGTAAGTATAACATCATCGTTGGCAATTTTATTTTGTGCAGCTATACAAATTGCTTTGCCGGCCATTTTAATTTGTACATAAATAAAACTACTAATAATGTTTTCAATTTTTTCCTTAGCCTGAAAATAAATATAATATTAAATTGACAAATCAAATTTGTAATAAATTCAACTATTTTACATTAGCGTCCGTAATATTGCTAGATAACCGCTTGATGTGCCACATGACATGTTTAAAAGCGTTAGTCATTGATACAGAAAATGGTCGACAAGTCATTAGATGATCGATAGTGGGTCCAAGGTGTTCTTCGAGAGAACGAGAGAACTGCTTGTGTTCAGGTGTCACAAAATCGGATATAGTCTACAAAGAATTGGTAGTTTTAGATAACAATATAAATATTCAAATTTAATAGTTACATACTTGTTGAAGTGCATAAAGAAAAGCTAGGCATCTGGAATTGGAACCCGCTACTATATTGGTTTTTAACTGTATGCCAAGTCTAATGAAAGCTGGATGAACTTTGCCTGAATTTATCCTGTATTCAAACATACATTTCTTAGTCAACAATAATTAAATAGAATAATGATTATAAATTATATTAGTATAAAACATTACATTAGTTTTTTTTCATTAGATAGAGTATCATTATAAAGATGGTTGAACAATTTAACTTTATGTGTGTTTGCTGCCACAGGTTTTTTGGTTACATTAGTAGCTTTACAACTGGCTACATCGATCTAAAAATAAATTGTAATAGAACGATTAAGTTCACTTAGTAATTAAAAAACTGTTATTTTATAGTAATTATTAGTAGTCTATTATACAACACTAAAAAAAAATTATAATAACATATCGGCTAGCTAAAATTATGACTCGAAGGCAAGTAGCAAATAGAGCATAATTTCTGATTTTTTCTTTTATATGATTAGTAGAATGTTTGTAGCTACCAGAATAAAATTATTTTTTTATTATTATAAAACTGTATTAATACCATATGCAATCGCAAATAGGAGGAACGGCTTAAATCCTTGAAAACATATTTAAGTAATTTGTATTATTTAGGTTAGTTTAAAAGAAATAAAAATTGTATGAAGTATTTATGAATTCAATTGTATATGGTGCAAGCCAAAATATCATTAAATGCATCTCAGAATTTTGTTTTTAATTTTTAATATAGATATGTTTTTGGGTTTGTACACAACCAAAATTTGTGACATATTTTAGTGTTATGAAATGAAACGTGTCTGTTTAGCGTGACCGGTCCATGGTTAAATCCCTGGCCTTGAATCTAAGTTTTTTGTATTTTTAAACTATAATGATCAATATTGAATGTGGTTTGCTTAGTCATTAATTACATTACGTTTTTTTTAAGGAAGGTAGCTACATCAAGAAAATAACTAAAAACATATCCACGATTCATGATTCAATTCAATGTTTTTTAGTGTAGCGGAGAAAATGAGTGTTTTTTTTTACCTAACCTAACCTACTGCAAAATTGATTTTAACATACAAATTGTATACCATTTGGCAAATTTTAAGACTAGTCTGATAGTAAACAAACAATTTTATACATATTTTAAGCAAATTATTTATTGAATTGTAATTTATAATTTATATTTTGTTAACTTTACGTTGAAAAGTATTTTCATGCTTTTAAAGAAAAAAAACCTGTTTGGAAATCCTGAAAAAAGGTATTTTTTTAAGTTGCCACAGTTTTAATCTAGGTGTGTGACATGTACATTGTAAAAATAACATAATTTAATTATTAAATTTAAAAAAATATATTTTTAAACATTAACCGAAATGCATATTAAATTAAAATGTTGTACTTCTTGTTATTAATTGTTACTCAATTTTTTAGTATGTTATATTATATTGAAAAAATGACTAAACAATTTTTTAATAATCTCATGTAAGGGCTGAGAAAAAATTGAAAAAGTGTTTCACATTATAAAATGTCAGAAAAATTAAAAGAAAATTATTTTTACATATAAGTTGTTTGCTCCCAATATTAAAATATTAGTATGTCGTAAAAATTTCAAATGGAATTAAAATATTGTTATGCCCTTTGAAACTCAGTGTACTTTTAATATAGAAAAGTCTCACATACTGTTCTTTCGGATTTAAAAACCAAGGGATTCAAAGTCATCTAACTACGTTTTTATATATAATTATATTTTTTACTTTTAAACAGCTTACAATTTTAGAATTAATGATATTTTCTTTATTTTTTATGTTTTTAACATCTGTTGGCTTATTTGATACTTCAACTTTCTGAGGTTGTGGTAACTTCTTAGTTGCCTTTGTGTTATCCTAAAAATAAAAATAAATAATACATATTAATTTAATTATAGTTCTAATTTTTATACGCAAGACAATAATGAAACAAGGTTAAAATAAAACTACAGAATAACTTAATTTGTGATTTTCCGTGAAAAACCCTTTTTTAAACCAGTTAAAATATAGCAGTGTACACGTCTTGGTAAAGCAAATATTATAATGGCAGATTTTTAAATATATTATAATATACTCACAGGTTTTAAAATTTTCGGTGTTTTTGCTGGTTTATTAGAATTAACTAATGGCTCTTTAGCTGCATCTGTAACATTTGATGTATTGGATTTTTGTTTGTTTTCTACTTTTCCATCAGATTTCTGTTTATCAAGTGCTGCTTTCTTCCGTTCCTGTTTGGCTAGTCGCTTAGCTTTGCGCTCGGCTTCGACTTCTTCTCTTGTCTTTTCTTCTACTTGTACCTTTTCCATTGAAATTTAATTTTTATTATTTTTTAACTGAATAAAAAAACTTTATAGAATTCAAATATATATACTACATGAAAAATACAATAGCCACGAATTGCTGCACATCGCATAATTTATGAAGTTTTCAATACTTAACTGTTATCAAAAGTATTTTTTTCTTATCTCGTTATGAATTATCAAACTTAATAGAAATAATTTCAAATCATTAATATTCAAAGAGAATAAAATAATATATTACATAATAAAATCTTATAAACTTATAAAGAAATATATTAATTAATATATAAAATATTTCTTTATAGGTCTATGCATAAAATGTCTATGCTGCCCATGGGGCATGGTTTATAAAATATAATATTATTATATTCTATAAACCATGTATGCTGCCCTAAAAAATACGTCCCATTAGAATGGAAAGCGTAAGGGCTTAAAACTAATATTTATTAAGGCGCATTGAGTAGGCAATTTTTCTCTATAACTTCACTAATCTACAATTTTTAAACATAAATATTACCATAAAAGGATATATTTAAATATTTTTTTTTTTTTTCAATTTTTATAATGTATGTAGGATCTGAATTCTGATTTTGAAAGTTTTTACTTTCAAGTTACAACGTACTGCTCCTATGAATTCTTTATAACATTTTCAAGTCATCGATCATGGCACAGTTAAAAAATTATTTTTAGTTAACTAATTATTTCAATATAACAAAACTGAAATTTAAAAAAATTTTAAAACTGAAATAATTAATGAACAAAAAATAGTTTTAAAATTATGCCACAATCAATACATTGAAAATGATATGAAGAACTCAAATATTTTTTCAAAACTTAAATCGAATGAGTGGTTTTCGATCAAAAAAACGCAGACAGCAGGTGTAGAGGCCCTTAAGTATGGACTACCTATACAATTTATAATTTTCGAATGAAGGATTTGTCGGCTATTTTCAAGAGGTGGATTAAGGTATAGTTGTATTTAATAACAAATTATTGTTGTATAATAATAAATAAATTATTGTAAAACTGTAGCTAATTTATTAAGAGGTCGTTATACTGCTATTTAATAGAGGTAGGTATAGGCAACTTTTCATAAAATCTTAATATACAGGTTAAACTGTGATGAGTATGTGTGACTTTAAATGAAACTATAAAATAGTATGACATTTCTTATGTCTACTGCTCATATTATTTATCAATAATGAACTGAGTAATTTAGTTACGTGCATTTAATAAACTTAATTCAGCTTACTAAACTAAACATGACCCAACTTCAAAAAATATAGATTAGCCATGCCTTATATTCTTATTCACCTTCGGTTAAAAATCAATACATATTTTCTAATAAAAAATGATCTAATTATAATACATTTATTGTTTAATTAAAATCCACATTCAGGTTGATTATAAAAAAAATATATTGTAGTTGAAGATACATTAAGTGAATAAATTAATATCTATATATTATTAAATAATAAGATTAAAAAAGTTTTAACATATACATTACTAAATATGGCATATTTTATATAAATTTTGAGAAATTTGTTTTATTAATCTTATACAGCTGGTCATAAACCTAATAAAATTGATATTGATATTTACTATCTAGATTCATTCTTTTATAATTATTACTTATTAATAAAAAAAATATCAAACCTATAAATCCGATATTTATTAAATATATAAATTCAAAAAATGCATACATTATAGAGTCAATTTAAAAATGAAAGAAATATATTGAAAACACTATCTTATGAGTAATAAAAAAATAGGTAAATAACTTCAATATATTGTAAGAAGAAATGTAGCAAAACTCATGTAAATATTATTTATGTTAATATCATAATATTTTTTTCTCGACACATATTAATTGAAATTAATATAAACTAAATTTTCTTAAATTCTTAGCTACCTTTTTAAACAAGTGTCATAATTTATCATTCAGTCATTAAGGATTACAATTATCTTTTATAGCTAGTTAAATATTATGTACAATTTGTTTTATATTTTCTGAATATCTTTTAAGTACAGATTGACAATTACAAAAAAAATAGTGTCACAATATATTTACATCCAAAAAATACAAACACAATAAAAAATAAACAATATTATAGTTACATTACGTTACTCATATTTCCAATTACTCCTCTGACTGTTTTTTCTACAACTGCAGCAACTAAATTTGGATCGATTTGGCTGCTTACATCTTTATTTTGAGACGGAGAAGATGAATCATTATAGTCATTTTTGCGCCAAACTCCGTAAGACCGATCGTTACTGTACGACTTCCTGTCATAACGATTATCCCTGTAACGATCAGAATAGCTACCACGGTCATAATCATCCCATCCACCATCATCATAATAATGGCCTCGGCTACTATAATGATCACGACTTCCCCTCATTCGGCTATTATAATTACTACCTCCGCCACTGCTACGACCTCCACGGAACCTTTGGTCTTTATCTTTAGGCATGGCAACCGAAACACTAAGTCGAACATCTTTAATAGTGTGATCTTGATCAAGAGCTGTGAGAGCAGCATCAGATTTGGTGAACGACACAAAAGCAATACCTTTGAAAGGACGTGGTACAAAAACTTCTACAATATCTCCAAATTTCTTAAAGTAATCTTCGAGATCTTCTTGTGTAATACTTTCAGTAAGTTGTCCTACAAATATTTTTTTTGGAGCTTCATTTATAAATGCATCCTAAAAAATAAGAAAAAAAACTTTAACTTACATGTTTATATAAAATGTTATCACTTATCATTGCCTGATAAGTAAATGACAACAAATTCAAGTTAAGAAAATTAAGTTTTAATAATATAATGGATCAATCGATCATCATGTTAGCTCGCCTTGAACGCAGCCATCATAAGCTGGTTTCTAGATGAATTCGCTATTCAGGACGGGTCGTCAGTCAGCCGCCAGAGAGGGGGATGGTGGCTCTTTTTTACCAGACGATATATTGTCTGTGACCGAGTGTTGAACCAGTAACAACAATGAGCGCCAAATACACCAATACACCAACCTTACCCACTCAGCCACTTGTCATTCTCAAACAATAGATCAATAAATTCTTTAAATATTCACAACAGCTACATAACTGTATATACATTTTGGAACTGTTTTATCTTTGTAAGTTGTAACTGAAGATTTTATTAAATTAAAAACTTAAAAACATAATATTATGATAACATTAGTTGTAAGTGTTTTGTACAACATACTTCATCAAACAGCTTAAAAAGGTGAAGAGGTATAATTATGAGTTTAATTCAAACTCACAATGATATTATTATACATAATATAATATTTAATTACACAATATTACCTTTATATTAGGAATTTTTATTTCACATCGTCTTCCATTAATGACATGTGAATCCAACATAGACCGCACTTGTGACTCTTGTTCCTTGAAACGTATAAATCCAAATCCTCTTGATCGGCCATCAGCAGTTTTTTTAATCTATCGTTTAACATATTAACTTTAGGAACAATATACTTTAACATAACTATAATTATAAACCTGAAATAAAAGCTTCAAACAATACATTTTTAAGCAAACCAACAAATACTTTGTCGCATTCTTACATTCCCTAAGTACACTTTTTCTTTATTTTTTTGTTAAAAACTAACTTGTGCCATGCGCAGTTCACCGTATTTACTAAAGTAACTTTCTAAGTCCTCATCAGTCGTTTTCCATGGTAAACCGAGTACAAGTAAATCACGATTCTTCCAAGCTGTTGATGTCGCCTCAGACTTCTGTTCCTTGGGTGCTCGCTCAACATCACTTTCAAATTCTTCGTTCAATTTTCTCTTCTGTCCATTATCTGAACACACATATCATTTTTTTTACATCATTTATCTTTATCACTTACATTCCTCAACATGTAAAAATATGATATTTAAATATAGCACCTTAATTTCATAATTATAACAAATAATTTCATACTCATTGAGTCAAATTACATTATATACATATATATATATATATATATATGTATATACACCAGATGATTCTTTTAATGCCCTACACTAGTTTACTCTTAAAATAATAACAATTTTTATTGTTTTTTTTGAAAATATTTGTATTTATGTTATAGTACATTATTAGACAATATTCAAATTTGTACCTTGTTTATTATTTGCTAGAGCTTTATCAACTTTAAAACTCAAATGGTAATATAAATATAATTGATTTTTTAAATTAAGAATAATTCACTGAAAATATTGACTGGTCGATAACCAGTTTTTAATAATTATTTTTAAGTTATTTAGGTTTAAAGTTTAGGACGGGAGGTGGAGTGCGATTAAGAAACGCGCGCATATAAAAATAGCTCTACTCTCCACCCTTCTTCTTGTCCTTAATTTGTAATTTTAAAACTTTTTATTCAAATCTAATTATCGACAAGTCAACATCATCAAAAAATTATTCTTAACTTAAAAAGTTAATAAAATATATACGTTACCATTTAAGTTTCAAAAATTGATAAAGTTCTAGAAAATACTAAAAAATATAAAAATTTGAATAATGTTGTAATACAGCACAAACAAAAATGTTTAGAAATTATTAATTATTTTAAGAGAAAACTGGTGTAGGGTGATAAAAGAATTACCTGGTATAAACTTCTTTAAAAGTATGATTTATATATATATATGAAGAGTACAATTGCCAACGTTCTAAGTGCCAAAGTATAAAAATTGAACTTTATAATTTGATTTCTATATTATTCATTACCGGAAACAACAATTTTGTACATTTTTCAAGAGAGGAATAGTTATTTATAAAAAAAAAATTATATTTAATACTAAAAAATATGTTAAAGTGTTTCCGGTAATGAATATAATACAAATCAAATTATAAAGTTCAATTTTTACACTTTGGCACTTGGAACATTTGACAAATTCACTCTTCATATTTATATAAATACATATCAATCAGTTTGATAAATGACTATCACATTGTTAATTATTAACAAACATAATTTATGACTATCACATTGTTAATTATTAACAAACATAATTTTTATTTAAAATAAATAAAGGATATTTAGTTTTAATTTAGATCTAAACATAAATAGATACTTTTGTGCTTTTTTTTTTGGACTGTAAGCTGTCTAAACCATATATTTTTGGGTACATTCGTTATCTAAATAAGTCACTAATAGTATATATTATTGTCTGTGTTTTAACAATTGATAAAGTAATAAATAATAATTTAATGTTAATAACAACTTTTCTACTTCAAGCTATTGCCAGCCAAATCAAATGAATCTGCTCATACCACTATATTATTATCAATCATGTTTATGAATCTTTGATTGTGATCGCATTTACTATAAATGTAGATTAATAACAAATTTATCTAGTTATATTTTGAATAAATGTGTTGTTTATGGTAGTTCAATTTTTTTGTTTATTCACATACAGCAATCCTGAAATTACGTAAGAAGTAATCACTTAGATAAACCAGTGATTTCTTACAGTAAATTATTAGTATTTCAGTACAAAATTAAATAAGTATACAAACTAAAATTTGATTGGGGGAAAAAAACGTCAACTTGCTAATACGTTAAATTATACAACAAATTTATTTTGGCATAACAAATTATAACTTGGAGAGTTCCTCAAAGAAATTCACACAATTGTAGGATTCTAAATATAAACCAACAATAACTTTTTTTTCATTATTCAAATTTTATAACATTTAAATAACCAGAATGAAAAAAAAAATTGATTACGTTTACATAACATTTCTGTAAGGAAATCTCACCCTGCACTATTAGTATAACACTAGTATTTAACGTTTTTATCAAGTCCTGCACAATTATAGGATAGAGGGTTTTTACCAAATGTACAGTATCAGTTCGCAGATAGCTTTACGTTATTTTAATATGTACAATAATATCGGAAAAATAACATAAATGGTAGCTGTTAACCTTACATCGTTTTACAATAAAAAAATTCCTATTAAACTCCTAGTGATTTTAGTATTTACATCACTTTTTACTGAAAAACACATGCTTCTCGAACTATGCTCGAACATCAGCCTAGCAGGACTATTCTTTAGTTAAGTTAATAGAAAATAATTATCAATACAAAAACCTAATAAAAAAAGTTTGCCACATAAGACTGAAAGCGGCAAGAGGTAGGTCACAGGGTGACCGCCACTGGTATTTTCAAAGACGCAACTACTCGTAGTATAAGTATTTTATTCCTCCTCATGAGTTAGTCTATTCAGGATAAATAAACAAGTCATGAAAACTGGATTAAAATAAATCATACAAACAAAATATACATTTCCTTATCCCAAAAAGAATACACTATACATCACTTAGTAATTTGTTTTCTTATAGAACATTTACCTTTATTAAATGAACAAAAGTACACAATGTCACCCCACCCTTCCTCACTGGGTGGATGTAGTTTGTCATTAGCTAGACGCAATGCTCGTGTCCTGCCATTATCCGGAGCAACATATTTGAGACCACATGCATCTGGATACTGAGCATGCAAGGTAGATAATAATAGAGTACCGTCTTCCTCCAAAGGTAAGTCGACTATTTCTCTGTCGCCATCATTTGTTTCCGACACTTGTACAAACGACATAATTGCAGTTGAGCTTACAATGTTGTAACGAATTTGAAATAACTCAAGAAACAACAATCGTTGTATCCACTAAGAAATTTGAAACTAATTGCTCAACAACAAACTTCGTCAATATTCTTACTGAATAATTTAGATTATGATATAAAAATATATTATGTGAAATATCGAATGAGAATTATTAGTATAGTTAGAATATTGGAAAATCTCAATTATTAATTATCAATATTATTCTACCAGGTTACTACCAAATCAATAGGTAGGTATAAATGACGGTATCAACGGTACCCACACTGCTGCAGCAGCTTGTATATGAAAAACATTGTTACCAACCAAATGAATATTAGCAAAATTATGTAAAATGATAATTTAATTTAATAAAAACAAATAATGGCTAACTAAAGTTAGTTCTTGTTTTAGACCAATTTCTATATTAAATCTCGGTGTTGTATAACAACTCCCTTGCTGCCTGCTGGCAAAGTTGTAAATAATATGTCAATGACCAGTATAGCCATTATAATCTGGTTTTATCAATCATTTACAATTTCCATGCAGCAACTGCAACTTTCATGACATACAATTATTGTAATAATTATTATTACAATATATAGTCGCAGTCTGTTTAAATATATATATATAAGTATGATTTTACTAACTTATACATTTTTTAATTTATATTAACACATAGTATTATACAAATGAAGGGTCACGGGGAAAAAAGATCAATGTCAATTTTTTTTAATTCCATTTAAAAAAATTTTAAAATCCATTTTTGAAATTTACTAACTTACAAAATTACATTTTAGCAAGGGTTTGAAGCGAGAGAAAAAAACATGTTGTCGGTAAACTAAATATATTTGAGTAAAAGAAAAAAAAACAATTTTTACTTTTACAAAAAGTGAAAAAAAAAATAGTATCTTATTTTCACAAAAAAATTGACATTGATCTTTTTTACCCGTGACCCTTCAAATGTTTTTTTATAAAAGATGTTAAATATGTTTTATAACACAATACATAAATGTGAATTACAATATTTATACTTAAGCAGATTTTTTTTGTTAAATGTGATTGGGTCTTAAATTTAAAAAAATACCTATTATTTAATTAATTTTTTGAGTAATTGACAGACACCAATTCATAGGTTTGAACACAGCTATAACAAGCTTATATTTTTAGAACTCTTTATAGCATCCATCATCTTGTAAGATATACAGTTAACAACTAATAAATTGTATAACTGTTCATGGAACGGTTAAGAATGTTGTTTTAGTTCTATTTTTTTTTTTTTATTTTATAATACATTTTTAGTATTTATCAAATTTTAATTTTTTTGCTCAAGCTATAATGCACCTTAACTGCAAATACTTGATTTCGCCCCTTTCCCCCCTCAATATTTTATAACGCCGACCCTGATTATATAAATAAAATGATGATTTATGTGCATTATTTTTTAATTTAATCAATCATCAATTCCTACACGGAAAAAGGTGAAAGTCTCAAAAATGTTTTTTGTAAAGTATTAAAAATAATTATTGTCTATTTATTTAAAACACCATACGGTCAAATTTCTTAATGACTTACAATAAAAAGAACAGGATTGCACATACATATACATACAATTTTACAACAACTTATGATATAAATTTACATACAATTTTGTAATATAATCAATATAACTTATACAAAGAACACAGTCTTAATACTATTATTATTTCATTTTTTTTAAATAAAATATACATTAAGAGTTAGTAAAAACATTATCACTTATATAAGTTCAAAAATAACTGTTTATGATTTATAATATAATGATTAATTAAACTAAAGTCTGTAATATATTTTCACTCAAAAACGTATTTTGAAAAAAATGTATAAACTTAACATATAATAAAAAATACAACTTCTATAATAAAATATTTGAAATTATATTCCAACTTTATAGTTGAGCAAATTTAACTAATAATATGAATAATAATCAAAGTAATAAATTATACAATATCAAACAATTTTGTTTGTGTTAATAATTTGTGTAATAATTATTATTATAAATCCTATTTTTCATTTATTTACATAGTTTTATTATTAAGTAAATACTTACAAATATTAGCACGAGAATAAATTTAACTGAAATAAATTTAAATGTGCTATTGTAACAATACGCTTGCTGCCATAAAAACGCTACTAACAAAATGGATGCCAACTCTTAGCAGGTGTTTAAGTACGATTGTCATTTTCAAACATATTTTAATAATTTTCGTAAAAAAATATATAATAATATAAACTTAATACTGTCAACAAGATAAATAAAACGTTTTCGCATTCAACATACAACAAATATAAGGACGGTAAAAAAAATATATTGCTTTAGATTTAAGGCACTATTCGTTTCAATCAGTACAAAAAAAATTTAATTGTCTATTTAAACTTTAAATATACATACACATCACAAGGTACTTTAATAATAATTATAATAAAAGATATGTATAAATAGAGCAAATTCGCATAGTTACCCTGTAAAAACTGATGGTAGTGAACAAAAACATGTCTGAGGTTGCTAACAAAGTAAAGCTATCTTTTGATAACTCAAAACTTTAATTAAAAAACAAATCTTATTCCAAATTGACTAATTTAAATTCAATTAAACAGAATTACCTTATTAACTTAAAAAGTTGGATCTATTTAAATTAGACAATAATAATTAGACGCAATTATTATGTACATACAGTGAAAATGCTATTTTATCATACATATTATTGTCCTATTATCACAAATACAATTTTATGGATACCATGACATTTTCTCTTCATGTACATAATTTTAAATACGGCATACTGTAAACAATTTCAAACATATCTTTATTCATGCTGTCCATAATTCTTAGACTAGGTTAATGGGACAAAACAATTGCATACATAAAATTACCACAATGAATATAATATATAATATAAAAGTTACTCTTAAGTTTCTTAGAGCCAAGTTAAAATAGATCCGGGTTTATTGTTGGGGTCAATCAACGATTGCACTTCATCTAGGATGTCACTACTAAATTCGTCCCCTAACTATAAGCAAAAAATATAATTAATTTGAAAAAGTTTAATGCATTAGAATTAATTAAGTATTTACTTGAAGTGACGGAACTAAATCATCAGTGACGTCCAACGAGGCCATTTCTTGTGAGTCAACTACTGACATGTCGGATGATGGACCTGGATTATCACTTTCTATAAAATAACAAATCAAATTTTACAAATACTCATCAAAATAGACATTACCGTACAATTATTTACCTGATGTACAGTCCATGTTATCATCCATATTGGACGATAAAAAGTCTTCGGGAGTGTGTGGGAGTGAGTAATTATTTCCTAAGCCAAGACCGCTGTCGGCAGACTCTTGCCTCGAATGATCAACACTGCTGCTGCATGATAGGAACGGGTCGAGATCATTAGTCGTCTGGCCCGAGCGTAACATAAGCTCTTGCTGTAAAATGTAAACAATAACAAATTAATTAACCATAACGTCAGGTTGTACATAACGATTTGAGAAAAAGGACTTTACTTGACGAATTATTTCTTGCTGACGAAGTTTCAAGCGTTCTCGTTCCAATTGGAGGGAGTGTAACCTGAGCTTTTGTTGGGTGACTTGCAATGACTGAGACAAACCAGAACTACCAGTACCGTTCAACAGCCATGAAGCGGAACCAGACGGTAGTATAGCGCCAGATGATGGGGCTCTTTGCAGATGAGCGGCTAAATGTTCAACAACATATATTCATTGTTAATAATTAATCAAAAACGTTCAGAAATATTATTTACTCACGTATTCTTGGATCAAACCACGATGTAGTTCTGGCTACATGGTTAATGAAATAAGTTTCACCATCAACGGTGACAGCCTGTTCCCATCCGTCAGGCAATGGGCCTAAAGCCACGTTTTTATTTGCTCCTGAAAAAAAAAAAATTCATTAGATCAAAGAATATAACAAATACAATATGGCGCAAAAATCTGTAAAATGTTGTCAATAACCATAATGATCTATCCAAAGAATATAAAAAATAAAAACAGTTTATATATCTTTTATATATTTTCACTGGAATAAATATATTTCAATTTCGTATATCTTTAAAGATACACCGCCAAGTTAAGGGGTAATAGTTTGCCATTCTGAGAAGAAAGTAACATACGCGTTGTTTAAATTTATTTATTTTAATAATTTAACGTGTCATCAAATGTATTAATTAAATGTATGTGTGTTTTATATACTTATATAGTATAAAATAAATATAGAAATTATAAAATAATATAGTGCACTAAGTAAAAAAATTGACACTCTGCGCTCTCCAAAATACTTTTCTTAACAATAATTGAACATATTACACGTCTGACGTCATACCTTGTAGAGTAGAATGAATATGCGGTGGTGAGTTTGTAGGAGTGCTAGTTGTATTTGTACTCGAGCCACTGTCGTTGCCTGGACTTAATAATTGTTCAGCACTGCGTTGATGTTGGTTTGCTGCTTGAGCAGCTAGGCTTTTCCTAGGATCTTCCCATTGAGTTGTTCTGGTAAGGTGACTGAAATCAAAATGTCCAAAATTAAAATACAAAAAAATTACAATTAAATTAATTTCAGACAAATTACTTAATTTACTTTTAACACTTATAAACAAATTCTAAAAACCAACTAGAAATTATATGTATGCACGTTACAGATTAGTGATTAATTAATACGTCACTTTTTACACATATATACTGATTTGCTTAAGTGACGATTTTTCCGGTTGTGTGCCAAAGTAAAGACATAAAATGTCAAAAAACGAGTAGAGATAGGTACACGTTCCAGATTCTGACAGTCATATACGGTGCTATTAGTTCCTATTAATAATGCAGACGCATCGAAATGCCGTCAAAGCGACGCCCACCACACACGCATATAAATATAATATACAACAAACGAAGTGAGTAAGAAAAAAAAAAGAAAAAAATTCTACTCTGATGGACCTAACCATTTTTTATACATCACGGATCACCTACCGTCCAACGTAAGCGCAATATTCAAATGATCGAAAAGTTGACTTAAAATTATTGAGTTCTCCGTTAAAAGCAAGTCGCGACAACCGTTTACAATGTATACAAATAGTATGAATGCCAAAGGTCATAGTTCCACTTAGAAATCTAGTATTTAAATTCTGGAGTTTAAGTAAGAGGGTACAATTCGATGGTGCCCGGCAAACGTTAAGTTCACTGTTAAGTCGAAAATTAAAAAAATTCTGTATTCACAATTATTATATTTAAAAACGTACACTGTATAATGTAAAGTCAAAATCACAAAAGTAAAACTATCAAATTAAACCGGGCCTAATTAGATTATTATATAAAACATAAATAACAATGAAAATCTTGAATTTAAGTCCATTTGGTTTTGATTGACCGTATGTTAATGTTAATTAATATCATATAATACTTTTCATTTAAGACACTCATGCCAGTTTAAAAAAGTTGGCCAAAATCGAGTTCGATTTTAATTTAAAAAACCTATTATTTATTGTAAAATTATTGTTATGCAATGTCGGGTACACGCTAGCAAGCCGAACCTTCAACGATGTCATCTAAACTTGTTTGGTCGCACTAAGTTCGTCAATAAAAACCTAAATGGATTCGTGCGAGCGGTTTGGCTTGCTAGTAGTATGCAGTATGCACCTTAATGTAGGTATCTCAATATTTTAGACCTAGGTATTTATAACACTTATTCTATGCCCATTGAGTAATTAAGCATTTTTAAACAAATACAAATAAACTACTAAACTTATCTTCCACTTTTGTGGAATTTGCAATTCAAATTATTTCTGAATCATTATTGTTTTCCGATTCTACGTCCATTATTAATCCTCGCATGACTTTTACATTACGGCTAAACAAAATCCCCAGTTTCAGTATGACAATTTTTTAATTTAAATACATTGTTTAAAAATGTATTTTTTGTGGTTTTATATAAATTGCTAATCAAAATCAAATTACATGAAGACGTTTATACAAAACGTTATTGCCCGACCAAATTATTGTATTATTGGCATCACTAAAGTTTCGAAAAGAAACAAGTCATAGTACTTGAATATTATATAGTAGGTATAATATATACATAAATAATATATATATATATATATATATATATATATATACCTTTAATTATGAATTAATTATTATATGGTAATCATTTTATCGCAAACCACTCAATATTTTATAAGGTGTAATAAGAAATTTAATTTTTTTTTCATTGTGTTTATACAATGTGATCTCAATTTTTGTTTTTACCTCCTCCCAAACTAATTATTTTTATATCAACTATTGAAACTTAAATAGTAACGCATATATTTTATTCATTTTTCAAATGAAGAATATTTTACTAATAATGTTGACTGGTTGATAACTATTTAAACAACTATTTTTGAAGTTGAAAGAGTTTAAAGTTAGGACGGGGGAGGAAGTGCGCGCAGATCAAAATAATACTACACTCCACCTTTTCTCTTGCCCAAAACTTGAAACTTCAATAACTTCAAAAATATTTATCTAAAACTAGTTATTGATCAGTCAAAATGTTTAGTACATTATTCTCAATTTAAAAAGTTAATGAAATGTATGCGTTACTATTTGTTTGAAAAGTTGGTTTAAGAATAATTCGTTTGGGTTAGGAACAAAACAATTTGTGGAAAATTAATGGCCACATTGTATAAAAAATTAAATTATTATTTACACCCAATGAGATATTGAGTGGTTACTGGTTCACGATAAAATGATCAGCCGGTATAAAGTCTATATGCCACACATACGATACGTGATAACACCTGTTATGATTTGTGTGCTGCTATCGCGGTAGTACTATTTAGTATTTAGGTACAATCACGGAGTTAGGGCATTGATACAAAATATACATTATGCATGTTTGATATTTTATTCACTTCTAGTTGATACACGATTGATGTGCTCGAATCACTTTTGATATTACATTATGATAACAATGTATGTACATTTTTTTGGAAAATCGTCAATCGATCGGGCAAACATAATGTTGGCAGGTAGGTTTGGTTAGTTACATATTATTTTAGTTGATGACTAGACACTTTTCTAGGAGAATAGCACATATTTTTTGTTTATGGTTGTTGTACCACATTTTTATGCGCGCCAAAATTGTTTTACTTTACAGTCCTAACCCTACTTTAACCTTAAGGCTATAGTAATAGTTGTTCAAGATAACTCACGCCCCCACCATCACCCCTTCGATTGAACATTTGTACCCCTATACCCTTCGTGAGCGCCTATGGCGAATAATTCCTTGTTTTGTAGATCCTTCTCGACTTTTCTTGTCTCTCGGATCATGAAATGCATTATCACCCGTTTAACAATCGACCCCATTCACGCGGGTCACTGCCGCCGCCGTCTTGTCTCTATTGCGACGTACATTTTCATGGCCGCCGCAGCCGTCGAGCACACAACACAACGTCTCAGACTCCGTTCCCACAGTCTTTGGGCGACGAATATATTACTATATAAATAACACTCGTGTAGTACGTACTATAATATTATGCGCGTTTAATCAGTTTCTTTCCCTCTCTTCGGCCGTTTTGTACAACAATCACACGCCAACGACGACAACACAGAAATACGTTATAATAGTCCATATTATACACATAATATAATATATAGGAGTACGCGTACGTGTATTACAGCTATATTGTGTACTTCTAATAATAATAATAATAATAATAATAATAATAACAATATGTTATACAATGTGGCGATAAATAAAATGGCATCTTATTGTGTTGGACTGTTGTACGGTACGGCGGCGCGACCGTGGCGGTGGCAGTTGATAAGCGGCGAACGACCTTGGACGGTACACCTTATCTCATTCTATACTATAATACACTTGTTGCTGCCGTCGCGTCGTCCGCACATAAAAACTTTAGAAAAATCATGAAAGCTATCGTGTAATCCGTTATTTGAGTAGGCATTTCCTTTGAAGATAAAAAAAACAGCCACGACACGCTCTCCTCTTTTATCAGTTTCTTGGCGGATACGTTCGATTTTTCCCAACATCACACAGTCCCAATACTTATACAATATTGTGTTGAAAAAACATACCGTTTTCCATAATAATATTATTACTTTATTATTTTTATTGTTAAAGATAGGTATGTGACGTTCGGCATGGCCCGTATAAATTAATTGAAATATAAACACAATTATATCATTAGAATACAAATATAAAAATAATTATAGAATATAAAACCATTCAACACTCAATCACAACCGCACTTCGATGCTCTCTAGGCTCTAGCCATTTTATTGCTTCAGGCCCGCACTACTACCCTGCTTTTAAAGCTAGTGCTATGGCACTCGTCGACGATCTGGCGGATGGACTGGTCGTCTCCGCAACCGTTGAATGTAGAAGCGGACATACCCTATTTGTGTAATAGATAATTATACTTTCTTTCTCCGTCCTTATTCGGTTTAGTTTGTTCTGGTAAATTCGGGTGATGCCATAACCTGAGACTCTTGTAGGTAGGGACACACTACAAAGATTGGTTTACTACGATATTTTTTTTTTTTTAGTTACCACGACATATTTTGAAAACACTTTCTATAAGCGAGTAGAAACTGTAACAAATGAATCGCTATAGTAGTAATTCTATAGTTTTGAGTCGAAAAAAACATGTACCTATATCGTTCCAAAAGGCATACCTAACATTACTTCAAAATACTTTTTTAAAAATTGTTCTTCTTTATACAAAGTCTTTGATGTAATACCTACCTTAAATTATTGATAACCTTATTTATACAAAATAATCAACCTAATAAAATGTTGCTCCTTCACCAAATGGTACTTATACTTCACTTTTGGTAAGGAACGTCTATAATTAAAGAATGGCAATGAGCCACCGTCGATTGTCGGTATTTAATGCACCACCGATTATTTAAAAAATGACAAATGCATAAAGGGCGTTCTTTACACTGTTGAACTACAGAGATAAATTCTATGAAGAATCAGGAATCGTGTGAGGGTACTCGATTCTGCAATATTCACCCTAAGTAATACTGAATACATATTATTATCGTTTAAACATATATTAGTCCAACATAATTCATATCATTATGTACACTCGACTGTATAAAATAAAATACCACAGCTATACTTGTCGAGTGTTTCTCATCCTACTTCATCGGCGGTCGTTGTGCCGTGCTGAGGTATGTTGGTACCTTTGGTATGATTGTGTGCAGAGTGAGAGGAGTAACCCAATGTAAAAAAATGAATACTACTGGTTTCTGTTTATTCATCTTTTTTTTTTATGTCAGTAATTATTTTTCTTCGATTATACTTAGTGGACACAATAATTCCGTCTATTGCTATACACGGGGTAAAAATCAGCTTAGTGCCGGAGCGAAGGGAATAAAATATTGTTCGTAGAACGCAGTACTATGTATATAGCTTGCTGATACAAAACGCTGACTACAACACATATTTATATCGTGTATACAAGTGATAACGGCGTCGATATTCCCACAAGATTTTGTTTCAA